TCCTGGGCGTAGAACTGGAGACCGACACCGGCCGATTCTCCATCGGTCCCGACCGACGAGCCTCACTACATGCAACCATCCGGAACCTCCTGAGCGCAAGCAGGGCATGCCGACCAGTCCCGGTCCGCCACATGGCCAGAATCACTGGCATGCTTGCATTGATGGGTGTCGCACTTGGCGCGACCGCTCGCGCATTCAGCCACGCCATGTTGTCAAAGTTTGAAGAAAGAAAGGGGATTGAACTAGCAGGAATGAGGATACAAATAGCAAAACCCTAGAAGGGTTGTACTCGCTATAGAGCACCCCACTACAGGCTAGAACATAAGATAATATTCTGACACACCCCCATAGCCAAAGTGGGGTGTAATCAGCAGAGCAGGCAAAGCAATACAAGCTCAGGGTGGATCACAATGTCACCACACATTCTGAGCACAAGTTCAAGAAGAAATAGTTTAGAGTTAACAATTATAAGCAAAGCTAGTGGTAGTCACAACGGGCAAGTGAGGAGGAGGAGGGAGAGTGAGGGGAGAGGAGATAGGAGGCGACGGCTGAAGCTGCAGACACACGGGCAGCAGGAGGCAGACTGGCACAGCGGCTACCGGACAGCGCCCGGACTACAGGAGTAACAGGCCCCGCGGCTCAAATAGCGGCGGACGGGCAACGGACCCACAGGCGGCTGGCGTAGAATTCTAGCTCACTGGGCTACCGGGACAGCGCCCCGGACTACAGGTGCTGCTGACGACAAACTGGCAACCTCCGCTCATCCTCCCGCACACAGTCCCACCCCCCTGATACACACCCACTGCTACACCGCTAGCTCTACTCCCACACACCCCCCTTAAACCCTAAACCCAGTCTCCCACACATCCACCCCCCTCAGCGACAGCTGCAGCAGTGGGAGACGAAGGAGGAGGAGGAGCAAAGGGAGGAAGGAAGACCGACCACCCCCATACCCGCCACCCCCCCTCAGGTCGCCTCGACGGACGACGGGAAATGGCAGGGGGAGGGCGGGGGGGGGGGGGGGAGGCGGGGTGGTGAAAGGGACCCACCACGGGCCTGGTTGGAGGGCGGGGCCGCGAAAAGGGGCGGGGCCGCGACGAGGGGCGGGGCCGCGAAGTAGGGCGGGGCCGCTTCGAGGGGCGGGGCCGCGACACAGGGCGGGGCCGCGACGTAGGGCAGGGCCGCGACGGTCGGGCAGGGCCGCGACGTAGGGCGGGGCCGTGACGGTCGGGGCGGGGCCGCAACGTAGGGCGGGGCCGCGACTGTAGGGCGGGGCCGCGACGGTCGGGGCGGGGCCGCGACGGTAGGGCAGACGCCCGCCGCACGCCTCGGGGCGCACAGCGGGCAAAGAACCGCCGCGCGCCCCGGGGCGCACGGCGGGCAGAAAACCGCCGCGCGCCTCGGGGCGCACGGCGGGAAGGAAAACCGCCGCGCGCCTCGGGGCGCACGGCGGGAAGGAAAGGTAGCAGCGGAAGCGAGGTGGAAACCCACCCACAGGATCGATCCAAGGGGATCGACCTGCTCTGATAACATGTCAAAGTTTGAAGAAAGAAAGGGGATTGAACTAGCAGGAATGAGGATACAAATAGCAAAACCCTAGAAGGGTTGTAATCGCTATAGAGCACCCCACTACAGGCTAGAACATAAGATAATATTCTGACACATGTTACAAGTGATCAACGAAGCACCGTCTTGGAAAAGCAGCTTGGTTATCCCCCCATCCGCAGCAGAGGAGCTCCAATTTTGGCTCGAGGAGTTTGACCGTTTCAACGGCGCACCTTTTCACGTCAGGAACAGCTACGACGCAGTAATCCATGTGGATGCCAGCTCTCATGGTTGGGGCGCCACTCTGACCACATTTCCGGGCGACCTCGAAGAAGCCAGCGCAACCATGTCAGAGCCGCTACGAGGAACGTCCAGCACGCGACGGGAGATTGAAGGCGTCCTTTGGGCGCTCCAAACATACGCGACCAAGATCAAGCAAAAACACGTTCTCGTGCGGGTGGACAACCAGGGCGTGTTCTTCATCCTTCGAAAAGGCGGCTCTCACAGCCCCGACCTCGCAACGGCATGCAAGAGCATCATCTGAACATGCATGGAGCTTGACACGCGCTTGATCATCGAATGGATTCCGCGCGAGCTCAATACACACACCGACGAACTTTCAAAAATGGTCGACCACGACGATTACGCGCTGAAAACGCCGTGGTTCCGCATCTTGGAACGTCGTTGGGGGCCCCACTCCATCGACCTCTTCGCAAACTCCCGCAACACCCAACTGCCGCGCTTTTGCACAAGGATTCCCCACCCAGAAGCCATCGCAGTTGATGCGTTCTCGATCGCGTGGACACCCGAAAACAACTTCGCCTTCCCCCCGCCCCAACTGGTCCCAGCCGTCCTCCATCACGCACAACGCACCCATGCATCACTCACACTGATAGTTCCGCACTGGCCAGGCGCAAGCTGGTGGCCACTTTTGCAATCCTCCCCATGCACTTGGGCTCCACACATCCACGCGCACATCCCTCTGTCACACGGAAGCCAATGCCTAGACGCAGGGTCCCATTCCAATGCTTTTTCAGGCATGGGACTACCGCATAGCCCAATTATTGCACTGAGAATGGCATTTTACTAATTCAAAACATCAACGCCCTGTGTTCAGATTTGCTCCCAAAGTTACACGACCAAATGATCAACATGCTCGCGCAATCTCGCGCCGATTCTACGATCCGGACATACGAACCATACTGGGCCAAGTTTCGAGCCTTCTGCACAAAAGTGAACCTCCCATTTCTTCCGGCATCCGACATGACCCTCGCGCTCTACCTGGTACACGCAATCCGACGCAAAGCCACCCTGTCCGTAGTGCAGCTGACGTGCTCGGCGGTCAGCTTCGCTCATCGCATGACTGGGAGCAAATGCCGGACAACCGGACCGTTCACCACCCAAGTCCGTGACTGTGCAAAACGACATTGCCCTCGCCCTACTCGTATGAAGGAACCCGTATCGATCCAACAAGTCCGGGACATGGCCGCGAGTTACTTGCAGTCCGACGATCCCGCGACGTTTCAGAAAGGGTTGATCCCCATCCTCATGTACTCAGGATTCCTGCGATATTCTGACCTGGCAGCCATAAAATGGCAAGACATCCAATTCGACGACGCGGTCATGTGGATTCTCATACCACACTCCAAGACCGATTAGGCTGGTCATGGCACTTGGATTCCCATTGCAGCAACGACAGACCCCTGTTGCCCAGTGCGCTGCACCCGACGCTTCATCCAGCTGGCCGGCTATGGCCCACAGTCAGAGGGACCATTGATTCGGGTCTTCGGCCACGCTTCAACCAGCGAGGGCCAAGCAAGGCCACCCTCATACACCACGATCCGGAACTGGTGCAAGGAAGCCTTCGCAAAGGTGGGCCTTGGAGACCTGCAGCTCGGCACACATTCTTTCCGAAAAGGTGCAGCCACAGTAGCAGCCAACACGGGCGTGCCAGACAGGGTCTTCAAACGGCTGGGCAGATGGCGAAGCGACTCAGCAAAGGAAATGTATGTTACACCATACGTCGAGCCTCTTATCGAAGCCTCCCGTAACCTACAAGACCTGACGCATGCAGCGTCATCGGCACAACACTCAGAGGCACTCGTACGCAACCGGAGGCCCCCGCTGCCCATGTCTCAGAGACCCCATTGGTAACGAGAACGATGCCAATTGATAAGAATAAGAAAGCAAGCTTTCTCAATATTATAATTTTTAAACACATTGTGTTTTTTAAATTTGTGTATTGTGAAAGCGAAGCTGCTTGTACTGCACAATTGGCATCGTCGAAGCGCGCTAAACTCCCTTCTCCAACTACAAAAACCGTGGGTTGGAGTTCATTTCCCTCCACCCACGCTTCTCGATTTTCAAACGGCTCACTCAACATTCCCAACCACCCACCCCAGAGTAAACCGCCTTGCTAATGCCACTTGGATAGGGTACATCTTAGCTAGTGTTATTCGTTTGCACTAGCTTGTGTTCAACGTTGATGCAAATGTTGTAATAAGCCATTTGTAATGAGAACGATGCCAATTGATAAGAATAAGAAAGCAAGCTTTCTCAATGTTAACAATCTAGTGGAGGTTAGATGAACACATCTAAAGCATTTACGGTATTGTACAGAAAAGCGTCATGCATAACTATTTCGCAGTTATCAGAACTTGACGCTTTACAGAGTACAGTTTCCCTGCTGTCAGCATTCCCCCTCCAGCCCACATGCTCGAGCAGGCAAGTAACATACCTGCCAAACTCTCCATAAAATGGTTCCGGTTTCTTTTGCCTCTCAAGAGCAATGGCTGCCAACCTCGGCAAACATAGTATACCTCCTCGTTACTTATTGTTCGGCATCAACGCAGTCCATCTTAAGAACACGAGTTGGAGTTAATGACTACCAATATAGTTTAGGCTTGACTTGACTGGTAGCGCTTATCACGTTCCTCCGCTTGTTCGCGTCATCCTTTTACCGCTACAGCGGATCGCAAGTTAGCATATTGCTCGAAATTTCCTAAACGTCTGCCGTTATCTTCAGCGTAGTGACCTTACGCTTTCGCTCTACGAACTTACCGTCCGTTATTATGCTCGCCGCGTCGGATGCCAGTGGCGGAAAACAGTCTAATCTCCACAATACCGCGGACGGGACGTGGACCGAAATATCGCAGCAAAAGCCACCCATTCCGGGTCTGTCGGCGTCTCTCGCGCCGGAAAATGCTGCGAGCCCTTCTCGTAGAGCCGAAACACCTGAAAAAACACCTACGAAGCCACCTGCGGTCGGCGCGGGGCATGCGCGCACAGGACGAGGCAGCAAGAGCACAGAGCGCGGGAGAAGGCGAGCGCGGGAAGGCGAAGATGGAAGTGGAGAGGCGGAAGCGGAAGTGTGGCGAGCGGAAGGGGCGAGGGATGGAGAGGAGGAGGAGGAAGAGGAGGAAGAAGAGGGGGAAATGGGGAGTCCCGAGGCGGTGATGGGAGTGAGGTGCTTCACGTGGAAGGTGATGGTGTTCAAAGATGGGAAGAAAGGCCAGCACCACCCCTCGCAGCATCACTCACAGAGACATGCGCATCAAAATGCAGATCGTAGACACAGTCACACTCATTCCCGCTCACACTCCCTGTCCCCGTTCCGGCGCCACGGTCACTCCGATGGTCGCACGGAACAAGAGGAAGCAGCAGTGGCTGTGGAAACAGCAGCAGCTGGGGCAGCAGCAGCGGGCGGAAGAGTCAAGAACGGCATGAATGGTGCTGACGGCATGGGTGTTGAAGGGGTAGATCGGAGGAGAGCGAGCGCAGCCGTTGCAGCAGCGACAGGAGCAGCTGTTGCTGCGACCGCAGCAGCAGGAGCAGCAGCAGCAGCAGCAGGCGATGAGGATGGAGGCAGTGAGGACGAGACGTCAGAGAACAGCAACGGCTCGTGGATACGGCTCATCCAGCACACCCACCAGCAGCACCAGGATGGGAGTAAGCCCACGGTCGATTCCCTGAATGGCCACACGGAAGGCACTTCCGCGTTTGTCTCGTCTGATCAGGTGCAGCAGGCACAGCAGCAGCAGCAGGCACAGCAGCAGCAGCAGCAGCAGCGGCAGCAGGAGGAGCAGCGGAGACCCCCTGGTGAGATGGCAGGGCGTGCAGAGGGGAAGGATCGGAGACACGTGGACGAACGAGTGTCGCTGCAGGTCTGTGGTGGTGCTGCAGAGACTGCAGAGGCGGCAGAAGCTGATGGCGGATGCAGAGAGGAGGGGCGAGGACAGGAGAGGAGGGAGGAGGGCGGGAGAGGAGGTGAGGGAGGCGAGGGAGACGCGGAGAGCAGGTGGCGGGAGAGGGAGCAGGGGAGGGAGTCGGAGGGGGGGCAATGGAGAGGAGAGGGTGGGGCGGGGGTGAGTGGCGTGACGGAGGGCAGTGGCTTGGGGCGAGCGCGCTCGTGCTCGCCTATGGGACGCGGGCATGTGGTGGTGAGAGAAATGGCTGGGACTGGGGAGATTGATGAGCGCAAGAGCCCTGCGCGGGCGAGGGAGGTTGACGAGTGGGTGGCCAGCTGCCTGCAGGCCGCCCTGGACCCTCTCTCTGCTTCTCACCCTGCAGCTGACTCTGCGGGAACGGCCGAGGGGGTAGTATCAGCAGCTGCTGCTGCAGCAGCAGCAAGGGGTGGGAGTAGAGCGGGTGCACGTGCTGCGTTGCACCTACCTGGTGTACTGGGTACTGGCAGTGACAGGGACCGACATGGCGTTGGGGATGGGGATGGATGTGGCGATGGAGGCAGCAACAACAGTGATGATTTCAACGACCCGGACGAGTTCTTCTCTGTGGCGGGTCCGTGCTCGCTCCCTCCCCCCTTTGCTTCCTCTCCCCCTTGCTCCCCCCCCTTCGTGCTAACTCTCCCCCGTGCTCTCCCCCGTGCTCTCCCCCGTGCTCCCTCTCCCCATTGCTTCCTCTCCCACTTGCTCCACCCCTCTTTCACCCCGTTTACGTGCTCCCTTTCGCGCTTCACGCTCCAGTGTGTTCTCCCCAACTCTTCAGTGTGTTCTCCTCAACTCTTTTGTATCATACCTGCACTGCTGCTGTCCTTCCCCCATGAGTGCCCTTACCCCCACATGCGCCCTTGATCCATCCACCCGTCCTGTCCTCACTACCCATTCTCCTCCCCTGCCCCTTCTGTCGTCCCCTCCAGAGTCCCTCTCTCGCAGCAACTCCATGCGCTCCTTTTCCCAGTCCTCCCCTCGCTCCATTCCCCCCCCTCGCTCTCCTCGCTCCGTTCCTCCTCCTCGCTCGCCCAACCCGCGCACACCCTCTCGGCCTCGCACCCCCACTCGCCCTCGCACTCCCTCCCGCTCACAGCCTCCCACCCAATTCCCCATTCAACGCCCGCTTGCTGAAAAGACCACTGCTGCAGCTGCTGTTGCCACTGCTGCTGCTGCTGCTAACCCTGCAGTGGCAGCAAGGCAGAGTGACACAGTAAGAAGCACTAACACAGCTGACTCTAGGGCTTCTGACACCATTCTTGCTGCTGCCACCGCTGGTGCTGCTCACAGTGTTGCTGCTACTGACCCAGCTACTGTTGCTAGTAATGCGATTGGCATAACCAGTACTGTTGATACAGCCTCTCATATTGACCCACGTGGCACTGCTGCAGTGGTCAATGCTACCAACACGACCAATATCACTGACTCAGCTAACGCCACTGACACAAGTATTGTCACTGATGATTTGGTGGGTGATGAGGCTGTGGGTAATGCAGCAGCCGTTGCATCAAGTGCCGCTCAGCTTTCAACTGCACCTCTGGCACCAACAGCAGATGTCATGCCACCATCTGACTCCCCGGCAGCACCCAACGGCCCTCAATTAGCCGCCACCGCACATCCGTTTGAACCGCCACCATCGCCCACCCGTGGAGCAGCAACACCAGCAGCGGCACCAAAAGCACCAGCAGCAACAGCACCAGCACCACCAACAACAGCAGCACCAACACCAGCAGCACCTTCAGCCTCCCCTCCAGCACTCGACTCCTGCCAGCAGCAGCCTTTTCACGAGTTACAGACACTGCTGGACCGCCCCCCTCCTGTCCCCCACTCCCCTCTCCCCAGCCCCTCCCCCGCCGCCCACTCCCCTCTCCCCCGTCCCACCACCCCGCGCTCGCTGCCGTACCGCACGCGCAGCACCGACTTTGGCTCGGCCAAGCAGCGAGTCTCCAACCTGCAACTCCTCTCCTCCTCCCTCCTCTCGCCCTCCCCTGCCGACGCCGCTGCTCCGTCCCCTGCTGCCTCCCTCGGGGGTAGCAGTTTCGGTGGTGGTGGTGGTGCGATGAGTGGTTACGGAGCTAGTGGTGGTGGTAGGAGTGGGGGAGAAGGCAGAGGGGGAAGGCCAGGGACGTTGAAGAAATGGAAATCTCTGCAGTCTCACTCTGGCACTATTGCCTCTCTGCTGCAAGGTCATCCCTGCTTCCCTTTCTTTTGCGCTTCTCCCCCTCTTGCGCTTCTCCCCCTCTGCTTTTCTGCTCTTGCTCTGCTCTATATCTGCTGCCATTCTCTTCCGCCAGTAATGTATGCGTGCCATTTCGACTTTGCTTGCCGGACCTCATGTACCCCCTCTCTTCCTCTCGGTCTTTCCCATTCCAATCCTCCGTTCTTTGTTGTTGTTACTCCCAAACGTCTGCACTCCTCCCTGCTGTACCCTCCCTGCACCCCGTTATTCGAGTCGACTCAAAAGTCATCCCGTCCACACCGCACTCCCCCATGCCTGCCCCTCCCCTCACTTCACCGACGCCGAAGCTCTCTCCACTCCACACTACCCTGTCGCACTACCCTTAGACTTCTTAGTCCACTTTAAAGTCATCCCGTCCTGGCCACACCACACTCCCCGCTGCCCGCCCCTCCCCACTCTCCACCACCACCAGCCATAGCGGGCAGTGACGCTGAAGCTCCTTCCACAACGGACCGTGGTCGTTCGAGTGGCAGCATGAGGCTCCCTTCTCTCGATGCTCCCGTGTTCTGAGTCGACTCAAAAGCCATCCCGTCCGCACTCCCCCCTGCCCCTCCCCACTCCCCCCCGCCCCTACCCACTCCCCACCACCACCAGCCATGGCGGGCACAGATGCTGAAGCTCCCTCCACAGTGGACCGTGGTCGGTCTAGTGGCAGCATGAGGCTCCCTTCACTTGACGCTTCTGCAGCTGCTGGCAGTGGGGGCATGGGAATGGACCGGCCGGGTGCAGCAGGGGCAGGGGGTGGAGGGTCTCTCCTGGAGCGCACGTCAGGAGCATCTGGTAGCGGTGGCGCGCTGCTGTCTAGACTCTTCCGCACCTCATCTGCTCTCAACCCCAGCGAGTGTGAGTCAAGCTCTTTCCATAGCCTGCTCTCAGCCCATGCTGAGAGCAGACCCATGCTGTGGGGAAGGAGAAAGACAGGAGGGGAGGGACAGGAGAAGGATAGCTCGCAGATTGAGAGATTTAGTTGCAGCGATGAGACCAGCACACGACACCTCATCTCTATTGCTTCCTGGTTGCCCGGTTGCCCAGTTGCCCCGTCTGCTGATGTAACCGCTGCCCTCGGCAGCCTCTCAGCTTTTCCGACTCGACTCTTTCTACCCTCCCCTTTCCTCTCTCCGACCCCTCTCCCCCTTTCCCCCTCTCCAACCCGCACTCCAGCCGTGAAGCGTTTGCTGATGTGGCCACGGGCGGGCTCGCAGCTGTTTCGCTGCTCGCCCTCCGCCCGTGCTGCCACCAACTGCTGGTCGCCTGCTGACCCCTCCTTGCTGCTCGTGCGAGGTCCCAGCTATGCCAGGTGAGGAGAGGACGAGTGTGGGCGTGTAGGCGTCCTCCACACGTTCACACGTCCACACGTCCACCCGCTCTCCCATGAAGTGTCACTCCGTTCGCCTTGCCTCTGCACATCTGCCCGTCACCCCTTCTGCTGTGTTGTGTTCACCTGACGGTGTTCCCTTCCTCATGCATGAAGTGACGGAGCCAAGGTCACCCCTGCCGCGCCCCCTCTCTACGAGCCGTGCGCGGCAGACGACTTTCATGTGTCCCCTCTCCTCCCTTCCCAAACTCCAACTGTGTTTCCCCCATTCATCCGTGCAGTGATGGAGCCAAGGTCGCCCCTGCTGCCCCCCCTCTCTACGAGCCCTGGGCGGCAGACGTCTTTCACACGTCCAGGAAGATCCGCCACATTGCCGCCCACGTGGACCTCCCAGCCGCTCTCGTGCCGCCACCTGGCAGCGAGCCGGCAGCGCAGAGTAGCAACGGGCTGCCACCCGTGCTAATCGTCAACATCCAGGTCAGCACTCATGCGTGTCGAGAGGGAAAGGGCAGGTGTGGGATGGAGGAAGAGGGGACAGAGGGGGCTGAGTAGGGAAAGGAAGGAAGTTGGGTGGGCGGTCATAAGTGCGTGAGCTTACAACGTTGAGTTGTCAGTGTGATTTGCCATTCCAACTACCTGTGTTTACCCGTGTGGAGCACCTGTGAGCGTGAGCGTATGCTCCCAGAAACTGTGGTTCCTTACTCCTCCTTACTGGCTTCTCGTCCGTCTGTCCGGCCCCTCTGTCCCCTCTTCTGCCACCCCCTCGGCCTCCCCTGCCCACCCTCCAGCTGCCCCTGCAGCCACCCCCGCCGCTGCTCTCGCTGCAGCAGCGGGCGTGGGATGGGCCGGGCCTGAGTGTGGTGCTCTATTGTCGCCTGGGGGCGCACTGGCGCAACCAGGCAACCGCTCCTGCACAGATGGCGGTACGTCGGCCTGTGGTTACAGGGGTGTGCAGCATGGGGGCATGGACACATGTGGGACGGGCCAGGCCTGAGTGTGGTGCTGTACTGCCTGCTGGGGGCGCACTGGCTCTCAGGCAAGCGCTCCTGCACAGATGGGGGTACGTGAGCTTGTGGTTATGGGGGTGTGGGGCTATGGGCATGTGTGTGGACCGCCCGGGGCTGAGTGTGGTGCTGTACTGTCGCCTGGTGGTGCACTGGTGCAGCCAGGCAGAGGCTCCCGTGCACATGGGGTTGAGCAGAGAGAGATAGAGAGAGGCAATGTGGGTATGGGGTATAGAATATGAGGTTAATTTATAGGGGTGGCCCAGCTCCTGCACTCATGCATGCATGCATGCATGCGTGCTCCTACCATCCCAGCCTCCGTACCCACTCCCATTCTCCTCACCAACTCTCATCTCCTGCTGCCCGTCCGTTACCCCCTGTGCTGCTGCCCGTCCATTCACCCCTGTGCTGCCTGCATATCTGCAGCCAGTTTTGCGTACATGGGGTCCAAGGCACGGCCTAGGGAGGCAAGGAGGAGCGCCAGTGGAGGGAGAAGGCGAGGGGGGAGGGAAGAGGGCGGAGAAAGGTTCCCCCCACGTGCCTCGTGCAGCGACTGAGGAGGCGGTGAAGCGCGCAGAGCAGCCGCACGGGGCAGCAGGCACGGCAGCCGTGGATGGGGTGGCTGCCGTGGATGGGGTGGCTGCATGTGATGCTGCAGCAGGGCGAGAGGCGGAGCGTTCGGTCGCACATGCTGAGGGCACCAGTGGCGGCAGCAGCGGCAGCAAGACACGGCGCAGCAACAGTGGCAGGCGTAGGGGCAGCTGGTCCAGCTACTCATCTGCTGATGATACCGCCATGGGAGGGGAGGTGGCTGTGCAGGGGCACGGGGGGAAGGAGCATGGGGGAAAGGAGCATGTTGGGAGGGAGCACGGGGGGAAGTCGGAACGGTGGTCAAGGTCCGGGGGAGATGATGGGGAAAGGGAAGGCGGAGTGGAGAAGGTGGTTTGGGACCGGCCGAAGCTGATGGTGAGGATGGTGAACAAGGGGGAGGTGGCACTGAGTGCGGCGGGCAAGAAGCTGGTGGAGGGGTGCTCGGGAAAGGCTGGACTCACTCGCCCTTACCACACTGTTCTGCAGGTGAGAAGCGTGCTACCGTACTGTGTGCATCATATCTCATACAACCCTCCTCTCCCCTCCTTTCCCCCTCTCGCCCTGTCGTCCGCCCCGCCTTACCTGTGGCTGGGCATTCCTGTCCCTCCTATCACATCCATCCTCCTTCCCCTTCCTCCCTGCTACTCTCCCCACTTCTTCCCCATTTCTCCCCCTTTTCCCCCAGTCGTCCACACAGCCATACCTGGAGCTGGACATAGAGGCACATGCTTTCCCCCTTTCTCTATCATATCAACTCCCCCGTCCCCCTCTCGCCCCCCTTCTCCCCCCTTCCCTCAGTCATCCGCCCAGCCCTACATGGAGCTGGACATAGACGCGCATGCCTTCCCCCCCGCCCATCAAAAGGCGCTGCTCTCCCTGCGCCCCCACCTGCCAGATGCCATCCTCGACATTGCACTCGTGCTGCAGGTGAGTCTTCACCATGTGTGCCTTTTGTGTGAGTCGCTGTCAGTGACCAATGTTCAGCACAAGTGTGGATTTCCGCCTTTCAGTAAATCCAGCTAACAAATTATTATGTTATATATTCACAGTTGAGAGGGAATGAATGCGGGCACCCATCCTCACCTTTTTGCTTCATGTTACAGTAGATTGAATTCTTGTGAGTTGTATTGCCCTTCTTGCTTGACCCACCAGGGTAATTCACCCCAGGAATTGCCGGAGCCTGTGCTGACATGTGTGAGGCTGCACCATCTGGAGCTCTCTCACTTCGGATGCCTCAATTGACAACCTAGCTAACACTCCAACTCTGACTTGCCATAATGAAAATGCACTGTATTTATTGTATATTATTTATAAGTTATTAGGGATGGAATTCGTGCAGAAACACGCATCAGGTGCCTCCCCAATCGTCTTGGCCAAGCTATACATCTCGTCGCACGTGCGAAATTCGCTGTCATGCCGACAGCGCACGAAACCCGTTCCCTCGCGAGCGCGTCATGTTGCGCCGTGCGAGCCAGCGACCCCGTCGCGAATGGACAGGCGATATTTTCAAGATTGGAATTACCCTTGAACCAGCGCATTCTCATCCAATATGAGCTGGAAGTTTGCCGAATAGGCAGTTTTGCGGCTACATGTGACGTGTATGTGCAGATCTGACAAGGTGCCAGGAAAGCATTCCGCTCAACCAGGGACTGACCAAACCGAAACACCTTGATTGACGGGGACTGGCACGTTACATGGGTGTGTGATGTGTGGGAGGCAGCAAACCCGAGGGAATTTGGAATAGACTTCCAACGGGAATGCAGCACAACTTCTCTCAGCTTTTCTCTTCAATTACACGCAAACCTTGCTAGAGCATCGTCAGAATAAATACGTCCACGGGAGAAAGACTAGCAAGAAGCCTTTCAACGGGTTGTGTTCGCAACGTACTGTGGACCAGACGACATCATATTCCTCCTCGTCGTATGCATAGCGCGTATACACACACACCACCTTAAGTGGGTGACTAGTACATTCCAGATTTGACGAAATCCTAAGCGCCTCAGAGTTTCGTACGAACCGTTGATTGCTGCTTCATACTTGCACGGCACGCGCGCGGAAATGGCTATAGCTTTCGCGACTTGCTCCGCGGCCGGCGGCTTGCGAGTGGCGCCGCCGCTGACGGCACGGCGAGGCGGCGCCGTCGGTTGGAGGGACAGCGCCGGGTGGTCGCAATCTACTTTAGCAATCCCTGCCACGTCAGCAGCGCCGCGAATCCCGAGTTTCAAGGTCGAGGCACAGGCGCAGCAGGTGGGCGAGCGGGTGGGCGGCGCGAGGGCGCCACGTGGCGAAAACGTGGCGGGCGACTTTTACGTGGACCACACGTGCATCAACTGCGACGTGTGCCGCTGGATGGCGCCCGAAGTGTTCGCCAAGGTCGGGTCGCAGTCCGCCGTGTTCGCACAGCCCGGCGACGAGGCGACCACCGTCAAGGCGCTGCAGGTATGCGAAAGGGTTTTAACGAACAAACTAACGAACGAACAACGAAGGATGAACGACGAGCAATAAACCAAGAACAATAAAGCAACATATTGAGGGATTCTGGTGTCAAAATTGCCCAACGGCCTCGGCTCATTCCCCATGCCATGCCGTCACTTATTCCTCTCTATCCCCGCCTTTCCCCAGCCCAGGCGCTGCTGTCGTGCCCTACAGCTCCATCCATCGTCGCTCGTTCTCCTCCTCCCTCATCCCTTTCGCCCCTCCGCCTTTTCCCCCGCCTTTTCCCCCGCCTTCCCACTGCCTTGTCCCCTCCTTCCTCCTGCCTTACCCCGCCTTCCCTGCGCCCAGGCGCTGCTGTCGTGCCCGACGGCCTCCATCCACTCGCGCGACTCGCTATCGCTCGTGCCGCGGGCACGCGACGCGTTCCCGCTGCCCATCGACGCGGCGGCGCTGCCCGGCGTGTTCCACTGCGGCTACCACTCGCGCAAGTCCTTCGGCGCCGCGTCCTACTTCATCCAGCGCGCGGCGGGGAACGTGATGGTGGACTGCCCGCGCTACTCGGAGCACCTGGCGGAGACACTCGCGCGCATGGGCGGCGTGCGCTACATCGTGCTCTCGCACCGCGACGACGTGGCGGACCACGCGCGGTGGGCGGCGCGGTTCAAGGCGGAGCGTGTCCTGCACGCGCTGGAGGTGCAGCCCGACACGACAGACGTCGAAATGCTATTGGACGGCACGGGGCCGTGGTGCCTGGGGTCGGACCTGAAAATTGTCTTTACTCCCGGTCACACCGAGGTGAGGGCGGGTAGAGCGCGGTTGAAGTGGATAGGGCGAGGTGGAGATGCGATTGGACGGCAGGGGGCCCCGTGCCTTGGGTCCGACCTCAAGATCATCTTTACTCCTGGTCACACCGAGGTGAGGGCGGGAAGAGCGCGGTTGAAATGGGTAGGGCGAGGTGGAGATGCTATTGGACGGCACGTGGCCCTGGTGCCTGGGGTCGGACCTTAAAATCATCTTCACTCCCGGCCACACGGAGGTGAGCGCAGAAGTGATCGGTAGGGGAAGTGCGGTTGCAGCCGTCGCTGCTGGACGGGCGGCACCAGGCCGGACCTGGAGAACGCATCTCTCCTCTAGCCCCCTCCTTTTGCGCATTTTCCTGTGCACAGCGCTCCGTGAGTGTGCGTTAAGGCGGACAGAGGGGCGCTGCTCGCGGACTTTGCCCTGCTCTGCGGAGCAGGAGGCGGACTGTGCGCTGCCTGCTCACAGGAGAAGAGGCGGACTGTGCGCTGCCTGCTCACAGGAGAAGAGGCGGACTGTGCGCTGAAACCACCACTCCCTTTCCCGTTCCCCCACCCCCCACCCTTGACACTGTGCGCAGGGCTCCGTGAGTGTGCTGTATAAGGCGCACGGAGGGGCGCTCTTCTCAGGGGATCATCTGGCATACGCTCCAAATACGGAAAGCCTTTCCATAATGAGACGAGTCAACTGGTACTCGGGTGAGTCAACCCAAGTCAACTCAAGTCAAAGGGAGTTGAACGCAGCCGTGTGACGTCTCTAGTAGAAAGAAAGGGTTGCAGTGGATGCAATCCGGAGCAGCACTGCCACTCTGCTGCTTCACACTGCTGCCTCCTCTGTTCTGTACGCGCATGCATTGCCCCTTGCCCCTTGCCCCTTGCCCCTTGCCCCTTGCCCCTTGCCGCTTGCCCCTTGCCCCTTGCCCCTTGCCCCTTGCCCCTTGCCCCTTGCCCCTTGCCCCTTGCCCCTTGCCGCTTGCCCCTTGCCCCTTGCCCCTTGCCCCTTGCCCCTTGCCCCTTGCCCCTTGCCCCTTGCCCCTTGCCCCTTGCCCCTTGCCCCTTGCCCCTTGCCCCTTGCCCCTTGCCCCTTGCCCCTTGCCCCTTGCCCCTTGCCCCTTGCCCCTTGCCCCTTGCCCCTTGCCCCTTGCCCCTTGCCCCTTGCCCCTTGCCCCTTGCCCCTTGCCCCTTGTCACTTGCACCCAGTATAAGGTCACTCCGTGATCCCTTACCCCCCTGTCACCCCCCGGCCCCCCTGGCTTCGCTCCCCTGTCATGTGACACGCGCCACCACGAGAGCAGTGCCGGTGCAGATTCAGAGCACCAAGAAGCTGGTGGGGCTGCCCTTCCGCTGGCTGCTGCCAGGTGAGGCGCGGTGCTGCCAGGTGAGGCGCGGTGCTGCCAGGTGTAGCGGTGTGAGGGATTTACATCAGTTTTGCGGTAGTTCCTGCCGCCTTGGGATGGGCGGGAGACTATCAATCTCTAGTGCCGGCGCCCACCTCCCAAGTGCCTGCCCATTCTCTTCCCAGCCTGTGTCACCTCTCGTCCCTCCTCGTCACATTTCCTGCTCGCACTCAGTCCCAATCGTTCATTCCCATCGCCCCCTTCTTTCTCCTCCCTACACGTGTGTACCCAGGCCACGGGCGGCGGTTTCACTTTGCGAGTGAGCAGCAGAGGGACGCGATGCTGCAGCAGGTGGTGGCGGGGGAGGAGGCGCTGCTGCTGCGGGGCCGTTAGGAAGGGGCATGCATGGGAGCATGGGTGACGCCGTGGGGTAGTGCATGGGAGCACTCATGGCGCACACACTTGTTCAGTGAGTAGCAGAGGGACGCGATGCAGCAGCACGTGGTGGCAGGCGACGAGGCGCTGCTGCGGCGGGGCCACTAGGGAGGTGGGGGGGGGGGGGGTGGGGGAGGTGCATGAGTGCGCTTGTGTGCTGTGGCCAGCAAGGAGCAGAGGGTCGCTATGCTGCCGCACGTGGTGGCGGGGGAGCAGACGCGGCTGGGCTAGGGCCAATGCATGCAGTGTGGAGGTGCATGAGTGCGCGTGTGCGTCAGTGGGCCAGCGAGGGGCAGAGGGATGCGATGCTGCAGCAGGTGGGGGGAGAGGTGCATGGGTGCAAGCATTAGGCAGCGTGACATGGCATGATGTGGGCAACTTCAAGGTGCCTCAAAGAGGTATGAGGGTCAAATGGACGTGAGGGTGTGGGGGGGAGGATGGGGATAGATGGGCGAGGAGGAGGAGGGGTGAGCTGGTCGTGCCAAGGGGATGAGTGGATACTGGAGAAGCAGGTGTTTGACAATAGAATTGCCTCCCCATGCACATGGTGCATGTGCCATTCCATTGCTGCTGGTGGCGTGCATGGGACGGCACGAGCAGGAGTTACTCGGAGAAGGACACTTCGAGCAGAGGAACCTGGCAGAAAGGATAAACAAAGCGTGGGCTGGAAAAAGCACCCCCCCTCATGCGCTGTGGGGACGGGGACTTGTTTTGCCCGTGGTGGTGGCAGGTCCGGAAAGCGTCTGCTGGGGATGTGCTGACTCAGCGTGGAAAAACCTTCGTGACTAGTGATGTGGTGTGTCCCTGCCTACCTGTCAGGGTTATGGTGTCACAAAGGTGGTGGCTAAGCTACTCTATCTAGGTTTATATGTTACTAGTTAAAAGAGCATCTTAGGGCAATTTTGACACTGGGTTGGGTTGGGTGTGAAGGGGCTGTTTTATAATTTGCTAGTATTTTAGGGCGTGTTACATTTTTCATTTTTTTCGTCCGGACAGCCAGCCGTCCGGACGATTGTGTGGTTACAAGACTCAGCAGTGAGGTCGTCAGGGTCTAAACGACGTCGTATCTTTCGTACTGCCTCCTTACGACGTCGCATTGGTCACAGCCGTCCGGACTTTCAGCGAATATAAAAAATGTAGCACGCCCTTATTTCTTCTTGAAATGTCTCCCCCCTCTCCCCCAATACACACACCCCACTTCTCTTCAACAAGCCTTCAAATTGCCGTGCAAAAGCATACCCTGCACAACTACACACTACTGTGCATGACAGCTTACTTGCTATGGTTCTTGTTCTTGTACCGTACTCTGAGAATTCTGATGGCAATCAATTATTGTACAACCTAGAAAGCAAACATTCCTATCCATACTTCGTATGGAAACACCCACTCAGCACCAACAAAAATGGAACGCAGAGAGCATCAAAGGCTGCTTTTGCCTGGAATCCGAAGCTTGTTTCCGTTGCGCGACTCAGCAGTGCGAGTTCAGTCCTTCAAATGAAGGTGGTCAGGCGATGGGAGTCCAGACGGACGACGGTCAGACGAAGCCGTCTATTACCCAGCAGCAGCAGAGCACCGATACTCTGCAGGAACAAGAGACACGCGCGTCAGCCATGAACAAACTGTCTTGTACGACACTCACACTTTGCTAACGGAGCAAAAAGAGTCGATAACAGCTTATTGGCGTATCAGCTTGTCAGCTTACAGCGCGACGCAGCAGTTGTCGTAGAAGCTCGCGTCTTTGTTCGTCACGATCACGCCACTGCACGGCGGCGGCGAGTCGCAATGGTAGTACTGGTAGTAGTGCCCCGCGCCGCTGCCGCTGCCGCTGCTACTGCTGCGGCTGAGGCTGAGGGGGTTAGTGAAGGCTTCCGTGGGCGACGTGCAGTCAGGCGGAGACGAATGGCCGTCGCGACAGAAATGATAACCTGCAGATGAGTGTGCGACGGGTTAGTTGCGTCCAGGGAATTGTATTTCAACCTAGCGGCTGAATTGGAGGATCGAAAACAAGCGCAGTATTTGAAGCATGCGATAGATTGCTGCTACAGAGGCAACACGCGTCACACCTTGATTGGGCGGTGCTGTGACAGGAGGCCCTTGATACGCCATTGAAGATCAATGAACCGTATTCAATTTACCCACCACTGTCTCCACTGCTCGTTCTCTAACGTCACGGCTCGTTTATCAACCTGCGTTACTGGGTTGAAGCCGTGAAACATGGGCTGATCACTCAGGTCCTACACTAGAATCCGTTGCTACGGAGCCTACTAAAGTCTGACTAATGACTGAATGGCTGACTGCAGGAAAAAGAGCTACAAGGCCCTTTTCAGTGCTGAGCTCGCAATAAAACATAGCGACGGACTTGGCGATGGATTGTGGGTGACATTGCGAATTCGCGAGGTCGATGGATGGCTGGATGGTGGAATGCGACGACGAATTGAGAATTACAGTGGCTGGTAATCCGATATGACGACGAGTCTGCGACTCACATTTCGGGCGAGATTTCTGGAAGCGCCTCGTGACCGAGCAGCAACGGAGTCACCAAAGCGCGCCAGCGCAGCAAGTCCCAAAAAGATGCCTTTCGAATTGGCTGGATTCGAGTCGTCGCAAAATCTCTTCGTCCTATCGCGAAGAAGTTACTTGCAGGTGTGTAACACCAGGGTGTCATCGCACGAACAAATCGCTGAAGGCTCGGGTGGCTTGCAAGGGCGGTCGAATTTGGACAGGTCAATCGTTGGAAATGCCGCGACACGGTGCATTCGACTGGGATTCAGGGTACAATACATTACCTATTGCCGATATAAGGCCAACAGATCCTAAATGCAATGAACTCTCATGCCCGCAATACTACAGTGCCCTTTCGATTGGGACACTAAGCTCCCACATGTCAAATAAGAGTTCCTATTCCTCCATACAACAGATACGAAACAGCTCCATACTCATTTATCATTAATGAGTTAAATCAATAATCTCAGTCCCCTTACAGTCTATGGTACAGGCTTCCATGTTAACTTCAAATTCAACCATCCATGAGGCACATCCATGAGTTGGAACTCGTTTTCAATATGCCCCTCCATCATTACTCTCGAGAGGCTCACACCCAGCCGACCCATGTTATCCTGCAAATTTGGGACATCAAGATATGGATCATGGCATTGGCTAGACAAAAACAAGTACAGACATATGCAGAATTTTCAGCAACATACCAGAATGAGCATGCTTATTCCATCCAAGAGTAACATAAGCAGAAACGAAGCCCGCATGCGCATCCCAGCTCAGCAATTCATGCATCACCACCAGCCTACACATACTGACTCTCTTGCCAGCCATACCAAATGCATGAGGACTACATTATATATCACATGCAGGCAACCAAAGTCATACAGGGAAGGGGGTTCTCATCCAAGTCATGCAGGTCGTAGTCGAAGAGCCCCACCACGAGCATGCAATGCTCATCGTAGTATGGTCGTAGTCGTAGCCGTAGTCATCCTCCACGAGGAACACAAAGCTGGCAAGAAAGTGAAAGGTGCCGAAGAGCACACCTTTGATGACTGACCGTTAGCCAACAGCAACCCACACAGGAACTCTCACTCACCTTTTGGCCAGCTGTCGTGGTCCAAGAGCCTCACCACCAGCGTGTCGTGCTTGCCATCCTTCCCCAGTCGCTGCACTGCACGGTGCCTCAGATCACACCCGTTGACGCTCCACGTAACAGCGAGTCATGAGGAGCTCTCACCTTCTTGCCCAGCTCTCACCTCTGGCCCAACGAGTCATGAGGAGCTCTCACCTTCTTGCCCAGCAGGTCATGGTCGAACAGTGCAACCACGACGAGCATGTCGTGCTTGTCTGTTCGACAGCTGCTGCGAGGCATGCTGTCCTGATGTGATGCTGACGCTGATGCGCTGATGCTGATGCACTGATGCTGATGCTGATGCGCTGATGCTGATGCTGATGCTGATGCTGATGCTGATGCGCTGATGCTGATGTGGAAAGCTGATACTGATGCTGATGCGCTGATGCTGATGCGGAAAGCTGAAGCTGATGCTGATGCTGATGCACTGATGCTGATGCGCTGATGCTGATGCTGATGCGCTGATGCTGATGCGCTGATACTGATGCGCTGATGCTGATGCGCTGATGCTGATGCTGATGCTGATCCGCTGATGCTGATGCTGATGCGCTGATGCTGATGCGCTGATGCTGATGCGCTGATGCTGATGCGCTGATGATGATGCTCTGATGCTGATGCGCTGATGCTGATGCTGATGCTGATGCGCTGATGCTGATGCGCTGATGCTGATGCCCTGATGCTGATGCTGATGCTGATGCGCTGATGCTGATGCGCTGATGCTGATGCTGATGCTGATGCGATGATGCTAATGCGCTGATGCTGATGCTGATGTGATGCTGATGCTGATGCTGATGTGATGCTGATGCTGATGTGATGCTGATGCTGATGCGATGATGCTGATGCTGATGCTGATGCGCTGATGCGCTGATGCTGATGCGCTGATGCTGATGCTGATGCTGATGCGCTGACGCTGATGCTGATGCTGATGCGCTGATGCTGATGCTGATGCTGATGCTGATGCGCTGATGCTGATCCGCTGATGCTGATGCTGATGCTGATGCGCTGATGCTGATGCTGATGCGCTGACGCTGATGCTGATGCTGATGCGCTGATGCTGATGCTGATGCTGATACGCTGATGCTGATGCGCTGATGCTGATCCGCTGATGCTGATGCTGATGCTGATGCTGATGCTGATGCTAATGTGATGCTGATGCTGATGCTGATGCTGATGCTGATGTGATGCTGATGCTGATGTGATGCTGATGCTGATGCTGATGTGATGCTGATGCTGATGTGATGCTGATGTGATGCTGATGTGATGCTGATGCTGATGTGATGCTGATGCTGATGTGATGCTGATGCTGATGCTGATGTGATGCTGATGCTGATGCTGATGCTGATGTGATGCTGATGCTGATGCTGATGCTGATGCTGATGTGATGCTGATGCTGATGTGATGCTGATGCTGATGCTGATGTGATGCTGATGCTGATGTGATGCTGATGTGATGCAGATGTGATGCTGATGCTGATGTGATGCTGATGCTGATGCTGATGCTGATGTGATGCTGATGCTGATGCTGATGCTGATGCTGATGCTGATGCTGATGCTGATGCTGATGTGATGCTGATGCTGATGCTGATGCTGATGTGATGCTGATGCTGATGCTGATGTGAAGCTGACTTACCTTGGGGAGGGCGTGGAGGACAGTGGCAGGCATGGAATCATCCTCCACCAAGGCCGTGACAGATACTCACCAGCAACACGTTATAAGGAAAGCCCACCTTCTTGCCCAGCAGGTCGTGGTCGATAAGCCCCACCACGAGCATGTCGTGCTTGCTGTCCTCCACGAGAAACTCAAAGTTGGCTGTTGCAGACTGACGCACGACCTAACAGCAAGCCCTTCCTGATGAGAGAAGCTCACCTTCTTGCCCAGCAGGTCGTGGTCAAAGAGCCCCACCACGAGCATGTCGTGCTTGCCGTCCTCCACCAGGAATTCAAAGTTCTCATTCCACTCCGGCTCCAGCGTCTTCTTCACCACCTGTGACTTCCTCCTCTGCCCTCCCAGCTGTAGCTGCAGGTAGGCAGAGCGGTTGAGAGAGGTGGGAGAGAGAGGGAGAGAGAAGGTCATGTGAGAAGATAATGACAACCACACTTCATAGATCCCTTAGATCTGTTCTCTCACATCCTCAAAACACAGCAGGAGCGTGCGTACCTCAAGAACAGCAAACGGGTCACTGAGCCCATTCATATCACACGCCACGAGCTCTCGCCCCGACAGCAGCACCACCTGCAGCACGCCTCTCAAGTACTTGGTCTCCCCGTCCTCCACCCCCAGCCCCCCCTGATCCCCACCCAGAGCCATCGCCGGCACATCACCCCCCTCTTCGCCCTCCTCCTGCTGCTGCGCCTTGATAGGGCTCAGAAACCCCACGCCCGCCTGCCGCGTTTTCCGTGCCTCTGCAGCGTTGGCTGCTGCTGTTGCCTCCTGGAGCGTCTTGGGAGCTGGTGGGGTGAAGTAGGCTGGGGCGAGCAGCACCCCGTTCTCGTCCACAGGCCGGTAGAGCAGCTCCAGATGCAGCTGAGAGATGAGAAGCGGGGGTGGGTGGGGAGGAGGGGAGAGAGTGAAGGAGAAGGAACGTTGTGAGTTGACTGAAAGTAGAGTGGGGGAGGTAGAGTGGGGGATTGCATTGCGTTGCCTTGTCTGTTATCTAATGGCATGCTACGTCATGGGATTGCATTGCATGCTGTGTTATGACAAGCTATCTGCTGCTACCCCATGCCAGCACCTCCACACGCACCGAGCCGCGAGGGCGGGTGTCAGCCTTGGGGTCGTCCACGTCCTTCACCACGGGCACCCACCGGTCCACCAGCTTCAGCGGGGGCAGGTCTGCCAGTACAATGGCCGCCTGCCCCACTGGCTGAGATGCCGTCAGCTCCTGGTCATCCCACACCTGTTCGTGATGCATGCGGTGGGGGGGTGAGGCGTGGCGGAGAAGGTGCGGGAAGGGGAGGAAGGTTGTGTGAGTGGAGGCAGGTCTGCCAGTACAATGGCCGCCTGCCCCACTGGCTGAGATGCCGTCAGCTCCTGGTCATCCCACACCTGCAAGTGATGCATGGGGATGGGATGGGAGGGCAAGGGGAAGCAGGCCATGGGTGAGCTGCGGGGTGCCTCGCACTGCCTTTCATCCTCCTGCCGCACGGACCGCTCCTGGTCGTCCCACCACTGACGCAGGCAGCAGGGAGAGCTCAAAGAGCAAGAAAGAGAGTAAAGAAGGAAGCAGGAGGGCCAACATCGGACATGCAGGCATAGAGCGTGCTCTAATCTCAACTCTCACGTTCACCAGACCGAATTTCCCTTGAAGCTACACCTGTTACACCTTTCACAGCCTGTTACAGACTGTACCCTCACCTTGATGACGAGCCTCTGTGTCTCGGGGTCCTCCACGGTGAATTCAAACGAGTGGTTCCAAAGTGGGTTCACCGAGTTGGCCTGCCAACGCAAGGGAGGGAGGCAAGAAAGGGGAGAGTGGAGATCAGTCAGTCTCTGTGCCTCAGAGCACTTGAAAGCCAGATGTGCATCTGTGCCTCCATGCCATTCGCTCCTCCTATTTCCACATCTACGAATTAGCTGAATCTCCACAGCAGCTGAACGGGAAGGGGATGCCACACCAATTACAATGGTTTGTCAAGTTGAAGAATTATAATGGTCCCATGGCATGGAGGTTCATCCCGATGGTTCGTGGAGGGGGAGCGGTGGTTCGTGGAGGGGGAGCGGTGGTTCGTGGAGGGGGAGCAGTGGTTCGTGGAGGGGGAGCAGTAGTTCGTGAAAGACTCGAAGTGCTTCCGTGGAGGGTTCGGTTCGGACTCACAATGGTGCGGCTGCGGCGGGTGCGGGCAGGGATGGGGCGAACGAAGAGAGTGGCGTAGGGGTCGATGGTGCCGAGCAGCGACAGGTTCACGAGGTCCCTCCCCTCCACCAGCTTCACCTCCAGCACTCCCACCGTGCGCATCTGTAGGTACCTGGGGGGAGCGGGAGAGAAACAGAAGAGGGGAAGGGCTTGAAATGAGCAATGGGGGGTTCACGAGGTCCCTGCCCTCCACCAGCTTCACCTCCAGCACGCCCACCGTGCGCATCTGTAGGTACCTTGGGGGGGGGGGGGGGGGGGGGGGGTTGTTGGGCAATAAGAGTGAGTCATGTGGAATAAGAGTGGGTTTCACGATACATTGAAATGCCCTCCATGAGTTTCAACGTTAACAGTCCCACTGTGCCCATTTAGAAGTAGCGGAGAGGGTGGGATTGGCGTTGAGGGAAGGGGGGAAAGTGGGGATTGGAGGAGGGGGTTGGGATGTGGGGAATATGGGGTCAGGGTGTGGGGAATGAGGGGTGGAAGAAGATAGTAGGGGGGGTAAAAGGCAACGTGAGAGCTCGATGGGATGAAGAACAGGAGAGGAATTCACGGAGGCAACTGGAGCTACACACACGTACAGGCAGCAACTTACTCATAATTGCCGGGCAAGATGGGGGCAGCAACTTACTCATAATTGCCGGGCACGATGGGGGCAGCAACTTACTCATAATTGCCGGGCACGGTGGGGGCAGCAACTTACTTATAATTGCCGGGCACGATGGGGGCAGCAACTTACTCATAATTGCCGGGCACGATGGGGGCAGCAACTTACTCATAATTGCCGGGCACGATGGGGATGCCATGACTTTTGATTTGAGTCGACTCACAAGGCAGTGAGACTTGTACAGGCAGCAACTCACTCATAGTTGCCGGGCACAATGGGGATGACATGGCGCACCGGCCAGACCAGCGAATCCATGATGGCTGAGCGAATCAGATCCTGCAGCAGAGTGTACAGGGTGGGACAGGGAGAGCGCAGGGTGCACAGGGAGAGCGCAGGGTGGTGAAGGGAGCGCAGGGTGGGGATGATGGACAGAGAAAGCACTGCGAAACAGAGATAGGTGCTGGTGACGTAACATGGCTCTATCCTTTGTCACAGAGAGACATGACTGACAGAACCTAGCGCCAGCTGCAATCCCCTCAAAAGCAGGGGATTGGTAAAAAATGTGCAACGGCAAGGGAGACAATGCATCAGGCAAGCCCTTTCCCTCCTAGAGATGCCATGCCATGCCATGCCATGCGATGCCATGCCGACTCATCACCGCGCCAACTCACATCCTCATGCCACCATTGCATCGTCCCATCAAATCATCATATCATATCATCCCATCACATCACCGCACCAACTCACATCATCACAGCGACTCGACTCACATCACCACACCACACCGACTCCTGGCGACTCACTCACATCAATGGCATCTCCCAGGCCAGGTACGGCCGCAATGTCACCGCCCGCCACCTTGAGCTTGAACTTCACCTCGGGCTGTCACATGCGTGGGTGGGTGGCATGAGACGCGGAGGGGAGAGTGTATGTGTGTGAAGGAGCGGGGTGGGTGGGTTGGGCTGCGTAGGTGATTTCAGAGTTGACTCAAATCTACCAATCCAGATACGGCAGTCACGTCACCACCCGCCACCTTGAGATTGAACGTCACCTTCCTCCTTGGTGAAAGCGGATGGGGCCAAAGCATGGGATGGTGTTGTGTTGATGAGGCCAAAGCATGGGATGGTGTTGTGTTGATGAGGCCAAAGCATGGAATGGTGTTGTGTTGATGAGGCCAAAGCATGGGATGGTGTTGTGTTGATGAGGCCAAAGCATGGGATGGTGTTGTGTTGATGAGGCCAAAGCATGGGATGGTGTTGTGTTGATGAGGCCAAAGCATGGGATGGTGTTGTGTTGATGAGGCCAAAGCATGGGATGGTGTTGTGTTGATGAGGCCAAAGCATGGGATGGTGTTGTGTTGATGAGGCCAAAGCATGGGATGGTGTTGTGTTGATGAGGCCAAAGCATGGGATGGTGTTGTGTTGATGAGGCCAAAGCATGGGATGGTGTTGTGTTGATGAGACCAAAGCATGGGATGGTGTTGTGTTGATGAGGCCAAAGCATGGGATGGTGTTGTGTTGATGAGGCCAAAGCATGGGATGGTGTTGTGTTGATGAGGCCAAAGCATGGGATGGTGTTGTGTTGATGAGGCCAAAGCATGGGATGGTGTTGTGTTGATGAGGCCAAAGCATGGGATGGTGTTGTGTTGATGAGGGGCGTCAGGGCCTTTTTGAGGCGCCCCAACAATCGCCTCAGGAGAATGGAAGCAGGTATGAGCACAGAAGAGGGGGCGCAGTGACGGTGTACGTGTACCTTCTTTGTGAAGGCGAAGACAATGGCGCCGAAGCATGGGATGGTGGGGATGAGGGGCGTGAGCGCCACGCGGAACACTCCCCATATTTGAAGGTTCTTCACCTGGTGGCGAGCAAGGAAGTGCGGGGAATGGGGCGAAGAGGAGAGGAGAGAAAATATGTGTACTGTCACGAAACAGGAGAGGAAAGAACAGGCAGGCAGTTGGTGACGAGAGGGGTGAGGGAGGGCCACACTGGGTTGGGCCACATTGGGGCACGGCACTTGGATAAAGCCCCGGTTTCGAGGGTAATTACCTGCACGGGAGAGTGCACTTGCAGCGCGACGCCCACGACGGTCCTGATGGCGAGGATGATAGAGGGGTCGCCCCCCAGCCCTGTTCACCCTCATGCATGGCTGAATGCTCCGCCCGCTATCCTGCCATGGCCACCGCACTCACCCACCCACCTGCACTTGCAGCGCGACGCCCACGACGGTCTTGATGGCGAGGATGATGGAGGGGTCGCCCACCCAGTTGAAGTCCACATGCAGCACCACCTCGTCCGCCCTCGTCTCCACCACGTCTATGCCTGCCGCACAGCACAGCATGGGGAGGGAGGAGGAGCACGTGGAGATGGGTCACAACTCCTGACAGACAGACAGGCAACTCCTGACAAACCAAACCACCATACCCACGCGCTGCTGCACTGCACTGCACGCACCTCCCAGCTGCGGGGCCAGGCGGCCGAGGTTGAACTTGGTGAGCTTGAGCGAGGAGATCATGGGGGGGCGGTAGCTCTCCAGCACTGGGCCTATTTGCATCATCACCGCGCCTGATATGGCCTGCGGGGCCGCGCGGTGCAGCAGGCACACGGGTGAACGGCAGACGGCGGGGACAGTGGTAAAAAGGGGGGGCGGGGGGAGAAGAGTTATCAGGACGCAAAAAGAATATTCTTTCCGCCAGAAGCGAAAGATGCAATAGACCGGCCTTGAGACAGGGTGGTTGGTGGAAGTGCAGCAGCGTAAAGAAGACGACGGCCTTCCGCCAAGAGCGTTTGAGAGGAACGATCACAGCGCCAAAGAGAAACTCATGAGACTCACCTCTCTGAGCTTGGGCCAGAGCTCACGGAGGAAGTAGTTGATCCACTCCACCTGCACGTGGGGAGAGGACGAAAGTGCTCGAAAGCAACTCATTCTAACGTTTTCATTGTCGCTGGAGTCAGTGAAAACGGCGGAGTAGCGCTCGAGGCTTCACTATGCAAGTATTGGTTACATGAAAACAACTTGTCTACATCATACCCGCTCGAACTCCGGGAACTGCACCCAGGTCGGGTAGAGCTCTTTGGGTATAAGCTTTCTCAGGTCCTCCTTGTTCACGCACGACATCATCGCGAGATCCACCATCTGCTCAATAACGCGTACGGTATTGAATGAACGTTTAGCACGTGCTAGACGGGAAGGGTAAACTAGGCGCGGAAATGACGAGGAAACAGCAGGGAATGGAAGGCGATCAAAGAAAAAGTGCACCTTGCGAACGCGCTGCGCATGTCGCCTTTTCTGTATGTATTTGATCCCCGCTAGAACGACGATTCCCGTGACGAAGCCGAAGAATATGCTGGGATAGAACCCCATGGCTCGTCGCAGCTAATTCTAATCAGCTTGCGCGGTGAGGAGTGGACAAGCGGTTTAGTGGCACTGGCAACGAATCGAAGTTTTTTCTTATCCGCGGGATGTCGGCAGAACAGCGGTCGGGTGTGGTGAGTGACAGGCTTTAAACATCAATTGCGCTTTTCAACGATCATATTGCTACACCGGTGACGAACACCGAGTCAGAAACAGAGGTTGGTAAATGAGCCAGGCGAGGCACGGGGTAGTAAACTTCTCCAATTGCTGCAACCAGCTTCTTCACAGCTAAGCAAACCGGCTAACCTAGAGAGTACCGCGATCGATCGGAGCTGACATAGTAACGTCAACTACTAGGTCAGCTATGTCTCAAGACTGTACACCGTCGCTACTAATTCGGAGAAAAAACAGGGAGCAACTTGAAGCAAGTAGAAAGTCGCAAAAACAGCACGGATCAGGATTCAGGAACAAGAAGCTCGATGGTCTCGTGAAGGAACGGCCAACCAATGAGTATTGGTGATGTGCGAATATGGTTGGCTGTTGCAAGCTGAACTGAACTCCCAGGATTGCCCCGAGAACAGGGACCGAGAGTGAGTGAGGGAGGGAGGGAGCCTTGGGATTTGGGAACTGGATGCTCCTTGCTGGCAGGAGCGCAGCGGGAACTACTTGACCGAGTGTTGTTGCGGTTTGTGAGCTTATCGCACCGAAGTTCTGATTTTTGAGGAGGTACACCACAGTGAAACCGGTTCCGTTACAGTATGTGCGCCATTGCGCCAAATGCATATTTTCCCGATTCCTGACTTCCTTCCTTGCTGCCAGGGCTCGTCTCCATCTCTGCCACCCTTAACGGGGGAATGCGGAACCAAGATTCGCCATGTCTAGCCGAATTGACTGGCTCGCCTGACATTAGGCTTTGTTAGCAGCGTTGAGGAGTAGGATCATCCTGTCGGTTTCCACTCCGAAGCGGACAGCAGCATGCGAAGACGTCACTTCGCCCGGGATCACACATGATACATTTTCTAGTCAGGAACCGCATTTAACAGTTTCATTCCGCTTTCAACCGAGCTTCTCGTCGCGACATTAAGCTCCGTTAAGCCATGCCGTCAATCTTCAGCCTGAGCAGCCTCCCCTCCCCCACCGCCGTGCTCTTCCTTATCGTCGGCTTCCAGCTCGGATGGATCTCCACGTCAGTTATCGTGCCAGCGTGGCAGCAACAGCACCGGCAGCAGGGGCCGTGCGTGTCACCTGACGACCTCGGATGCGCCAGAGGAAATACCCTTCCGTTCTTATCCTTCTTCTCCTCTTCTTTTGAAAATTCATTCCTCTCTGGAGCTAGGAGCGGTGAACTCGGCTCTGTTAGCGAAGAGCCTTGTAACGCGTCGCTGGTGCTGTTGAAGCAGCAGCAGGACGCTATTCTGCAATCCCTGCAGGAGCAGGAGGTGGGGATTCAGAGGCTTCAGCAGCTAGTGGCTGCGCGAAACGGCTCCATTGTGAGCGAAATCGGTGCGTGTTACCGCATTTTATTCGTGAATGTCCTTCCGTGGTTTATGTTCAACCAGGCCATGCGTAACACTTTGTCATGCCTCACCTGAGAATTCCCTCTCTTGGGTCATCCCTCACCCGTTGTCCCTTTCAGTGGAACCGGCCTGCGCCAATGACACGATGCCACGTGTAGGCACAATCCACTGGAACCCGAAGCCTCAGAGGTATGGCAACTAGCTATTGGGGCGTGCTGGCCCACAGTGCATCGCTCCTAGTACCTCCTTCCCACTTGCTCCTTCTATCCTGCCCTTCCTGTCTCCTCACTCTCGCCTACCCTCTTCCCTCTCTCCTCCCCTCTCTTCTTCCTCACCTCACCCTCTCCTCACCTTCTCTCCCCCCTTTCCCGTTCCCTCCCTCACCTCCCCCTCGCCCCCTTCCTCCCCCTCTCCCCCGCGCCACTCCCCTCGCCCATGCGCTGAGAGCGCAGGTACCTGATAGCGCTGTGTTCGGGGGGGCAGCTGAGCAACCGCCTGGCGTGTGTGCGGCAGAACATGCTGGACGCGGCGCTCATGAACCGCACGCTCGTCATCCCCACGCAGGGCATCGACTATGACTATGAGGCGCTGCTAGGTGCGTGAGTGAGTGTGCTGCGCCTCAGCGCCTCTGTGCCTGTGGCGGGGGTGTGCGGCGCTCATGAACCGCACACTCGTCATCCCCACGCAGAGCATTGACTACGACTACGAGGCGCCGCTAGGTGAGTGCGTGTGGCACTGCTAGTGTGCCTGTGCGTCTGTGTCTCTGTAGGGCTGGGAACTTGCTTGTTACTCGATTTGGGGAGTGTTGGTTGTGGCTCTCGGGGACCCGCACGCTCGTCATCCCCACGCAGCTCATCAGCCTACAACAATCAATCCACTTCATCCGAATTCCCACAAGGTCGATACAGTCCTCCTGCCATCCCGTGTGCCCCATCAGACCTGGGGGCATTCGACGAGTGCATGGGCCCTGGGCGCGTCATCACCTTCTCAGCCTACAACGCCTCAGTCCGAGGCCGCGTGCGAGTGGGCCGCTACATCTGCCACGTGCACGTGTACCAGACCGACCAGGCCTGCGACTCTCTCCGCCTCTCCTACGAGGCGCGCCTGCACGCGTCCTTTGCCAAGCATGAGATCGCCCGCAAGAGAACACCCAGCCCCTGGTTCAAATACCCCACCACGGAGTTTCTCAGAAAGTTCCACGGGGACCACCACGTGATTGCGTTTGCGAATATGTTTGGCGTGGGCGGGAGGGAGCTGAGGTTCCATGGGAGAGCGCCGCTGGTGGTGCGCCCGGAGTGCCGCGGGCTGCTGCAGCCCAGCCGCGCGATCCAGGAGGCGGCGGTGGGGTTTATCAACACGTTTCTTGGCTCGCGCTTCATTGCCATTCACCTGCGCAGGTACAGCTTCAGGCAGTGACCGTGTTCTGACTGTGTGCGGGGTGCATACCTTCGTTTCAGCCTTCGTGTCATTACATATCTGAGGGCCAGGACCTGCGTTTTCATTTACGCTTCTATTGCTTTCATGTGCACTGCCTAATGCCAGCGCCCTCGCCTCCACCTTTTCAAGGGCTGACACTACCAGTATGTCGTTCCCTCTCGATCTCACTCCCCCCCTCCCCTTTTTTCCCAGGGGCGACTTCTTCCATCACTGCATTCACGGCGACGGCAGTCGCAGGGCGGTGCCGTGCTTCCACCCCATCCACCAGCTCACACTCTCTTTTCATCAAGTTCTCAAACCCCTTCTCCCGTACCCCTCAACCTCACTTCTTCACACTGGCTCGTGCCTGCCCACGCCTACCCCTCCCCTCTCTCCTCCTCCCAGAGGCGACTTCTTCCACCACTGCATACACGGGGACGGCAGTCGCAGGGCGGTGCCGTGCTTCCACCCCATCCACCAGCTCGCGCGCTGCCTGCACTCGCGCCTGCAGGCGCTGCCCGGCGCTGCCATGGTCTTTGTGGCCAGCAATGCCGGGCAGGAGGAGATGCGCGCCCTGTCAGAGACACTGGCCACGCTCGTGAGTGGGGAGGGGTAGAGACATGGTGGTAGGAATGGGTGGGGGACCAGAGGGAAAGGGAGAACGAGCAAGGTTGTCGCTCCTCCTCGTGCCTGCAGGAGCCGCAATTGTGTTTGTGGCGAGCAATGCGAGGGAGGAGGAGATGTTGGCACTGTCAGAGGCACTGTCAGAGGCACTGGCAATGAGTGGTGGGGGTGAGGAGTGAGGGGATGGGGGAGGTGGGGGTTGGATTGGCCAAGAGATCAGAGGGAGAGGGAGAGAATTGCGGGGAGGAGCAGATGTGGGAGCTGTCAGAGACACTAGCAATGCTTGTGAGTGGAACGATAGAGAGCCTTTTCCAGCTCTATCACAAATTCATTCTCCTTCCCATTCTTGATTCTCGTCTCTCTCACCTGCTTCCTCGATCTCGGCCTTCTGCTGGCTTGCACCCGCACCTGGCCGCTCCCTTTCCACTGCTCCTGCTTCCCCTCAGGGTTCTCCTCATTCGTTCGTGTCTTTGCCACCAAGCCTCAAGGGCCAGGCTTGGGCCGAGCCTCTACTCAGCCTGGGTCTGGAGAGCAACAGGGAGGTGGTGTCGTTTCTGGATAAGACCATCTGTGCGCTCGCGCTCAAGTTCTATGGCACGTCAGGCTCCACGTATTCCCATGACATCATGCGGTGAGACACGTTGCAATTGGCTCCCCTGATAAGTTGGTGTGATGTGATCTGTCGTGGTGTGCGTTCATATGGTTAGATGCGTTCTTCTCAAGTGTGATTTTACTGCTCCATGCGATGTGCACGTTCGTGTTATATTGCGATGCGTGCTTATGCTGTCACCATTTTCTTTGGCAGGTTGCGGGAATGGTGGCGAGATGACCACTGTGAAATGTACATCTGCCCAGAGACGCTGCCCTCCGAGATTTCTCACATACACCCCAACCTCGCTAAGAGATTGCAGCCTCCACCTCAGGAGGCTGCAAACAAATTGAATGTTTCTGTAAAGGGGACAAGGGACAGGAATACGTCGTCGTAACTGTAAGGTTAGGTGCTGGACCCTAGACAAATCAATGCCTGAAAGGTATATATCAGTTGATGTTTCCCTAAGAAGAGCGCCTAGTTGAAAGCGGAATTCACCTAACAAATACTGGTATACTGTATTGCGTACCTTGTTGGTCCTAACCTTGTATCGCATCGCATTCCAAGACCTTGAGAACATACAGTATATAAGGACCGCAAAATGTACGTATCTCCAACGCCGGCAACACCCCCGTCAACGTCTCTTGTCCGCTCTGAGAAGTTATTAAACCAAGAATCAAGGAGCCTTATCTAGTCTAGACCCACAACCAAACAACACACTTGTAAGTTCGCCTTAGCAATGCTCACCTACGCTTGGATTCTAATTCGGTTGCTCGTTTCCAGGCGCATGAACCTCTTACGCTTTGCATTGCCATGCGCGCTGATCGGACGGTCCTCGGCGTGCGTCTAGTTCATCTAGCCGCTTCTGCGACTGTCTGAGCGAGTCCAAAGCGACCTTTGAGTCGCCTCGAAGGTCTTACGTGTGCCCGGACTTAGAGGTTCGAAGCCAGAGTTATCGTGATTGTCAGAAATCACGTCTGTCGTGACGTAACGATTGAATTCACATCTAGCCTGAAACGTCTCGCAATCTTCATTCCCATGTTTCACACCATCCTCACTCCTCCGTACCGCAAATGACCGTTGCCCCGCTGACTGCAAATGGTGGCGTCAGAGTCGGGCGAGTACGAGTACGAGCCGTGGGCCGAGGAGCGCCTCGAGCGAATCCGACGGCGAGAGGCCATTCTCAATGCCGTGCCCATCACCCCCTCCTCCGCATCCGCCGCTAAGCAATCTCCACGCGCATTGGCCGCCGCAAGAGCCGGCGCTGGCGGACTGACGGGCGCGAGCGGCGCGGCGGAGGAGCTTAGCTCGCCGTCGAAGACCAAGGAGGGGAAGGAGGGGAAGGGCGCGGAGAGGCGAGACACTTGGGGGGACGACAGCGGCGTTGCGCGGTCGATCGCTCGCCCAATGACGTTCCTGCGTAGTGTGGTGCGCGCTGGGGGGAGGGGGGTTGACTGGAGGGTGGCCGTGTGATTGTATGGGTGTTTGAGTGTGGCCTGGCATTTGCTGCCTGATGTGACAATATGTGGGGGGGGGAGGGGATGGGGGAGGAAAGATGGGGGAAAGGGAAATGTGGTGCCTGATATGACAATCTCGGGGGTTCTGCAAGTCTGAGTTGTCGTTTCTATCTTTCTCAATGCCTCCCATGTCTCCTCTCATGCCTCCTCCCATGTGTGCCCCCATGTGTGCACCCCCACGCCAGGCGCGGTTCTACTGCACCATCTTCCTCCTCTTCCTCCTCCTCACCGCCTGCCAGGTGCGCCTCTTGCTATTCCCATGATTCCAGTATTTTCCACCATGCCTTGTCAACACCACCCCTTCTCCTGCCCCATTCTCCTCAATCCCCCCCTCCCCTTCGCCTTCCCTCACCCAAACCCCTCCTCCCACAACCTCCCTTTTCACCCCACCTTGCTGTGTGCACCGCGCTGCTGCGCAGGTGTATGTCATGTGGACGGAGGAGCTGGGGGCGCTGGAGGTGTCCTCTACAGGCCTCTCGTCGCTGCTCAACACGGTGAGGAGGGAGGGAGGGAAGAGGTGTGTGCGTACAAGGGCGGGAGGGTGGGGTGCAAGTGGGGATGAAGGAAAGGGGGGGGTGAGGAAGGGGATGGGGGGCCGACGAGAGGAGGTGGTGCATGTGCACGACGAGAAGGGAGTTACAGTTTTGCAAGGGTACGGGCTCAAGGCAAGGGTACGGGCTCAAGGCAAGGGTACGGGCTCAAGGCAAGGGTACGACGGGCTCAAGGCAAGGGTACGGGCTCAAGGCAAGGGTACGGGCTCAAGGCAAGGGTACGGGCTCAAGGCAAGGGTACGGGCTGAAGGCAAGGGTACGGGCTCAAGGCAAGGTGAAACGGAGTGTACAGTCATCATCAGTTTGCTTCTCCATCCCTCACTCCCCCTCTTACTCCCTTCCTTTGAGTCGACTCAAAAGCAGACTCATACTCCCTTCCCCTCGCTCCCCGTGTGGTGTCTTGCTCCCCTCGCTCCCTTCCCCGCGCTCCCCGTGTGGTGTCGTGCTCCCCTCGCTCCCTTCCCCTCGCTCCCCGTGTGGTGTCGTGCTCCCCTCGCTCCCTTCCCCGCGCTCCCCGTGTGGTGTCGTGCTCCCCTCGCTCCCTTCCCCTGGCTCCCCGTGTGGTGTCGTGCTCCCCTCGCTCCCTTCCCCTGGCTCCCCGTGTGGTGTCGTGCTCCCCTCGCTCCCTTCCCCTTGCTCCCCGTGTGGTGTCGTGCTCCCCTCGCTCCCTTCCCCTTGCTCCCCGTGTGGTGTGCGCAGAGCAAGCCAGCGAAGCTCACGCGGCGAGTCGTGCTCTCCACCATGGCGCGAGACATCATGGACCTGCAAGGTGGGCTTTAACGTGCTGTGTGCTTGTGCGGGGGGCTTTAAGATGGTATGAGCCTGCAATGTGGGCATTGAGGTGTGCTAGAGGTGGCGAGTCGTGCTCTCCACCATGGCGCGAGACATCATGGACCTGCAAGGTGGGCTTTAAGCTGCCATGAAATGAACCCAGCTCAGCATGTGACGTGCAAAACCTAAGCTGAGCATGTCCGCATGATGGCCTGCCATCGCCATGTGCCACCAGCCCTTCCATTCCCAATCCGACTCCACCCACAAATCTATCTGCCTCCCTCTGCTCCCTCTGCTCCTCTGCTCCTGTCCTCTCCTGCACTCATCTCCCACCCTTCTATCCTCCCGTCTCTCCTCTTCGCCCACCCTCCTCTCCCTTCCTCCCCTCTCTCCTCTTCGCCCACCCTCCTCTCCCTTCCTCCCCTCTCTCCTCGTCGCCCACCCTCCTCTCCCGTCCCTCACCACCCCCCCAGCCTCCCTCACGGCCAGCATGGCACAGCTACAGCAGCAGCAGGCAGCACTGACCAATCAGACAGCCCAGTCGCTGCAGGCGCTGGAAGCGCGGGTGACAGGTGGCAGCAGGCGATTGGTGGACTTCACGCGGGCCATGGGGGAGAAGCAGGCGGGGGAGGTGCAGGGCGTGCGGGCGCGTGTGGAGGAGATGGGGCGCGTGCTGGCCAAGCAGGGGGAGATGCTGGCCGAGCAGATGGCTGCTGTCACTGCGCTCAAGGTGGGTGGGGTGGGGTGGATGGCCGCCCTCACCCTTTCTGCCCTCTGTTCCTGTTACTGCACAGCACCCCTGTTACCGCACTGCACCACCTGTTACCACACAGCGCAAACCCACATTCCCCTCAGGCGGATCTGGAGATGCGCAAGGCAGCGGCCACCCCCCCCAGCAACTACTCGCTCTATTACATCACAGACGACCACCCTGACCTTTGCTCCTCCTTTCCCTACAACTGCGGCCCCCCCACTGCACCCCTTGTTACTGCTGTGCACCCCGTGTTACCGCACTGCATCTCATTCCCACCAGGCGGATCTGGAGATGCGCAAGGCGGCGGCCACCCCCCCCAGCAACCATTCCCTGTACTACATCACAGACGACCGCCCTGACCTTTTTTCCCCTTCCATCTTGCTGCATCCCCTCCCTCTGCACCCCCTGTTACCGCACTGCACCCAGGCGGATCTGGAGATGCGCAAGGCAGCGGCCACCCCCCCCTCCAACTACACGCTATACTACATCACCGACGACCACCCTGACCTCTGGCGCCAACGCTCCTTCCGCCGCTACGCCTCCTATGGCTTCGTCAAGTACAGGTGAATTGCCAAAAGCCCAACCGCCTAATAGCCCAATAGCCTAATAGCCTAATAGCCTAATAGCCTTATAGTTTAATATCCCAATAGCCCAATAGCCCAATAGCCTAATAGTCCAATAGCCTAGCAGCCTAGTAGCCTAATAGCCTAACAGCCTAATAGCCTAACAGCCTAACAGCCTAATAGCCTAACAGCCTAATAGCCTAATAGCCTAATAGCCTAATAGCCTAACAGCCTGATAGCCTATCAGCCTAATAGCCTAATAGCCTAACAGCCTAATAGCCTAACATAGCCTAACAGACTAACAGCCTACCAGCCTAACATCGTAATTGTGAAACAGCCTAATAGCCTAACAGAAATAGCCTAACAACCTAATAGCCTAACAGCCTAACAGCCTAACAGCCTAACAGCCTAACAGCCTAACAGCCTAACAGCCTCACAGCCTAACAGCCTAAGTGCCTAAGAGCCTAACAGCCTAATAGCCTAACAGCCTTACATCATAACAACGTAACAGCCTGACAGCCTAATAGCCTAATAGCCCAATAGCCCAATATTCTAATAGCCCAATAGCCTATTAGCCCTATAGCTCAATAGCCCAATAGCCTAATAGCCAAATCCAAATAGCCCAATAGCCCAATAGCCCAATAGCCTAATAGTCCAAAAGCCTAATAGCTTTATAGCCTTGATTTACAGCCTAATAGCTCAATAGCTCAATAGCTCAATAGCTCAATAGCCTAATACCCCAATAGTCTAATAGCCTAATAGCCTAACAGCCTAATAGCCTAACAGCCTAATAGCGGAATAGCCTAATAGCCCAACAGCCTAACAGCCTAACAGCCTAACAGCCCAATAGCCTAACAGCCCAATAGCTTAATAGCCCAATAGCCTAATAGCCAAATCCAAATAGCCCAATAGCCCAATAGCCTAATAGCCTAATAGCCCAATAGCCCAATAGCCTAATAGCCTAATAGCCCAATAGCCCAATAGCCTAATAGCTTAATAGCCTTGCTTAACCGCCTAATAGCCTAATAGCTCAATAGCCCAATAGCCTAATAGCCTAATAGCTTTATAGCCTAATAGCCCAATAGCCTAATAGCCCAATAACCCAATGGCCTAACAGCCTAATAGCCTAATAGCCTAATAGCATAATAGCCAAATAGCCAAATAGCCCAATAGCCTAATAGCCTAATAGCTCAATAGCCTAATAGCCCAACAGCCCAATAGCCTAATAGCCGAATAGCCCAATATCCTAAGCACTAGCACACACATCAACCCAACATGCTCTTCTCTCTCTTGTGTTCCCTCCGTGCTCTCCCAGCGCCTACCGCGTGTCCCCATCACGCATCGCCATCCTGGGCCTCTCAGCCCTGGCGCTGCACGGAGCGCACCGGCTGTCGTTCTGCGAGTGGCACGGCGTGGATGGGTCTGTCATACCGGGGGTGCTAGAGATGATCTATGTGGGCGAACATCATAACTTCCTCGTACGTGATGTCAACTCAACACCATCCGTTGTTCTCAACACCACCTGCTGTTCAGTATGATGTGGGAGTGGCATGGTGTGGATGGGTCCGTCATTCCGGGGTGCTCGAGATGATCTACACCATAACCTCCTGATGCGTATGACACCTGACAGTCTTAATCAGCACCTGCTGCTGCTGCTGCTGTGTGCTGTGTGAGTGCAATGGCCATGTGAGATGCTCAAAGAAAAAACTCTAGATTTTTTGTGTCGCGACGAACTATCAAAGGAAAGTAATGTATTTCCCGCTTCTGCCCTACCCTCCCATTCCCGCTCTCAGTACGAGACAGTGGTTGTCAACTGTCTGTTGGAATCACCTGTGCAATCACCTGGGGGCTACCTGAAGGCACGCATCAACTCCGAGATCCTTTACCCCTTCAGAGAGTCCAAGTCTGAGGTATGCACGGGACCACGTGGGGTGCATGTGGGTGCAAGGATTAGGAGGTGTGGTGGTGTCTTGTGCGCCCTGTCATTCTGTGGTCCTGTCATGTGCTCTCTACTATCTGCTGTCCTTCCCCCTCCCACCCCTTTTCCCCTTCCTTCCCGCCTCCCAATCTCACCCAGCCCTTGCCGCCCCCACGGCCCATGTACGGTGCTTCTGTGGGCCGCCCATGTACGGTGCTTCTGTGGGCCGCCCATGTACGGTGCTTCTGTGGGCCGCCCATTTACGGTGCTTCTGTGGGCTGTCTTGTAAAGAGCTGTGCCATGGAGCCACGGTTCCTCCTAGAGTGGCTCGACAACCACCGCGTGCATGCCGGCGCAAAACACTTCATCCTCTCCCTCTATCAACTCTCCCCTCCCTTTCCCCCAGCCCATCATGCCCCCCACAGCCCCCTTCAAGCACCGGCTGCTCTTCTGTGGGCCGCCCATGTACGGTGCCATGGAGCCTCGTGTGCTGCTCGAGTGGCTGGACTACCACCGCGTGTACACCGCAGCCGACCACTTCATTCTCTACGATGCGGGCGCCGTGGGCGTGGCGGTGCGGCGCACGCTGCAGGGGTACCTGGCGGGGGGCGTGGTTGAAATCACCGACTTTCGCGAGGCGCAGCAGTGGGACACGTGGCTGTATGGGCAGGTGAGCTGTCTGATTGCGTCCAGGGATGATTCACACCTGAGCGTGCAGCTCTGCTCATCCAGGTGTCACATGTCGTGGGGGGTGTGGCAGTGCGGCGGCTGCTGGAGGGGTAGGGTATGTGGGGCGGGGAGGGGGGGTTGTGGAGACCGATCACTGCTCACGGCAGCAGTGGCTTACCCATCCTGTTTTCAAACCTCCCACAGTCAGCAGTTAGGTGAGTCTCCTTCCAGTCCAGCCTAGCTGTTCCTTTCATGTTGCCCTCTACACTCTTGCTGCATCACCTCCTCCCCTCTCCCTCTTCCCTCTCCTCTTCCCACATCCCCCCCGCCCCACACCACCAGTCACTGGCCATTCAGGACTGCATGTATCGATCGCGCCGCACAGCCCAGTGGGTGTTCATGCAGGATTTTGACGAGTTCCTGGAGCTGCTGCCGCCCCTCACCATGCCGGCTCTCCTGGAAAAGTACCACGACCGCCCCTGGATCACCTACGGCTGCACCGTCTTCAACATGTCCTTCTGTGTCGATACCCCCCGCGACGCCTCCTCCGCTGCCTCGAATCCCAACCGCCGAAGCGGGGACCTTCGCGGCGCCGCTGCTAGTGGTGGGCGGAGGGTGCATATGGAGGGGCTGCTTATAGAGAGGATGCATTTCCGGTGGCCGCACGTGTACTGTATGGACACGCAGAAATACCGCCCAGAGCACTGTCTAGACCAGGAGGGGCACCGGAAATACATCCTCAACCCGCGCAAAGTGCAGGCCGCTCAGATCCACATCGTCGTCAAAACAGAGGACGGCGGGGGAGGCACAGCGGCCGGCGGAGGGGAGGGCTCGGGGGAGGAAGCAGGGGAGGGCGTGGGGGAGGGCGTGGGGGAGGGCGTGGGGGAGGGAGTGGATATGGATACGGATGACATGCGGCTGGCGCATTACAGGGGCCTGGCCACCAAGGGGTCGAGGATGTGTGAGCTGGGGGAGCCCAAGGACTGGTGGATGCGGTACGATCAGGTTGGGAGGATTGCCGCGGCCGTGTGGAACTGCCCTCTCGTCGCCAGTAACCGCCAGGTGGGGGAGTCTGGAGCAAGGTTGGAGGGCAGGGGGTGTTGTGGGGCGTGATGGTGGGGGACTGACTGACAGAGGATGGGGTGGGGGACTGACAGAGGATGAATGAAAGGAAGTAGGGGTAAGTGGAGATGGCAGGAAACTGGAGATTCTTGGCCATTTTGTTTCCCTGCCCGACATGTGATTTATCTGGTGAATTGTAACACAGACAGTCGTACATTTCATCCCTTATCTATTTTTCGATTCTGCCCTTCACTGCCCCTCTCTTCCTCGCTTGTCTCCCTTTCCGACCACTCTCGACCCATCTCGTCGTCTCTGCCTCTCATTTTGCCCCTCACTGCACCCATTGTGCCGTGCAGGCATGCACACCGAGTGGCATCGCCACAACTCTTGCAGCTACAGCTGACTCCACTCGCACGCAGTGACCTGCGAAACTCTGCTTTTATGATCAACAAGGTGGAATGATTTCAACCCCTTCGAATTGCAACTTGCAAGTCTATTGCGAGTAAGAGGATACTGCGATAGAATGAAAAGGCTCTTGCATACCGATGCCATGAAGCACAACACGTTCTCTCCACGGAAAGGCACACCACACCAGTAATGTGGTATTGGTATGTGAAGGCAAAGAACACCGAGGTACAAGAGCTTCATTCCTGCCAGGCCATGGCAGGCACTGTGTCACAACTTGGGCATTTGAATTGCACTACCCTTCAGCCTGCATTAGAGTTGGGCATGTGCGTGCGAATGTTATGAGACGGAAGAACAGTATGCTCACATTTCTAATTACCGAACAATCTCATTTTGTATCTGCACATCTGGTCCGGACAAGTCTGTCTACACAACCTCCTTCATACAGTACAGTGGCTTTTAGGAAGATCCATAACAGAACCAATCCTTTTCCTCCTCTCCTTTTCCTACTAGGACCACCAAGATCACTGCTCCTATGACATCCTTCAGCAATTCTCAGGGCCTAGAACCCGCCCACCAAGCTCAGTGTTACCGTAAATCGGGAAGAGGCTTCCCTCAATGCCCATTTGACATTCCCGCCCATCTGCCCCACCTTGCACATAAAACCCATCACCACTTTCAGGGCACCTCTCAAAGGTCAAGCTCAGTGGTGCTCCTTGGGCGACAGGCTTCCCTCAATGCCCGACTTCACATTCCTGCCTATTTGCCCCACCTTGCTCATGAACCCCATCGCCCCACTCCTCCTCTTGGGCTTCCCATCAGCGCCAGGTGACAGCGCAGGGGAGAGCGGAGCATCCCCTTCCGCCTCTGCTGCTGCTGTGGCAGCGGCTGCTGCGGCTGAGTCTGCTGCCTCTTGGTCTAAGGACACCTGCAGAGCGCCCTCCCTATCGCGGTGCTTCAAGTCACCCATGGACCGCGCCAGGCTGGGCATAGCACGCGGTGCTGGTGCTGCTGCTGCTGCTTCTGCTGCTGCTGCAGCATCAGCACCAGCATCCGGAACGGCAGCAGCAGCAGCAGCGGGAGTGGCATCGGCGGCAGCAGCAGGGGCGCCAGGAGCAACGGAGACAGGCAGAGCATCATCTGTTGCATCAGAGCTGCTCGTCTGGGACTGCTCCACCACCTTAATAGACTTCTGCCCCACTTGAGACGAGCGCCGGGCCATGGATGCTCGCGGGGTTTTGGGGGTCATGAGGGCGCGCTCAGCCGCCTCGCGCACGCGGCGCTCGGAGTCGGCAGCAGCGGCAGCCATGGCGGCGGTGGCCTGGTCGGCCGGCACGCTGTGGTCCTTTATGCGCGGCTCACGTGCCTTCTCTGCCGCGGTCACGCTGTCCCTCTCCTCGTCTGAGTAATCACGATACGCCAGCTGCACGGGCGGTGTGAGGGGGAAAAGGACGAAAGGAGAGGCAATTGAAAATCGTCACAATATTTTCTGCCTCCCGACACGCTCCCCCTCTCCTCATCTGATTACTCGCAGTATGCCAGCTGCGTGGATGGTGCGAGGCAATAGTTGCAGGTACCCCTAGGAGCTCAAGGCAAAGAGGAAACGGTCCTCACTGATCCATCCCCCCCACACCACAGCCCCCCCTGTCTCGCTCACCAGCAGCGTGATGCGGCCCAGCTTGTGGTCCTTGCGCAGCAGCTTGTGGTCGTGCAGGCGGGGCAGGGGTGGCAGGCAATAGGTGCAGCCACAGCAGCCCTTAGGAGCTCAAGACAGCACAGTAACTGCCCTCTAATCCATCCCCCCCCCCACACCACAGCTCCCACGCTCACCAGCAGAGTGATGCGGCCGATCTTGTGATCCTTGCCCAGCAGCTTGTCGTCGTGCAACTTTGAAACGCCTCAGCTTTGAAACGCCTCAGCTTTGAAACGCCTCAGCTTTGAAACGCCTCAGCTTTGAAACGCCTCAGCTTTGAAACACCTCAGCTTTGAAACGCCTCAGCTTTGAAACGCCTCAGCTTTGAAACGCCTCAGCTTTGAGACGCCTCAGCTTTGAAACGCCTCACACCTCCCTCTCTCCCTCCCTCACCCCTCCCTTCCCTCCTTTCCAACCCCCCCCCCCCCCCCTGTCTCATTCACCTGCAGTGTGACACGCCCCCCCACCCCTGTCTCACCAGCAGCGTGATGGGGCCGAGCTTGTGGTCCTGGCTCAGCAGCTTGCCATCGTGCAGGCGCGGCAGGGGAGGAAGGCAACAGGTGCAGGTACAGCAGCCCCTAGGTAGGAGATGGAGGCAAAGAGGAAACGGTCCTCACCGGTCCAGCCCCCCCACGCTCACCAGCAGAGTGATGCGGCCGAGCTTGTGATCCTTGCCCAGCAGCTTGTCGTCGTGCAGGCGGGGCAGCAGGTCAAGGGTGACCTGGTACGGCTCGCTCTTGTCCATCAGATCCGCCAGGGGGAACAGCGCCCACCCCAGGTCCGAGTCCTGCATCACATCATCGTCCTCCACCTTGATGGTCAGCTCCGCGGTGTGCGGGTCATCCACGGGCAGCAGGAACGTCTCGTTCCATTGGGGGTTGAGGTTGTTCTTGCACACGCCCGTCTTGGCCATGTGCTTCGGGTTGAGCCAGATGGTGGTGTACGGGTCCGACTTGCCCAGTGTGTCCACGTTCTTCACTCCCTCCGCCCGCACCACCGTCACCACCAGCTCTCCCTCGTACTTCATCTCCAGCAGCCTGGTGATGGAACACGGATGGGGAGGGGGATCAGGGCGTTGAGAGAAAGTGGAGGGGAGAGAGAGGAAGCAGGGGCGATACGACAAGGGTTCCCAACTCTCTCTGCTCGCACCACCACCTCGCCCTCATACTTCATCTCCAGCAGCCTGATAGTGCACAGCAGGAGAGGGTGCAGGGGGGGAAGGAAAAGAGCGGAGGCAGAGGGGTGGAAGGAACAGGGGCGTTAAGAGTAGGTTCCTCACTCCCTCCCTGTGCTCGCATCACCTGCACCACTAGCTCGCTCTCATGCTTCATCCCCAGCAGCCTGACGCAACACAGGCGGGGGGAAGAGGGGGACAGGCGTGTGAAAGTACTGCTAAGGCTAGGAGGAGGGGCTGTTGAAACAAGGGCTTATATTTTTTCAGGGAGCCTGCTGGCAGCACGTGCAGCCGCAGCTCGCCCTGACACTGCACCCACAGCAGTGTATAAGCCTCCGTGGCACACCCACAGCAGTGTACAGGATACTGTGGCACACCCACAGCAGTGTACAGGATACTGCGGCACAGGAGAGTTGCTGCAGGTGTTACCAGAGGGCGGGTCTGCGAGGGTGTGTTTGAGAGGGTGTGTTTGAGAGGGCGGGTCTGCGAGGGTGTGTTTGAGAGCATGTGAGAGGTTGTGTGAGAGCGTGTGCAATGGTGTGTGGGAGTGTGTAAGAGGGTGTGTGTGAGAGGGTACGAGAGGGTATGTGAGGGTATGAGTGGGGGAGTACGTGTGAGAAGGTATGAGAGGGTGTGTGTGGGCGGGTATGAGTGAGAGGGAGTGAGCCTGATGCGACTCACTTCTCATCAAAGGCCGGGTTGAGCTTGACAACAATGCGCTCAGGCCACAATATGACCGACTCCAGCACCGATGCCACCGTGTTCTGGTGTAGCGCGGTGGGATGTGGTGCGGTGCGGTCGGAAAGGAGGGTAGAGAGGTGAGGGAAAAGGAGAAGAGGGGCGGTGAGAAGTTGTGAGGGAAGGGGAGGGGTGAGAGCTTGAGTGGAAGGAAATGGAGGAGTGTGAAGGGCATACAATGATAAGAACAGACAGGGTGGTTGGGAGGGTGGGATGGGGCGGACAGATAGGGGACAGGGATGCAGGCAAGGCAAACAAAGAGAGGGAGCAGTTAACCCGATAGCCGCATACCACACGGGCCTTCACGTTCCCTCCTCCCTCTCTCCCCCTTCCTCACATGTCCCTCCTCCACACACTCCCACCCACTCATCACGCGGCTCTCTCACCTCCCTAGCGACCCTGCTAGGAACACCCTCCCAGCCAACAACCACAAGCACCCTCCCAGCCAACCACCACAAGCACCCTCCCAGCCAACCACCACAAGCACCCTCCCAGCCAACCACCACAAGCACCCTCCCAGCCAACCACCACAAGCACCCTCCCAGCCAACCACCACAAGCACCCTCCCAGCCAACCACCACAAGCACCCTCCCAGCCAACCACCACAAGCACCCTCCCAGCCAACCACCACAAGCACCCTCCCAGCCAACCACCACAAGCACCCTCCCAGCCAACCACCACAAGCACCCTCCCAGCCAACCACCACAAGCACCCTCCCAGCCAACCACCACAAGCACCCTCCCAGCCAACCACCACAAGCACCCTCCCAGCCAACCACCACAAGCACCCTCCCAGCCAAGAGGCTGGCTGGCGGTACTCACGTCAATCTGCTTCTCCAGCCCTGGAATGGCGGCCAGCGATCCCCCCACCGCCTTGAGCACAAAATCCACCTTGGGGCGCGGCTGTGGCAGGGGGCCATTGGGGGAGCACGAAGAGGGGGCATGGGGAGGTGGCAGGGAAAGGGGGAGAGAAGAGGGGGAAGAGAGAGGAGGGGAGTGAGAGAGAGGAGAGAAAGGGGGAGAGAGAGGGGATGAGAGAGGTTAAAAGAAAGGAGTCACGGCAGTACGGAGAAGAAGGAAGGAGAGGTGAAGGGAGGTTGTTAGGGGCACATTGAGAAGCTTAAGAAGAGAAATGGGATAAGAGGAGGAGTTGAGAGGTGAAAGAGCGAGTGGGTGTGGGCTAGGAGGAAGAGACGCATGGGAATAGCAGGCGAATTGGAACCACTTCTGAGGCGAATTGGAACCACTTCTAAGGCGCCTCAAAAATGGGAATAGCGGGCCAAATGGAACAACGGACCGGGAATGGGAAGGCGCGGGCAGCAAACCATCAGTCCTTCCTTGCAGCACAGCAAGCACTCACCCTTGCTGTCCCACACCACCACCAACACACACTCCCATTACACCACACTGCACCGTACCCCACCACACTGCAGCGCACCGTACCGTACCACACCGCACCGCACCTTGCGCAGCAGCGAGGCGACGACAGCGTCGATGCAGGGCATCTGCTCGCCCAGCTGGAAGATGAGGCGCAGCGTGGCCTGGAACACCAGATTCTTCACCTGCAGGTGGGGGGGGGAGGAATAAGGGGGGAATGGGGAGAAGGGAAGAGTGGGGAAGAAGGGGGGAAAACGGAGGAGAGGGGAGGGAGGGGAGAGTGAGGGGGGAAAATGGGGGGAAGATGAGGTGCAGCGTGGCCTGGAACGCCAGATTCTTCACCTGGAAGGAGGGAAGAGGAACGGGGGAGAGGGGAAACGGGGAGAAGGGGGCAGAGGGGGAAAGAAGAAGGGAGAGGGGAAGGAGGGAAGAGTGGGGGTGAGTTGCATAGGAGGTGAGGGGAAGAGGAGAAAGCGAAGGGGAGGGAGAGAGAAAGGAGGGGGGGGAAGAAGATGAGGTGCAGATGAGGCGCAGGCAGCGTGCATCATGATGTGGTGGAGTGGAAGAGGGATGCGCGGGAGTGAGTGGAAGGACTGAAAAGGAATGCTCTTCTCTCATACCCGCACCCCTACCCTCACATTCCCCACTCTCTCACCCTTTTCTCCCTCACACCCCTCACTTCCACAAAACACCGCCTGTTCCTCCCGCGAGCTCGCGGGCCCACCTGCACTTGCAGCGTGACAGCAGCCGTCTTGATGATGTTGAGAACGATAGAGGCTTCGCTCGCTCTGCCAGTACATGAGCAGATGCGACTCACCCCCCACCCCCTCACATCCCCCACTCCCTCACAACCCCCCCGCTTCCCCAAACGGCCTGCGCTGTCCCACGTGCGCACCTGCACTTGCAGCGTGACAGCAGCGGTCTTGATGTTGAGAATGATGGAGGCATCGCTCTGCCAGTAGATGAGAAGATCCATGATCACCTGGTCCTCCTCCGCGCCCGTCTTGTGTAGCTTGATGCCTGGGGGATGGGGGGAGAAAGGGAGGGAAGGAGGGGGTTTGGCCTTGCAGGTGACTCACAACTAGGGATGAGCAAAGGGCGAACACGAACATGTTCGTCTTCGCCCCTTGTCGAACACCCTCTTTTGCCGAACCGAACAGTGTTCGGTTCGGCGAACAGTTTAGGAAAAAACAGGTGTTCGCTGTTCGCCTGTGGAGGCGTGTTCGGGCGAACCTCGAACACTGTTCGTGTTCGTCGTGGGCAAATTTCAGCAGCGGCCCGAACACGAACGTGTTCGGGCGAACATCGAACACTGTTCGGCGAACGATTTGAGCTAAAAAACAAAACCTGTTCGGTTCGCCTCGAACGTTCGCCACCTTGCTCATCCCTACTCACAACACATGAACGCGCGCGCGCGCACACACACACACACTCACACACACACCCACACACACACACTCACACACACTCACACACACTCTCCCAGCTTCAATGTGCGGCGCCTTCTCGCGGTCCTTGCCCAGTTCGAACTTGTGGAAGGTCATTGACAACACGATGGACGGGCGGTTGGCCTTGCAGGCGACTCACAACACATGAACGCGCGCGCGCACACACACACACAAACACACACACCTTCGATGTGCGGCGCCTTCTCGCGGTCCTTGCCCAGCTCAAACTTGTGGAAGGTCATGGACGACACGATGGACGGGCGGTTGGCCTCCAGTATGGGCTCCATGGTCTCGCGCACCACCTGACTCGTCGCCTGAGAAACCACATGATCCGGGATGGTGTGACGGAGAGGGGAAGAGGGCGAAACGGGGAGGGGTGGTGAGGTTTGAAGGAGGTGTGGAAGGTCATGGTAGGTAGGGCGGTTGGCTCCCAGTATCGGCTCCATGGTCTCGCGCACCACCTGACTCATCGCCTGCAGGGGCAGGAGAAGATGGGAGAGAGGGGGGGGGGGGGGGGGGTTAAGGAGGGGGTGGAGGACGTGTGGAAAGCCACGACCAGCCGATAGGCTTCCCGTATCGGATCCATCGTCTCGCCGACCGCGCACCACTTGACACGTCGCCTGCAGGGGGGAATTGAGGGCGGAAGGGAGGGCCGGGGGGTGGGTGGTTTGCAGGAGGGAGGAGCATGAGGTGATGGGGAGCCGGTTGGCCTCCAGTATAGGCTCCATGGTCTCGCGCACCACCTGACTCTTCGCCGGTTCACCGCACCGCATCATACGGAATGAGGTGGGAAGGGGAGAGAGTAGGCGAGTAAGGGGGGCTTGATGGCGAGGCGAGGGGAGAGACGCACGGGCTCTGAGGCGCGTCAAGAGAGCGCACACAAGGAGCGAGCGCAATGCAAGGAGCGAGCGCAATGCAAGGAGCGAGAACAACGCAAGGAGCGAGCGGGGGAGCGTGATGGCATGGCGACAGGCTCACCTTGTTGATGTGCGGCCACAGCTCACCTTGTTGATGTGCGGCCACAGCTCACCTTGTTGATGTGCGGCCACAGCTCACCTTGTTGATGTGCGGCCACAGCTCACCTTGTTGATGTGCGGCCACAGCTCACCTTGTTGATGTGCGGCCACAGCTCACCTTGTTGATGTGCGGCCACAGCTCACCTTGTTGATGTGCGGCCACAGCTCACCTTGTTGATGTGCGGCCACAGCTCACCTTGTTGATGTGCGGCCACAGCTCACCTTGTTGATGTGCGGCCACAGCTCACCTTGTTGATGTGCGGCCACAGCTCACCTTGTTGATGTGCGGCCACAGCTCACCTTGTTGATGTGCGGCCACAGCTCCGACAGCATCCGCGTGACCCAATCCGCCTGTGCGCGGAACGACGACGGTGAATAGGGGCCGGGGATGGAGCAGGGACATGCGACGAGGGACAAAGGAGAAGGAACGGCACAGATAAGCAAGTGAGGGGAGGAGTCAAACAGCGCAGGGAGGCAGCATCGTGTGGCCGTCGGGACGACAAGAAGGAAGAGAACGAGATTAAACGAAAGACATGGCGATGGCGAACATTCGTCAGCGAATTCGATCACACCTAGTCGAATCCCATCACATCTCGTTCAAACCAATCGCATCTCGTCGAATCTAATCATACCACGACGGATCCAAACCAAGCGTCATCGCATTGAACCGCACATCATCGTATTCGGTGAACTTGACCCAGGTGGGGCAGAGCGGCCCGCAGATAGCTTTGAGCTCGTTCAGCCCGATTCCCTGCACCGCCATTAGATCGCTCTTCTGCGAAGGAAGAGATGGCAGGAGGGTGTAATCGCCAGGAGGGTGGATGCGCGACAAGCAGGGGGTAGAGGGTGATGGCGAGAGGGAATGCGAGAAAGAGGAAATAATGTGAATCGGTAAATATGAAAATGGTACGAGGCGAAGAAGACAGAAAGCGACTACGAGACAAAGACGAATAAGGAAAGGCAGGCTTCGGAAGAACGGCGAGGGAGAGGGAGTCAGCGCCGAGAATCGAGTCGAGTTGCGAATCGGCGAATCGGCGAATCAGCGGAATGGCTGACGTGACATTGAGCGGAACCACGCCCGCAAATCACGGCATTGAAAATCTGTGACATTAAGACGTTGCGACACTACCGTCGGCGTACGCGATGCGACGAATTTCATAACATATTCCGTATAACCAAAAAAGACAACGAGCGTACAAAAACAAATAAATTATTAAGAAATATACCACAGCGTTCCTCTTGGCCTGGCGGACGGCCATGAAGTAGTTCCAGGCGTACATGATGACCACGCCGATCACCAACCCCACCAGCACGCTCGACACGAACCCCATGCCTGCTGCCGCCGCCGCCGCCTCGCGTCACCGCACGGGAACCGAGGGATTCGCTCCACGGGAGCCGCCTAAGTTACGCCCGGATAGAACGCCTGACTAGGCGAAAATCTGCCTTGTTTTCAACGAGGTGCCTTATTATCCTGTATGGAATGTCTGTGGATCCTATCCGTGAGGCAGACACAAATGGCTGGCAATGTTGTGGTCTACGAATGTGACATTGCGCTTTCTTGAGATTGAGCTCAGGCGCACAAGTGCAGCAGTTCGGGTGGGGCGGGGCGGAGGTGGGGGGCGGAGCGCAGCGGACAAAAGGACAGCCGCAACGGAGATTCCGACTGGACTGGACAGTGTCATCGAAACATTTCGATATTCGCGTTGCGATAAAGAATGATTCCTCCTAACATCAAGCGAATTGCAGAAGATCTTAATGACAACATGCTTTACAAGGTACAAACTTCTATGATTGTGTACTACACCAGCATAAACTTGCTACAGTGTCACCCTACAGAACAGTGCCATACAGCAAAGCTATGGCCTGGTTCCAGGACTTAAATCGTTACAGGTCTGCAAGCTTTGAAGAGCATGGGGTGGTGGTAAACCACACTGCCTTGGTGGCACCCACTCATTGTCAACCTCATTGTCAACTGCCTCTCCATCCACCACCACTCCCCACCAGAAAGGAGGGGAAGGTGAGGCGAGGCAGAGTGCTAGTGGAGGGGAACTGAACCCCCTGGGTAAGGCGAGAGCAAGGCAAGGTCAAGAGGTTGAGCCTCCCAGAGCATGGCTTGTGAGAGGCAAGAGAAGAGGACTGAAACCACCAGACCATGGCAAGCAAAGGACAGAGGAGGGGGTTTCTTCTGCCCCTTGCTTGCCTCAGCCTGGGGATTCCAATCCCCCTCCCCCCCCCTTGCCCTCACAAGCCTTGCCCTGAAAGGCCAACCTCCTTCCCCTGACTTGCTCTCCCCACCACTCCCCACAGCCACTCGCCAGGAGCACCACAGCAGCAGCAGCAGTGAGGCTATGAGCCAGCGCCAAGACCTGAACCCTCACCGACGTAGCAAGAGGGGGGCCCCACCAGACCCCCGGCCGCAAGGTCTGGTGTTCGTCCATTATGCCTTAACGTGCGGCTATTGGAATCCAGGCTTGACACTGACTCACAACCCCACTGCCACCCCACCTCCACCTCCACCACCACCACCACCACCACCACCACCACCACCACCACCACCACCACCACCACCACCACCACCACCACCACCACCACCACCACCACCACCACCGCCGCCGCCGCCATCACCACCAACAGCACCAGCATCACCACCCCCAGAGGGTACCTGTCAGGGGGGAGGGGAGAGAAACAAAGTTAGTTCAGAAATAGAAGCACTGGAGGAGCAAGGAAGGGCAAGAAGCAAGAACAACTGAAGCAGAATGAGAAAGCAAGTGAAACTGAATTGAGAAAGCAAGGGCAAAGCGAGAGGCAGATGCAACGGCATGCAAGGGTGAGGTGAGAGGTTGCTGTCTTACCTTGCACAGAACAGCGAGTCCCTCAATCCGCCAGTGGCAGTGACAGTCCGCGCAGCAGCAGAAGGAGCGTGGAGTGGAGTGGAGCAGACCATCACCAGCAACACCGCCAGCAGCAGCACAGACGGCAGTGTCACCTCCTCCTCCAGCAGCAGCAACCCTGGTTGAACTCACACCAGCTTCCTCTTCCAGCTGCAGTCCCTGCCAGGAGGAGGGAAGAGCAAATAAGTTAGTTCACCCAGAGGTAGAGGAGTGCGGAGGGCTGAAGAAGAAACGAGAAAGCAAGTGAAAGGCGAGAGTCGGACAAAACGTTCATGTGAGGGTGAGGTGGGAGGGTTGGTGGCTCACCTGCGTGACACACTGCAGCCCCTCAGTCCGCCAGTGGGAGTGACAGTCCGCGCAGCAGCTTGGAGTTGAGTGGAGGGCCACGCAGAGGTCCGCCAGTCATGGTGACAGTCCGCTCAGCAGCAGCAGCGCGGAGTGGAGAGCAGAGGACAGCCAAGGTAACTGCCAGGGGAGGAAGGAAGGGGTGAAAACCACAAGTGAGTGGAGGCAATGAAGGGACATGCAGAGAGGGCGACATGCCAAAGCAAGCACACATGCGTGCGGGAACGAGCTCTGCTGCTGCGCACACCCATGGGGATACCTTTCTGTGGGGGTTATACCCTAAACCTTGCAGTCTGAACCTGTTACCTGGGGAGCCCTGGGGCGTGCTATAGGCAGCTAGAGCGGTGCGAGGTGCATGAAAGCGAGTCATTGCAGAAGCAGGACAAGGCGGAGGCAGAGAGGGAGGGAGCGGAGGTACTCATCTGATCTCTTGGGAGGCGTGTTTTGAGACGTCTCAAAACACTCCTTTTTTCACGTGGGAGCGGAGGTACTCATCTGATCTCTTGCGAGGCGCATGTGGCAGGCGGTCGGTGCAGCCAAGGAAGAGCGCCAACCAGGAGATAGATTGCTTCGGTGCTGCCCACCAAGTCGCTGCATGCGAGTCCAGAGCAACCTGCCAAGGGGGACGGGGGAGGGGGGGGTTGGCAGGGCGGGGGTGGGAGTGGGAGTGGGGTTTGGATAAGTGGGACGGCAGGAGAAGGATGGGAGCAGCAAGGGTTGACGTGCGTGGCATGAGTGGAAGCGGAGGGAGTTCTACTGTCGCACACCCAAGAGGGTACCTTCAGTAAAAGAAAACCTGCAGTGGGGGGTAGACCTCACCTATCAGTGTGTACCTGAGACCTGGGGGAACCCTTGAGTGTGGTGCGAGCAGGTGGGGTGACATGAGCAGTGAGTGGGCGAGGTGATGATGGATGATGATAAAATCAAGGCAAAAGAGGTTGGGGAAAAGGGTGGTGATACTCATATTTTTCTGACGTCCGCGAAGGCACCAGAGACGTCCGCGAAGGCACCAGGCACGTTCGCAAAGGCACCAGGGACGCTCGCGAAGGCAGAAGGCACGTCCGCAAAAGCAGCAGGGACATTCGCGAAGGCAGCAGAGACGGGGACTGAAGGGAATGGGGGAGGAGAAGGTGCGAGTGGGGGGTTGAGTCAGTTAATGCCACTGGAGGGACAGCATGACAAGCATGGGAGCACGAAATGTTGATGTGCGTGGCATGAGTGGAAGCGGAGGGAGTACTGCTCTCGCACACCCAAGGGGGTACCTTCAGTAAAAGAAAACTTGGTGGAGGTATACCTGACTATGAGTGTGAACCTAAGACCTGGGGGGACCCTTGAGTCTGGTACGAGAAGGTGGGATGACATGAATCATGCATGAACGAATGAATGATGGATGATGAGAAATCAAAGCAGAGGACGTTGAGGAGGGGGGTGGTGATACTCATCTGTGAAGGCAGCAATGTCGTCCGCGCAGGCAGCAATGTCGTCCGCGCAGGCATCAGGGACGTTCGCGAAGGCAGCAGCATCGTCCGCGCAAGCAGGAGGGAGGTCCGCGCAGGCATCAAAACTGGAGCAAGGGTGGGGGGAAAGGGGTTGAGTTAGCGCCAGTGGAGGGGGAGGAGCAACAAGAGAAGAATGACCCAAGCAGGAGGGGAGGGGTGCATCAGTTGGTGCTGTGCGGAGGGGTCCACACTAGTAGTGCGGCAACAGAACAGGGCCCTAGTGCGGCAACAGAACAGGGCCCTAGTGCGGCAACAGAACAGGGCCCTAGTGTGGAAATAGAACAGGGCCCTAGTGCGGCAACAGAACAGGGCCCTAGTGCGGCAACAGAACAGGGCCCTAGTGCGGCAACAGAGCAGGGCCCTAGTGCGGCAACAGAGCAGGGCCCTAGTGCGGCAACAGAACAGGGCCCTAGTGCGGCAACAGAACAGGGCCCTAGTGCGGCAACAGAACAGGGCCCTAGTGCGGCAACAGAACAGGGCCCTAGTGCGGCAACAGAACAGGGCCCTAGTGCGGCAACAGAACAGGGCCCTAGTGCGGCAACAGAACAGGGCCCTAGTGCGGCAACAGAACCGGGCCCTAGTGCGGCAACAGAACAGGGCCCTAGTGCGGCAACAGAACAGGGCCCTAGTGCGGCAACAGAACAGGGCCCTAGTGCGGCAACAGAACAGGGCCCTAGTGTGGAAATAGAACAGGGCCCTAGTGCGGCAACAGAACAGGGCCCTAGTGCGGCAACAGAACAGGGCCCTAGTGCGGCAACAGAGCAGGGCCCTAGTGCGGCAACAGAACAGGGCCCTAGTGCGGCAACAGAACAGGGCCCTAGTGCGGCAACAGAACAGGGCCCTAGTGCGGCAACAGAACAGGGCCCTAGTGCGGCAACAGAACAGGGCCCTAGTGCGGCAACAGAACAGGGCCCTAGTGCGGCAACAGAACAGGGCCCTAGTGCGGCAACAGAACAGGGCCCTAGTGCGGCAACAGAACCGGGCCCTAGTGCGGCAACAGAACAGGGCCCTAGTGCGGCAACAGAACAGGGCCCTAGTGCGGCAACAGAACAGGGCCCTAGTGCGGCAACAGAACAGGGCCCTAGTGCGGCAACAGAACAGGGCCCTAGTGCGGCAACAGAACAGGGCCCTAGTGCGGCAACAGAACAGGGCCCTAGTGCGGCAACAGAACAGGGCCCTAGTGCAGACCCCTCCGCACAGCACCAACTGATGCTTCTCTCTTTTCCGTGGGACCTTGCTCTCTCTTCCCTCACCTGCTGCCTTTCTCTCTCGTTTCTCGCTTCCACACTCTCACCATTCCCTTTCCTTGCCCATTCTCACTCGCCGCTTTGTGTTCCCCTTCTCCACCCCCCACCTCCTATCCCTACCTGGCAGGTCACTGCCGCAGCTGCACGCAGCATTCAGCATTCAGCATGCAGCATTCAGCAGGCAGCAGGGAGCGGGCAGCAGGGAGCGGGCAGCAGGCAAAAAGCAGGGAGTGGGCAGCAGGGAGCGGGCAGCAGTGAAGCGTTGACTATCTCCGCCTTCAAGCTAAGTGCCTCGTACTCGCTGTTCAGGGTTTGCGCTGTTGCACTGTTTGCGTGTCGCATCTCCATCCAAATCGGGCCATCCGTGAGGGCACAACTCGCCAGTCACAGACCATTCCTTCCTCAGGTTCAGCTTCAGCTTTAGCTTCAGCTTCAGCTTCAGGTTCAGGGTTTAGGGTCCCTAAGGTCATACAGCCCGTCAGGTTCCCTTGGGGTCTGTGGCTTGTGGGTGCGCCTCCACCAATGGCCCCTCCTTCCCGTCCCTTGTTGTTGTTTGTGCTCTGCTGTTACATCTACTGTTTTTGTGGCCTGTTGGCATCGCACTCTACCACTCCCTTCCCCCATCATCCCACATCAGTGAATCTCTCTCTCTCTCTCTCTCTCTCTCTCTCTCTCTCTCTCTCTCTCTCTCTCTCTCTGTGTGTGTCTCATCTCATTCCTCCCTGTCTTGCCCTCCCTGCACGCCCTGCCCTCCCTGCCCTGCCAGGTCTGCACAAGCCAAGGGGAGAGCAGCGGGCGAGTAGCAAGCAGCGGGGAAGGCCAAGGCGGGCAGCAGGGCAGCAGCGCCGGCCTCATTAATGGTTGAGGTTGCAGTATTGCCCCGCCGCCACACTCCACATGAGCCCGCTCCCCCTCAGGTTCAGGTTCAGGTTCAGGTTGGTAGCGGCTCTTGTGGGGTTGTGGTTGGCGTCACATGCACTGTCGTTTCTGCTGTTGCACGTGTGTTTGACACTTTTCTCCATCGCAACCGCTCTTACTTTCGGCTGCCTTTCCTTTCCGCCCTGCCCTCCCTCCCCTCCCTTCCCTGCCAGGCCTTCACAAGCCAGGGTGACGGCAGCAGGCGAGCAGCAGGCGAGGGGAGCACCAGGGCGGGCAGCAGGAGCGCGGGCAGCGGGCATCAGCGCCGGCCTCATCAACGGTTCAGGTTGCAGTATCGCCCCTGCCACCACACTCCACTCGAGCCCACTCCCCCTCAGGTTCAGGTTCAGGTTCAGGTTCAGGTTGGTAGCGGCTCTTGTGGGGTTGTGGTTGGCGTCACATGCACCGTCATTTTGCACTCACACTGCTGCCTGTCTTCTCGTTTGAAAGAGTCACTCCCTCCCACCTGCCTCTTGCCATCTCTCTATCTCTCTCTCCCTTCTCCTCTGCCTCGCAGGTCCGTCCCTTCAAGCCCCGCTCGCCCTGCCCACTCGTCATTGAAGCACCCATCCCTTCTGCCCGCGCCACTCAATCAGCTAAGTACCCGTTCCCCCATGCCCGCACCCTTGCCTGCCATACTGTTTCTTTCGTTTCATCTGCTGTTGCACCATCTTCTTGAAACATTGCCATTCGTTGAGCGCAGTTCACATGCCACAGACCCCCACTCTCAAGGTAACCCCCTCAGGTACAGGTAACCCTCTCAGGTGCAGGTACGCCCCTCAGGTTCCTTTTCAGGTGCCCTTGGGTCTGCAGCTTGTGGCCGTGCCTCAACCAGTGGCTCCTCCTCTCTTCCCTTGTGCTGGATTTCAAGTCACAGTTTCCCATTCAACTTGCTTCCACCACCGCGCTCTGACTAGCTCTGTGTGTGCGCGTTGCATGTGGCGGGGAGGGGTGTGGGGTCAACACCGACGCTCCCTCACGCCCCTCCCCTGTGGCCATGCAGGGAGGAGGCACCTGGAGGAGGGCTGTTGCGGAGGGAGGCAGCTGGTGGTGCTGCAGCTGCCTTGACCTCGCCCTCACGCTATCAGCTAAGTCACCCACTTCCATGCCCTCACCCTTGCCCGCCACATCATGGCTTGTTGCTTTCTTGCTGCCATTTCGTTTGAGGGTTGTGCAGGTAACCCACTTAGGTGCAGGTAACCCTCTTAGGTGCAGGTAACCCTCTCAGGTGCAGGTAACCCTCTCAGGTGCAGGTAACCCACTCAGGTGCAGGTAACCCACTCAGGTGCAGGTAACCCACTCAGGTGCAGGTAACCCCACTCAGGTGCAGGTAACCCACTCAGGTGCAGGTAACCCACTTAGGTGCAGGTAACCCACTCAGGTGCAGGTAACCCACTCAGGTGCAGGTAACCCACTCAGGTGCAGGTAACCCACTCAGGTGCAGGTTCCCCTGGCGTCTGTGGCGTGTGGCCTTGCCTCAACCAGTGGCCCTCCCTTTCTCTTCCAGTTTTGGCAGTTTCCAGTCTCTGGCTTGTGTTGTGCCCATGCCTTGCATACTGACCACCGCCGTGTGTGTGCATTGCAGGTGGAGGGGAGGGGCGTTGGGGTCAACACCGACGCTCCCTCACGCCCCTCCCCTGGGGCCGTGCAGGGACTCGTGGGGACGGGAGGGAGGCAGCACTGCAGCATGGCAATCCCACCTCAGCAAGGGAAAGTATCGGGATGGGCTTGGCCTCTCAAGGTAAGCCTCGTACCTCTTTTTTCTGCTGCACTGGTTTTCTGCTAACTTGCCCTCACGCTCGTCCCTTTGATTCGCCCTTGCCTGTTTCAAGGCCTGCACTCACTCCCCTCCTGGCCTTCCCTTCCGTTCTGCCCCCCTCCAGGTCATCTCGCAATGCAGCAGAGGCAGCTGACGGGACCAGTTGTAGCAGCATCAGCAGTGGGGAGCACTGATGCAGCAGGGGAGGGGAGAGGAGGGAGGGGGACACAAGGCGGCATCTCTCGGCGGCTCTTCAGCTGCCAGCTAAGCTCTTTCGCCTCCCTGGACTCACTCTTGCCTGCTGCTCACTGCTCATGCTGAATTTCTCTTGTCATTTTCGCATGGCCTTCTGTGTTGTATCCCTGAAATCTTGCCGCTGGTTGGGGGCCCGATTCAAAAGCTACATACCTTCCCTCATTCTTGGTAATCCCTCAGGTTAAGCCCTCCCTAGACTTTTACAGCCCAATCAGGTACAACCCCTACAGCAGGTTAATCCCCCCAGGTTCCCTCAAAGGTCTGTGGCTTGTGCTCTCGCCTTCACCAGTGGCCCCTCCCCTCGCATGTGCTGCTTTCAAACTCACAGCTGCCAAATCAGAATAATTCCGTGATTGCAACACTCACAGGCTCTGTGCGTGCTCGTTGCAGGTGGAGGGGAGGGGCGCTGGGGTCAACACCGACACTTCCACACGCCTCTCCCTGGTGACCGTGCAGGTGGGAGGGAGAGAGGCAGCGCTGGGAGGGGACGGGAGGGAGGCAGCACTGTAGCATGGCAACCCGTTTGCTTAAAGGGAGAGTATGGGCTTGGTTCTTCCAAGGTAAGCCTCTCTCCAGCTCTTTTCTGCCACACTCACTTGTTGCTGTGGGTCTTGGGCGCTGCCTGCTGCTTATCCTTCTGCTTCGCCCTTGCTTATCCCACGACCTTCACTCACTCGCCTCCTGTCCTTCCTTCCGTCTGCCCCCTTCCAATTCCCTCTCAATGCAGCAGAGGCAGCTAAGTGGCAGCAGCAGCAGCAGCAGCAGCAGTAGCAGCAGCAGCAGCAGCAGCAGCAGCAGCAGAAGCAGCAGCAGCAGCAGCAGCAGCAGCAGCAGCAGCAGCAGCAGCAGCAGCAGCAGCAGCAGCAGCAGCAGCAGCAGCAGCAGCGGCAGCTGCAGCGGCAGCGGCAGCGGCAGCGGCGGCGGCGGCAGCAGCGGCGGCGGCGTCGGCGGCGGCGTCGGCGGTGGCGTCGGCGGCGGCGTCGGCGGCGGCGTCGGCAGCGGCATCGGCGGCGGCGTCGGCGGCGGCATCGGCGGCGGCGTCGGCGGCGGCGTCGGCGTCGGCGGCGGCGTTGGCGTCGGCGGCGGCGTCGGCGTCGGCGGCGGCGTTGGCGTCGGCGGCGGCGGCGGCGGTGGCGGTGGCGGCAGCAGCAGCAGGAGGGGAGGGGAGGGAAGGAGTCAACATCTTCAGCTGCCAGATAAGTGCCTTCTCTTCCCTGGTATCACCCTTGCTTGCTGCTCTTTCCTCTCATTGCTGCCTGAATCATTTTCGCATGTGCCTCCGCGCTTTCTCCCTAAATAACTCGCCACTGTTGGGGCCCGGTTTGCAAGCCACAGACCCTCCCCCTTAGCTCCTAAGCCCCGTCAGGTCAAGCCCTCCCCAGGCCTTACACCCCCCTCAGGTTACCCCCTACTTCCAGGTCATTTTTCAGGTTCAGATTTTCAGGTTCCCTTGATGGTCTGTGGCTTGTGATTCTTCCCTGCGCCAATTGTCCCTTCCCTCCACTTCACTGCGTTTGTACTCCCAGCTGCCATGCCAGCCTTGTGTTATGATTGCACACTGATCATCTCTGTGTGTGTGCCTTACACGTGGAGAGGAGGGGCGCGTGGGTCAACACCGACGCTCTCCCACGCCCCTCCCCTGTGGCCGTGCAGGTACCCACGGGGATGGGAGGGCGGCAGCACTGCAGCAGCTTGCAGTTGGTGCCACGAGGGAGAGTATCGGGGTGGGCTGGCCTCTCAAGGTGCGTTACCTCCCTCCCTCAGGTTCATTTGTTGCTGCAGTTCTCTCTGCATTGTTCCCTTGTTTCCTTTGTCAACTTATCCGTTTTCCTGTTGACTTAAGTGTTTCTGTTCACGTCACATAAGTCACCTTTTGCCCATTCTCTCCTGTCCCCTCCCCCTTCTCTGCCCGCCACCAGGTCACTTCGCATCAAGAGAAGAGTGCAGCAGAGGAAGCAGAGTAGCAGGCCGGAAGCAGCAGTTGCAGCAGCAGAAGCAGCAGCCCAGCAGCAATAGGGGGTGGGGGGCTGGGCAGGAGATTAGGTTAGGCATGGTGTGAGCGAGGTGTGGTAAAAGGTTTGGTATGGTACCAGGTGGGCGGGAGAATGGAGTCCAACCTCTCTCACCTCCTCCTCTCTCCCTTTTCCCTTCCCTCCCAGTAGCACCCTGCCTGGACCACAGAGGAGTCTCTCCCTCCCCTGATCCCCCCTTCTCTCTCCACTTCCCACCAGCCTCAGCATCATGGCGCTCTCCTCGTCCGAGGTAGGTACAGGTGAGTACGCATGGGGGTGAAGTGTGGGGAGGGTGGGTGGGAGCAAGCGGGGGGGTCACTGCCTTAGGGGCAGCATCCTCTGGGGTTGTGACTTGTGAGTCGGGGTGTGGTGGGTGGAATCTGTGCGGCACGGCACTCGGTGCTCAGGTTCCCAATCTGACGTTAAGGCTTAATGGGCACCGTCAGAGCCGACCGGCCGGCGGCTCTGGTTCGCGTCAGCTCTAGCTACGTCAGGGGTGGGATTTGAGTCTTGGGCTGGAAGCAATTTTCCACTGCCACACTTCATCCCACAAGGCTCAGCTTCAGGGGTTGCTGGGTGGGTAGATGGTTCGTTGGGTATGTGGGCGGGTGGGTAGCTGGGTGGTTGAGAGGTGGGCAGGCGGGTGGGCAGATGGTCGGTAGGTGGGTGGATAGGTGGGTGGTTGATGGGTTGGGTGGGCTATGGGGTGGGAGGGTTATGGGGTGGGTGAATGGGTGAGTGGGTGAATAGGTGGGTGGGTAGATTGGTAGGTGGGTCAATGTGTCGCTAGGTGGGTGGGTCGGTAGGTGGGTAGGTGATGGGTGGGTAAGTGGATAGGTGGCTGGGTGAGTGGTCGTGGGTTGTGTAGGTGGTGGTGGGTGATGGGTGTGTGGGTGGTGGATGGTGGTGGATGATGGGTGGTGGATGGTTGGCGGGGGTTGGGCTGGGTGAAGGCAGAATGGGATGAGCAGCAGTGGGGTAGGTGGGGATCAGCAGAGTGGGTTGGGTTGGGTATGGTGGGATGAGGTAGAGTGGGTTGGGCAGGGTACGGTGGGATGAGGTAGAGTGGGTTGGGTAGGGTACGGTGGGATGAGGTAGAGTGGGTTGGGCAGGGTACGGTGGGATGAGGTAGAGTGGTTTGGGCAGGGTACGGTGGGATGAGGTAGAGTGGGTTGGGAAGGGTACGGTGGGATGAGGTAGAGTGGGTTGGGCAGGGTACGGTGGGATGAGGTAGAGTGGGTTGGGCAGGGTACGGTGGGATGAGGTATGATACATTGTGCTATGATAAGGTGTCCTATGATAAGGTGTGTTATGATAAGGTGTGCTACGATAAGATGTGGTATTATACAGTGTGCTATGATAAGGTGTGCATGATACAGTGTGCTATGATAAGATGTGCTATGATAAGGTGTGCTATGATACAGTGTGCTATAATAAGGTGTGCTATGATAAGGTGTGGTCTGATACATAGTGATGATGAGTGTGGTTTGAGTGATTCTTTGGTTTGCTACATTGAATGGTATGCAACGTTGTTCGGTATGGTACATCGATTGATATGCCATATTTATTGGTATGCTACATAGTTTGGTATGCTACATTGTTTGGTATGCTACATTGTTTGGTATGCTACGTTGTTTGGTATGCTACATTGTTTGGTATGCTACATTGTTTGGTATGCTACATTGCTGAATGGAACACCTTCTCTGCTTTTCTCTGTGCCATCCCTTCTCTGTGTGCCGTCCCTTCTCTGTGTCCCATTCTCGTCCACAGGCGTTCCTTCCCTTTTCCAGGGGGCCATGCATGTGCAGCTTCCATTCCAAGGCACGGGGGAGCGTGTGCAGGCTCCCTGCCATCTATTCAACGACCACATGTTTGTGACCCCTCGTGTGCATGGGCTGGGCAACACACCGTCCTCCATCGATGCAAAGGTGGTGATGGCGCCCATCCTTGGATGCTTTTCATGCCGCCTCTCACCTGCCTCATACCACTTTCCCATCACTGCTGTTGGCACTCTGCAGACTAGATTGGGTACATGTACCTAGTGGGAAATCCCACAATCAATTCGTAGGACTAAAATGATGTGCAACCATTTTTCTTTCCTATTATTGATTAGAGACATCGAAATGAAGAAATGGTGCGGTGATGTATTTAATTAAATGTGTCCCTGGCTACATCAATCCAGTGGCATTTTCATTTTGTAGTGTGAATATTCAAGAATGCATATATGCGTAACTTTGCTGAAATCTTCAAGGTATTCCTCGCTTTTATAATTGATCTTTTGCATGTTCGATCCTTGCGCCTCGACTTTGCCGCCAAGTCTCGTCGAAAGCTGTCAGAGGTGTCGTGTCTGACACCAGGTGTCCTTGAGCCATCAATTTCTTTCACCGCCTCAACCCGTCCGCACATCTCATTCCACCCCTCCCAACCCATGTACCTCCCAACCTAACGCACCTCCCCTCACGGCACTTCTACTCACCAGAATTCAGCCGAACTGCCGCCACCTGAAGCAAGCGATTCTCCTCACTCACTCACTTCGCCTCCATGGCTTCATCAGCAGACCATTCAGCCTTCGCTCCTAACTCCAGGTCCAGCTACGTGAGCTGCTGGTCGCACTAGCCCTAACTACCTGCACTAACGTAACGATTGCGGTTATTTGACGCGACTCGGTCTGCCAATCAATGAATCTATGTCTTTCTTAGCCGAATATAGTTAGGACGTTGTGAAGTAGCTAAGCTGATACCGAGCTAAGCTGCTAGTTCAGACGTTATTCAGCGTCGCTGCAGTTCATTAAAACGACGTACCCGTTATATAGGTATCGAATTTTACCAGAATAGGCGTCGTCACTGCTACAGCTATCGAATTTTAGCTGCTGCTTCTGCCGACAAAGTGACGTCGATGCTGTTGCTGCCGTCATAACAACTTCAACTACGGTTTCCGTCGTTCAAAGCGACGTTTAGGGCGTAGTTGTTTTGAAGCTGACGTTTTGAACATAGCTGACGTTTTAAACATAACTGACGTTTCAAACATAGCTGACGTCTCAAACTTACCTGATGTTTTTTCCGTCAAAGCGACGGTGCTGCTCTTCTCGTCGTCAAGCCAACGTTGATGCCACTTCCGCGAACAAAGCGACGTACCTGCTGCTTTCGCTGTAAACACAACGATACTGTCGTATGAGCCCGGCGTTGCTCTGACCGCGACGAGACGAGAGCAACGACTGCTGCAGCAGCAGCATGAGCAGCGACGGATCAACCTGGAACACGGGAAGCAGCAGCATGCTGCTTGGAACACGTGGCGCAGCAGCAACCGTTGGAGCAACGAGCGTCAGAGGCAACGACGCAGTGCTGGTCACGACGAGACGGGAGCAACGTCTGCAGCAGCAGCAGGTGCAGCGATCAGTTGAACACGGGCAACGTCGCTGCCTTTTACGTCATCCGCCGTCAATGCATCGTCGTTGCTGTTGACGTCATCAAGGCGACGTAGCCCTTATTTCCGCTAGAAAAGCGACGTTTTCGTTGCAATAGCCGTCCTGCTGGTTCCGCCGGCAAAGCGACGTCACTGTTGGTCCTGCCGTCAAAAGAACTTTAACTGCGGTTTCCGGCGTCTACAAAACATATCTGACGTTTTCGCCGTCAAATGGCATTTCAACGTTGCTGCTATTTCCGAAGTCGAAGCGACGTCCCGGCTGCTTCCGCCGCCATCGAAGCCAAGTCGCTGCTATTTCCGCCGTTACTATCGTTTCGCCCGGCGACGTGCTGCTGTTTCCGTCGTCGAAGCAAAGGCGCTGCTATTTTCCCGCCGCCAGAACGGCGTTGCTGCTGCTTCCGTTATACTGTCTTTTCCGCCGTCAGAGCAGCGTTGCTGCTGTTTCCACCAGAAAAGCGACGTCGCTGCTATTTGCGCGGTCATACCTGGCGACGAGGTAGCGGTCGCGACGAGAGCAACGACTGCAGCAGAAACAGCAGCAACCGAGCAACCAAGAGCAGCACGCGTCTGAAGTGAAGGGAAGACGCAGGAGTAGCAAACGAACGTGGTACGTGCCAGAGGGTGCTTGCAGGGGGGTAGTGAGGTGAGTCGTAGAGCGTCGCCGCGCAGAGGCAAGAGTCGTGTCTCGTGTTCTTGTCTTTGCCGCTCGCCTTCTCTCGTGTTGCTTCTAACCCTTCCTATTGCGCCGCTTGTGTGTGCGTGCTTCCCTCCCCATGCTTATGTGTGCCTCACGGCCTGCGAGGTGGACGCGGAATGGCGCGGAGTGGACGCGGAATGGCGAGGAGCGGACGCGGAATGGACGGGACTTCCGTTGCTGGCTCGCCTGAAGTGAAGACGGGGCACAGGAGTGGTTGACGGAGCATGGTGCGTGCCAGGGAGTGCTTGCAGGGGGGCATTGAAGTAGCGTAGAGCCGCCGCGCAGAGGCAACAGTCGTCTGTTTTCCTTGCCTTTACCATTCGCCTCCTTTCCTCCTGCTTCTAACTGTCCCTTGTTGCGCCGTTTTTGTGTGCGTCTCTCTCTCCATGCGTGTGTGTGCCTTACGGCCTGTGAGACGGAGGGAAATGACACGGAATGGACGCGGAATGACGCGGAATGGACGCGGATTGATGCGGAGTGGACAGGGCTTTCGTTGCAGGCTCGCACGAGAGACAACCGTGCAGCGAGGAGAAGGGTTAGCAACGGCTCAGTGGCTCGTCACAAGGCAGAGACACAGTGGCGGTCGCGTGGTATGTACCAGGGGGTGCTTGTATGGGGGCGGTGTGGTGAGTCATAGAGCGTCGGCGCGCAGAGGCAAGAGTCGTGTCTCTTGCCTTTCCATCCATCACTCTCCTGTTGCTGCTTCTAACCCTCTCTATTTGCACCGTTTCCGTGTCTGTGTGTGTCTCTCTCCCCATGCGTGTGTATGCCTCACGGCCCGCGAGATGGACGGGAATGGACAAGCTCCCAGTGCTGGCTCACACACGAGAGACAACTAGGAGGGCTGGTCGGTAATGGGAGTGCACTGGTCGGAGCGGGGTACGTACCACGGTGTACTTGCAGGGGGGCCGTGAAGTGAGTCGTAGGGCGTCGCCGCGCATAGGCAAGAGTCGTGTCTGTTTCCGTTTCCCTCCACCATTTGCCGCCTCTCCTGCTGCGTGTAACCCTGCCTTGTTGCTCTGTTTCTGTGTGCGTGCGTCTCTCCCCTCGCGTGTGTGTGCTTCACGGCCTGCAAGACAGAGGGGAATGGCAGGGAGTGCACGGGGGGGTGACAAGCTTGCGGGCTCCGTTCCTGCACTGGTGCGACGACACAACAGCAGCGCTGGTGAGTCGTAGCAGCAGTAGCAACGGCGCTTGTTTTTTCAGCCAAGTATTTTCTCCTCGGAACGCTTTACCTTGTGTGATCCCAAGGGCTTATCACTTGTATTGCGTGCGGTTCACTGCTTTCTCCTTGAAATATCGCCACTGGCTCAACTCATAAGCCACAGACCCCTCTTGTTGCAGGTATCAACAGCACACCACGCTTGGAGCCTGGGGCGTGGGCCGCAGCAGGGTGCTTCTTGGGCTGAAGGAGCTGCATATTCCGCCAATTAGGGGAAAACATTCAGCTGGAGCATGGTACGTGCCAGGGGTGCTTGCAGGGGGGGCGTGGATTGAGTCGTAGGGTGTCGCCGCGCAGAGGCAAGTGTCGTGTCTGTTGCCCTTTCTTCCGCCTCTCGCCTCCTGCTGCTTCTGACCATCACTTGTTGCACCGCCTGTGTGTGTGTGTGCGTGTCCCTCTCCCGTGCGTGCGTGTGTGTGCCTCATGGCCTGCAAGGCGGACGGGAGTGGCAGCAAGTGGACGGGGAATCAACACGGCTGCCGTTGCTGGTTTGCATGAGAGACGACTGTCCTGCGAGGAGAAAGGGGAGAAAGGGGAGCAACCTGTAGCAGCACGCCTGAAGTGAAGGCATGGTGCAGGCGTGGTACGTGCCAGAGGGTGCTTGCAGGGGGGCCGTGTATCGTAGAGTGTCGCCGCGCAGAGGCAAGAGTCGTGTCTCTTGTTCTTGTTTCTGCCACTCGCCTCCTCTCCTGCTGCTCCTAATCCTCCCTTGTTGTGCCGCTTCTGTGTGTGTCTCTCTGTCCATGTGTGTGTGTGCCTCATGTCCTGCGAGGCGGAGGGGGGTGGCAGCGAGGCATGATGGCACAGAAAGGGGGGAGGGAGGATCAGGGCACACAAGAGGTTGTGAGTGGATCAGGTCAAGCACTTCACCACTTCACTTCTCACCATCTTTCTGCTTTCCGTGTTCCATTCTCTCCTGTCCACCATTTTTCCACGTGCCATGAGTCTGTGCCATGAGTCTGTGCCATGAGTCTGTGCCATGAGTCTGTGCCATGAGTCTGTGCCATGATGTGCCATGAGTCTGTGCAGCGGTGCTTTCAGATGTCCGTGCCACTCTCCTCGGCTCCCTAACCCCTCTCCTGTCCTCTCCTCCTCTTTGCAGCGACCGGTGGTTGCGACTGCAGGAGTAGCAGCAGCGGCATTGGAGCAACCAGGAGCACGGGCAGCGGCAGGGCGCTGCTTGGAGCGAAGGTTTGGCGCAGCAGCAAGAGAGCAGCCTGGAGTAGCACACTAGCAGAGAAGGCGTGCTGCACGCAGAGCGGCAGGGTGGCACACGGAGCATGGTACGTGCCAGGGGGTGCTAGCTGGGGGGCCATGAAGTGGGTCGTAGGGCGTCGCCGCGCAGAGGCAAGAGTCGTGTCTGTTGCTTTTGCCTCCACCACTCGCCTCCTCTCCTGCTGCTTTTAACCCTCCCGTGTTGCATCGCTTCTGTGCGGCTGTCTCTTTCCTCGTGCGTGTGTGTTCCTCACGGCCTGCGAGACAGAGGGGGAGGGAGCGGACGGGGAATGGACGAGAGGCAACCATCCAGCGAGGAGGAACGGCGCCTTGATTCTCCTGCTAGCTTCTTCCAGTCACTGCTTGGAACGAAGGCTTGGCGCAGCAGCAGCAGCGCAGCCTGGAGTAGCACGCTACTCCAGCGTGTGTGTTCCTCACGGCCTGCGAGACGGAGGGGGAGCGGACGGGGAATGGACGAGAGGCAACCATTCAGCGAGGAGGTAACCCGGATGCGTGCATGGCATTCTATCTCAGTCCCTTCTCCAGCCTTCGTCTGCTATCTCATCCACTCCCTTGTCTCTTCTTGCTCAGGCCTCGCTTCCTCTTCCTTGCCTTTCTTCCTCGCCTCACCTCCAGCACTCGAGGGGCAGTGATCGCCACCAGTGGCTGCAGCAACGCAGGGATCACCAGTGGCTGCAACAGCTGCGGGATGATGGCGAGCACACAAGGAGTTGTGAGTCCATCAGACCAACCAGTACACCGCCTCTCCATTCTTGTGTTCTCGTGTGCAGTTCGGTCATGTCTACCATTTCCGCATGGCGGCCACATCTCTTTTCTGCTGTCTTGCCAGATCTTCATGCCACTCCTATCGTTTTACTGAATGCAAATATCATGATCTCTTCATCTCACTCCCCCCTCCCTGGCCAGAATGATGGGCAGGCCAGCACGCAAGGAATATCAGACCAACACAGCAGGAGCACCACGCCTGGAGCACCACGCCTGAAGTGAGGGCGTGGAGCAGGAGTGGGAGAGCAGCGAAGGGAGCATGGTACGTGCCAGGGGGTGCTTGCAGGGGGGCTGTGAAGTGAGTCGTAGGCGGCGCCACGCAGAGGCAAGAGCCATGTCTGCTGCTTGCGGGTCCACCCCTCGCCACCTGCTGCTTCTAACCCTCCTTTGTTTTGCTACTTCTGTGTGTGTGTGTCTCTCTCCCCATGTGTGTGTGTGTGCCTCGTGGCCTGCAAAACGGAGAGCAATGGCGGCACCTCAAGTGAAGGCATGGCGCAGGAGTGGGCGAGTGGCAGACGGAGCGTGGTACGTGCCACGGGGTGCTTGCAGGGGGGCCGTGAAGTGAGTCGTAGGGTGTCGCCGCGCAGAGGCAAGAGTCGTGTCTCTTGTTCTTGTGTCTGCCACTCGCCTCCTATCCTGTTGCTCCTAACCCTCCCTTGTTGTGCCGCTTCTGTGTTTGTGTTTTCTCTCCCAATGATTGCGAGGCGCGGGGGGGGGGGGGGGAGGGGAGGGGTGGAAAGGAGGGGGGGGGGGGGGGGGAGAGGGGGGGAGGGGGAGCGGAGGGGTGGGGTGGGGGGGCGGCGCCTGTCCTTGTGTGCATGCGTGTGCATGTGCGTGCATGTGGGTGTGTCTCTCAGGTCAGGCTCCAGGGCGTGGAGTGCGGTGTGTTTCGAAAACTTGCCTGTGCGTCGGTGGGATGGGGACAACATCCGCTGCTTGCTTCTCGAAGACAAGAGGTAACCGAGAGTGAAGATGCAGCAGCAGGGCGAATGCATTCTCCGTTTCATCTTGTCTCAGTCCCCATTCCAGCTGCCATCTGCCATCTCCTTCCTCTCACGCCTCTCTTCCTCTTCCTTGCCATCCTTCCTACCCTCTCTCCAGCACTCAAAGTGGAAGTGGATGCAGCAACTGCGGGAGGATGGCAAGCACACAAGTACTTGTAAGCCTCTTCGCCATTCTTAGTCTTTCTGTTTAGCCCCTGTGCCTTGTCTGCCGTCTTTCTACAGTGCTCATGTGTCTTTGCTACTCTGTTGCCAGATGTTCATGCCCCTCTGCTCGGCACTCAAATCCCATGCCTCTCCTACCCTCTCCTTGTCTCTGCTCTCCTCACTCCCATGACCCGTATGGCAGCACCTTTTGTCGTGCACCAGCAGCATGGACAGCAGCAGCAGTGGTGTTGGCAGCAGTAGTTGCAGCACACGAGAGACCACCTTCTCAGCGTTGACAATTGAAACACGGCACAGAGCGGAGTGCTGTGGTGTGCAGCAGCGGAGCTGCAGCAGCAGCTGTACCAAGTCAACTACTCGGCTGCAGTATGGGAGGGGCGTAGAAAAGGTACAAAATTGACTGACATTTCTCATAGTGTGACTTTCCGACCTTAATTTCCAGTTGTCCCAGTCGTCCCATTCAGTTCCATTCCTTTGCCCTTCCCACTCCCGCGCTCTGTTGTTGGCGTCTCTTCGGCCCTTTTCTTGGCCTTTCTGTTGTAGTTTTGTTGTGTGAATACTCCTCTAGTTCACCTCTCTATCTCCTTCCTCCTGCCTATCCTCTGGCAGGAGTGGTCAACATGGGAGCGGCGTTCGAAGGAAACAGTAGCAAGGGACACAACAAATGACTTCTCTTCTTCTCACGGTAACATTCATCATGACCCCTTCTCCTGTACTCCGCGTCTTCCACCCTTGCCTGTTTGTTTCTCTTCCTTTTCATGCTTGAATGTGCCATCCGTCGTCTTTCCTATCACACATTCATAAATCTGAATCAACAACTTCAATCCTATCTCATGTAAAACATGACCTAAAACCTGACCTCAAACCTGACGCCAAACCTGATTTCAAACCTGACGTCAAACCTGATGTCAAACCTGACCTCAAACCTGACCTCAAACCTGACCTCAAACCTACCCTCAAACCTGACCTCAAAGCTGGCGTCAAACCTAACGTCAAACCTGACGTCAAACCTGACCTCAAACCTGACCTCAAACCTGACGTCAAAGCTGACGTTAAACCTGACCTCAAACCTGGCGTCAAACCTGGCGTCGAACCTGACGTCAAACCTGATCTCAACCTGACGTCAAACCTGACGTCAAACCTGACGTCACACCTGACGTCAAAACCTGACGTCAAACCTGACCTCAAACCTGACCTCAAACCTGACCTCAAACCTGTCCTCAAACCTGACGTCAAACCTGACGTCAAACCTGACCTCAAACCTGGCGTCAATCCTGGCCTCAAACCTGGCGTCATACCTGACCTCAAACCTGGCCTCAAACCTGACCTCAAACCTGACCTCAAACCTGACCTCAAACCTGACCTCAAACCTAATGTCAAACCTGACGTTAAACCTGACCTCAAACCTGGAGTCAATGGCGTCAAACCTGACGTCAAGCCTAACCTCAAACCTGACGTCATACCTGACGTCAAACCTGACCTCAAACCTGACTTCAAACCTGACCTCAAACCTGACCTCAAACCTGACGTCACACCTGATGTCAAACCTGACCTCAAACCTGATGTCAAACCTGACCTCAAACCTGGAGTCAATGGCGTCAAACCTGACGTCAAACCTGACCTCAAACCTCACGTCACACCTGACCTCAAACCTGACTTCAAACCTGACCTCAAAAACCTGACCTCAAACCTGACGTCAAACCTGACGTCAAACCTGACGTTAAACCTGACCTCAAACCTGGTGTCAATCCTGTCGTCAAACCTGACGTCAAACCTGATCTCAACCTGACGTCAAACCTGACGTCAAACCTGGCGTCACACCTGACGTCAAACCTGACGTCAAACCTGACCTCAAACCTGGCCTCAAACCTGACCTCAAACCTGACCTCAAACCTGACCTCAAACCTGACGTCAAACCTGACCTCAAACCTGACCTCAAACCTGACTTCAAACCTGACCTCAAACCTGACCTCAAACCTGACGTCACACCTGATGTCAAACCTGACCTCAAATGTGACCTCAAACCTGACCTCAAACCTGACCTCAAACCTGGCGTCAAACTTGACGTCAAACCTGACCTCAAACCTGACTTCAAACCTGACCTCAAACCTGACCTCAAACCTGACGTCAAACCTGACGTCATACCTGACGTCAAACCAGACGTCAAACCTGGCGTCAAACCTGAAGTCTAACCTGACCTCAAACCTGACCTCAAACCTGACCTCAAACCTGACGTCAAACCTGACGTCAAACCTGACCTCAAACCTGACCTCAAACCTGACCTCAAACCTGACATCAAACCTGACGTTAAACCTGACCTCAAACCTGGAGTCAATAACGTCAAACTTGACGTCAAACCTGACCACAATCCTGACATCAAACCTGACGTCAAACCTGACGTCAAACTTGACGTCACGCCTGACGACACACCTGACGTCAAACCTGTCGTCAAACCTGACCTCAAACCTGACCTCAAACCTGACCCCAAACCTGACCTCAAATGTGACCTCAAACCTGACCTCAAACCTGACCTCAAACCTGGCGTCAAACTTGACGTCAAACCTGACCTCAAACCTGACGTTAAACCTGACCTCAAACCTGACGTCAAACCTGACGTCACACCTGACGTCATACCTGACGTCAAACCAGACGTCAAACCTGGCGTCAAACCTGACGTCAAACCTGACCTCAAACCTGACCTCAAACCTGACCTCAAACCTGACCTCAAACCTGGCGTCAAACCTGACATCAAACCTGACCTCAAACCTGACCTCAAACCTGACCTCAAACCTGGCGTCAAACCTGACATCAAACCTGACCTCGAACCTGACCTTAAACCTGACCTCAAACCTGACCTCAATCCTGACGTCAAACCTGACCTCAAACCTGACCTCAAACCTGGAGTTAATGCCGTCAAACCTGACGTCAAACCTGACCTCAAACCTGACCTCAAACCTGACGTCAAACCTGACCTCAAAAACCTGACCTCAAACCTGACGTAAAACCTGACATCAAACCTGACGTCAAACCCGACGTCAAACCTGACCTCAAACCTGACCTCAAACCTGACCTCAAACCTGACGTCAAACCTGACGTCAAACCTGACGTCAAAACTGACGTCAAACCTGACCTCCAACCTGACCTCAAACCTGACCTCAAACCTGACCTCAAACCTGACCTCAAACCTGACCTCAAACCTGACCTCAAACCTGACCTCAAACCTGACCTCAAACCTGGAGTCAATGGCGTCAAACCTGAAGTCAAACCTGACCTCAAACCTGACGTCACACCTGACGTCACACCTGATGTCAAACCTGACGTTAAACCTGACGTCAAACCTGACGTCAAACCTGACGTCAAACATGACCTCAAACCTGACGTCACACCTGACGTCACACCTGATGTCAAACCTGACGTCAAACCTGATGTCAAACCTGACGTCAAACCTGACGTCAAACATGACCTCAAACCTGACGTCAAACCTGACCCCAAACCTGACCTCAAATGTGACCTCAAACCTGACGTTAAACCTGACCTCAAACCTGGAGTCAATGGCGTCAAACCTGACCTTAAACCTGACGTCAAACCTGTCGTCAAACCTGACGTCAAACCTGACGTCAAACCTGACGTCAAACCTGACGTCACACCTGACGTCACACCTGACCTCAAACCTGACCTCCAACGTGACCTCAAACCTGACCTCAAACCTGACCTCAAACCTGGGCGTCAAACTTGACGTCAAACCTGACCTCAAAACTGACCTCAAACTTGATGTCAAACCTGACGTCAAACCTGACATCAAACCTGACCTCAAACCTGACCTCAAACCTGACCTCAAACCTGAACTCAAACCTGACCTCAAACCTGGCGTCAAACTTGACGTCAAACCTGACCTCAAACCTGACCTCAAACCTGACGTCAAACCTGACGTCAAAACTGATGTCAAACATGACGTCAAACCTGACCTCAAACCTGACCTCAAACCTGACCTCAAACCTGACGTCAAACCTGACCTCAAACCTGACATCAAACCTGACGTCAAACCTCACGTCAAACTTGACCTCAAACCTGACCTCAAACCTGATCTGAAACCTGACTTCAAAGCTGACCTCAAACCTGATGTCAAACCTGACGTTAAACCTGACCTCAAACCTGGAGTCAATGGCATCAAACCTGACGTCAAACCTGACCTCAAACCTGTCGTCACACCTGACGTCAAACCTGCTGTCAAACCTGACCTCAAACCTGACGTCAAACCTGACGTTCAATCTGACCTCAGACCTGGCGTCAAACCTGGCGTCAAACCTGACCTCAAACCTGACCTCAACCCTGACCTCAAACCTGACATCAAACCTGACGTTAAACCTGACCTCAAACCTGGAGTCAATGGCATCAAACCTGAGGTCAAACCTGACGTCAAACCTGACGTCAAACCTGACGTCAAACCTGATGTCAAACCTGACGTCACACTTGACGTCACACCTGACGTCAAACCTGACCTCAAACCTGACCTCAAACCTGACCTCAAACTTGACGTCACACCTGACGTCAAACCTGACTGATGCTGATGCTAACGCTGATATGCTGATGCTGATGCTGATATGCTGATGCTGATATGCTGATGCTGATATGCTGATGCTGATGCTGATATGCTGATGCTGATGCCGATGCTGATATGCTGATGCTGAGATGCTGAGATGCTGAGATGCTGAGATGCTGAGATGCTGAGATGCTGAGATGCTGAGATGCTGATGCTGATGCTGATGCTGATGCTGATGCTGATATGCTGATGCTGATATGCTGATGCTGATGCTGATGTGGACGGGAATGGCAGCGAGTGGATGGGTACTGTGCATGTGCGTGTGTGGGGAAGGGAGAAAGTGGGAAAGGGGGGTGGGGGCGTGCATGTGTGCGTGTGCGGGTGTGCATGCCTGTGCAGATTGCTCTTTGCGAACCTGCCTGCCCGTCGGTGGGGACAAGACAAGCGGTAACTTGGAGTGAAGGTGCAGCAGCAGGGCGAATGCACCGTGCGATGTTTTTAGTCCTGTTGAACCCTCCTCTCCTGCCCTCTTCTCTTCTCTGCGTTCCTCTCTTCCATCACCTGTACGGCAGCACCTATTGTCCTGCACCAGCATCATGGACAGCAGAGGTTGTTGCAGCAGCAGCTGTGGTGGTGGCAGCAGTAGTTGCAGCATCAACGGCCGCTGCAATGCAGCTGCAGCAATGTTGGGGTAATAGCAGTCTATCCAATGCTTCCAAGTTCCCTCTATGAGTCTGTTGTTTAAGATCGCTTGCGTTCTTGTTTAGACTCCAGTACCTTACTCGTTTCCCGTCATCCTTCTCCTCAGTACTCCCTTTCTTCTTTCTGGATCCTAATTTGATGGTGCCCTCTCCTCCCCGCCTCTCCCTTCATCCACGTCCTTGTATCCTGTTGTTGTTGCGGCTTTGTTTTTCTCCCCTCTCCATCTCCCATTGCTGCTTCTGGCAGCATCCGTGGGGGAAGCAGTGGCAGCAACAGCAGTGTCAGCCCTCTCTTCCAGAAAACCACCACTCCTGCCAAACAGCTTACCCCAAAAATACTTGCATTTTTACATCAAGTTTCAGCATGGCATCTGTACATTGGCAGTGGGCCCTGCAAAGTTGTGGATACAAAATACATGCTCCATAATGGCCCATGACTGCATTTGCAGCTGCCACAAACCAGTCACCAATCAGACCTGCCCCCTTCAGCACTACGATTTGTTTTTAAGGCGTGTAACTTTTTCCCGAACCATCGGTCCGGACGGTATGCGAAAGTTTCCTGAATGCTCGCATGCTCTCCAATTGGATAACGGGCTCAAACGGTCCGGACCGAGAGCAGGATACCCTATTCGGACGCCGTCCATACCGAGTGGTTCGGAAATAAGTTACACGCCCTTAGGGCGCTTCACCTCTCAGTTCGAACAAGACGGTTGTTCGAACAGGCGAAATGTTACATTTTTCGCCACTCCTCGAATGGGTGTTCGTGACGTCGCTAGTCGGAAATTTCGCGAATTTGAACAGAGTTGTCACACGGGGCACGAAGCTCTCCATTCCGCACGTTCGAACAGAGTTGTTCGAACAAAGTTGGGTTTGGTGACAGGAATTCCGCATGGACGACTGATTTTATTGGTTAGCAGGCTTCGGGTCGCACTCGAATGTTTGCGACCATTGCAAATGTCGCCATGCAGGAGAAAGTTCATCAAAAAGGACATTGTTGTTGGGAAACAACAAGGTGAGCAGTAGTAGAAGAGCACGAAGAGACTGTTTGACTGGATGGGCGAAAAATGAGTCAAACTTGAATGGCAGACGACAGAATTATTTTTTTGCGACGTTTCGCGAAGTCGTCCAGCACTTGGCGACGTCGCATGTTCGAACAGGCTGTCACCTCTAGTCACGAGCTGTCACATTCACCAAGGTGTTCAAATTTGTGTTCGGATCTCGTCGGGAAACTGTTCGTACAGTGAATTCGTTACGTATGTTCGGATTTGGGCCTTCCAGCCCCGAGGTGATGCGCCCTTAGTTCTGAAAGCAAACCAAAAGCTCTCAGAACCGTGAAGCACCGCAGAAACCAGTCTCGGCCTCCGTCGCGCCACGATTTGTTGCTCTTGCAAGGCACTGTAAGAATTTTCGAGGTTTGGTCGCGGAGTTTCCTCCCCCCGCACACGCTTGAGGTCCCGTCACTTAATACGTACCCCATTTCACGTCTCTCCTTGATCTCACATTCGAATCAAAATTCTTCCAATCCACTTTCTTCCCTCGGCTCTCGCTGCTAGACCGACAGCCCGCATTTTCAGTCGCAGAGTCTGTAGGTCTGCTGCGCATCCGCAAAGAGCGGCCATGGCGGAACCCGAGGCGCTGCCGAGCCTTGTGCCTGTGAGGTTCGGCATCCTAGGTGCGGCGAGTATCGCAAAGAAGGTGGTCCGCGCGATGCGGTGCGTGCCGGGTGTCATCCCGTACGCCATAGGCAGCCGGTCTTACGAGCGAGCCGCGCAGTTCGCTAAGGAGGTCGGCATGGCTGACGACGCCGCGATTTACGGCAGCTACGCTGACGTCATCGCGGATCCGTTAGTAGACGCCGTTTATATCCCGCTGCCGACTGGGCTCCACGGTGAGTGGGTGGTGAAAGCCGCGAATCACGGAAAGCATATTCTGCTAGAGAAGCCCGTGTCGCTGAATGTGGATGATCTGAATACCATGATCGCAGCCATCGATTCGGCGGGGGTTCAGATCATGGACGGCACGATGTGGATGCACAACCCACGGGCAGCCGAAATGAAAGCGGCCATGCAGGACAGAGAATCTTTCGGGCAGCTCATGCGCGTGACGTCAAATTTCTTCTTCCCAGCATCAGAGGAATTCATGAAGAGAGACATTCGGCTGAAGAAGGATCTAGACGGATTGGGGTGTTTGGGAGACATAGGGTGGTACTGTATCCGAGCGGCACTCTGGGCTGCAGATTTCGAGCCTCCATACAAAGTGGTGGGACTCCCGGATCCCAAGGTTAACAAAGAAGGCGTTTTGATTCGTGCGGTGGTTACCTGTGCTGGCGAAACGGGTTGACCGCTCTGTTCCAGTGCGGATTCGATTCTCCTAGTTCTCAGCGACTTGAGTTTGCAGGCTCCCTCGCTACAATCACACTCGAAGACTTCACTATCCCCTTCCAGGAGAATAAGGTCGAGTTTGTGATTGAAAAGGGTTCCAGATGGCCAAATTCAGATCTGGTGGTGGAATCAACGGTGGAGAGAAGGGAGGTTGTGCTGACGTGGACGCAGGAGGCGATGATGATTGCTGAGCTGGCACGGATCGTGAGGGGAGTGAGAGGGGGGGGAGGGAGGGCGGCATTGGATCGGAGATGGTTGGATATGATGGTGCAGACACAGCGGGTGGTGTGTGCCGTGCATGACTCGATTGTGCAAGGAGGAGTGCCGCTGATTATAGAGAATGGCCAGGAGAGAAGTCAGGAGTAGCTTGTTACACATACTATCAGGTTTGTGTGCTGTGCATAACGCAATTGCATTGGATGGGCGATGGGTGGATATGATGGTATGATGGTGCAGACACAGCGGGTGGTGTGTGCTGTACACGACTCCACTGCACAGGGAGGAGTGCCTGTGCTTGTAGAGAATGGTCAGGAGAGAAGTCAGGCAAAGGTTCAGGAGTAACTTGGTATGATGGTTACTGAATGAGCCGTGTCTTGCGTCCAGGGCTCCATCATCCATCACCGTCCTCCATCATCCATCCTCCATCACCGTCCTCCATCATCCATCCTCCATCACCGTCCTCCATCATCCATCCTCCATCACCGTCCTCCATCATCCATCCTCCATCACCGTCCTCCATCATCCATCCTCCATCACCGTCCTCCATCATCCATCCTCCATCACCGTCCTCCATCATCCATCCTCCATCACCGTCCTCCATCATCCATCCTCCATCACCGTCCTCCATCATCCATCCTCCATCACCGTCCTCCATCATCCATCCTCCATCACCGTCCTCCATCATCCATCCTCCATCACCGTCCTCCATCATCCATCCTCCATCACCGTCCTCCATCATCCATCCTCCATCACCGTCCTCCCATCCCCGGCACATGTCCTCAATTCCATGCTGACACACTTCAATGGATTTCCAAGCCGCTGACTTGCTTCCCTTTTTTGCTCCTAAAACCAGGTGCAAGTGTTATGGTTACGGTATCGGTCCCGCAGTGTGGTCAAGTGTGCCTTGCCTGGATCACCCTCCCGTGTGCTCTCAGGCTTCTGCTCCCACCCACACCACACCTGCACTACACTAGCTCATTCCAGCTCATTCCTGAAGCAGCACCCAGAGCCCACCCTCCTGTACCAATCATTGTTGATTGGAAACATACAGTATTTCAAAACTGCTGCCTTGCAACAACTTGTTTTACTTGACGCCTCTCGTCTCATGCTTGCTGCATGTAGGTACGTTCTCAAAAGGTCTCAGAACATGAGTGAAGGAGCTTGTCTGTGAATACACTTCATAGATACAATGCATTTCATTGCACTATTATACACATCAACCATATCCCATGTCTCCTCCATGCCGTATCATAGGCTGCAAGATGTCCTGGTGACTGCGGCACTCGAAGCAGCACATGCCACAACTTTTGACGAGCAATCCACGGACCACGGCTCGTAAAGTTGTGAGTCACAGCTCATGCGAGCATGAAGGCGGGCACTCGCTTGAACCCCCCGCCCTCCGCCATGCCGGTGCTAGCAACCCCCTCCAGCATGTCAAAGGCGGCACACCATGCACCTTCCAGCTCCCCATGCCACCGCTCTCCAAACGCCTTCTTCAGTGCCTTCATGAACCCCGTTCGAAATACCTGGTGGCGGGGGGAGTGAGGGGACAAGGGGGCCAGAAAAGCGGTTAGTGATTCATAAGGCTTCAATGATCATGAGGCGGTTAGCAATTGTGCTGAGCGGGTGACAAGAGAACGGGTGAGGCCTACTCTCATCCCTTGCCCACTCGATGCTTCACCCTCTCTTGTGATCAGTGTCTCTCATTTCCACCCTTTCCTCCACTACGTACCAGCTCTCACGCCCTCAATACTACCGTAATCCTTTGCCATTCCCACTCCCCAATCCTTATTCCATGCTTCCCACCGGAAAGTCGTTGCCATCAATGCCGTAGTTGAGGTGCCGCCCGCCCAGCGCCTTGAAGAAAGGCACAGATTTCTCCACCTGGGCCGGGTCGTCCCACTTGCAAAACGCCTCACACATCTGACCCGGGAGGGGAGGGGAGGGGCGAGGGAGGGGGGGAGAGGGGGGTTGTAATGCACGAGACTGTGTGTCCACCTCAGCAGGGTCGTCCCACCTCCAGAGCGCCTCACACATATGACCCAGTGACCAGGGATAGGGAACGGTGGTATGAGCGGGGAGGGAAAGGGGGGAGCGTATGCCCAGGGAGTGAAGGAGGATGAACGGGACAGTGAGTGGGAGAACGACCTCTCACAGAGTGTGTGTGGGAGAGCGGAGAGTGGGGGAGGGGGTGAAGGTGGGGAGCAATGGTAGTGTGAGGAGAGGAGAGCGGATAGGGGGATGGTGGAGACTCGCTGCTCTGACTCACACCATCCTAAGCATTCTTCCCTTTCCCCTCCAACCGCCTTTCTCCCAGCGCCATACCATGCGGAAGGACATAGTGGCATGAACAGTACCATGCGGAAGGACAGGTGGCATGAGCAGTACCATGCGGAAGGACAGGTGGCATGAACAGTACCATGCAGAAGGGCATGGTGGCATGAACAGTACCATGCGGAAGGACATGGTGGCATGAACAGTACCATGCGGAAGGACATGGTGGCATGTGCGTTGAGCTTGATGTTGACCGGCGCCGGCTCGCTTGACTCGCGCACCATTGAGAAGAGGCGCTTGGCGTCCGGTACCATGTCAAATATGCTGGAGGGGGAGAGGTAGAGGGAGAGGGAGAGAGTAGGGGGAGAGTAGGGGATGGGGAGAGAAGAGGGGGGAGGGGAGTGGGAGGGTGTTTTGAAGCATTGGAGCATTGGATTAAGGAACCATGGAGAAGAGGCGCTTGGCGTCCGGTAGTACCATGTCAAATATGCTGGGGGGGGAGAGGAAAACCAAGGGTGAAAGAGGAGGATGGGGGTTGGTGGGAAGAAATGGGGGTGGGTAGTAGTATGGGATTGTGGAGTTGGGTGGAAGGGTAGTTGGGGCTGGTTTTACTGGTTGAGGGCCATGTAACGCAATGTGGGGCTCTGAGCAACAGAACAAAAAGCATGTGTAACGCATTGGAGGTACGTTACAGCGACAGCTCCATCCGTACGTACGTGAGGTACATTATGATGGCGTGTTTGTCCAGATCAGGCTCCAGCTCAGCGTACGACTCTCGTATCAACTCGCCCTGCAGACTCGTCAGCACCGTCTGCCTCTCAGCGTCCGCCACGTGGATCGGCGGCCCCTCCATACTGGGATCTGCGAAGCTGCTGATCTTGTAACTCGGGATCGGCGGGCCGCTCAGATCGTCGTCATTGTGATAAGGGAAGTTCGACATGGTGACGAACGCGACGCGACGAAACGTCGCTAAGAGAGGGTGAAAGCGTCGGTGTGGGAAACTTCCAAAAGTAGACCCGCGTTGGTGTGGGAACTACCAGAAGTAGACCGGCGTCGCTGTGGGAACACGCTCTGTTGTGATGCCGCGCTTGCTGCTACGCGCGTATCACGGCGACCTCGACATTTCCGCGGCTCTCGAGCCACGACGCCGCATGGCGTGCGCGAGAGGAAACGAAGGGATGGTCGCCGTACTCGAGTGCTCGTGCTCGTTGCAGGTGTAGCGCGATCCGGTCGGGCGGTGACTCGGAGGATCTCAGACCTCACCAGCAGCGCCAAGGCTGCGCGGCTCGGAGGACGCTCGGTTTGGAAGATTCGAGTTGAAAAGGAGAGCGAGGAGGGGCGACGAGGTTAATAAATACGGTATATGTGTTTATTGCTTCAGGCATAAGCTTCGCGGTCTGTCAATAGCTTCAGCTAGCGCGACACGGAGTGTTTGCTTCAGCAGTGGGCTCGAGTGAGCGAAACGAAACGGAATGGGAATTTGATGAAGCAGAAAGGAGGGGTGGACAGACTAGTGCAACGGGGCACCAAGAGCAGCGCGGAGCCTCGAGGTCGGCTGCGGCTGTATGCGTTCTGGTAAATTGCAGAGAGAGCTGTAGCGGTGCAGTATGGTGGAAGCTACGGTTCAACACTTCGGCGGTTCAACACTTAGTCAAAAGTCCTTCACAACCTATCACCGACGCGATAAGTGAGAGACGTGCATGGTATATCCAAATTATCATTATAATATGCACAGGTTAACATAATAGAGGGCCACCATGAAGGACCTATACTAAAAGTGCTTCTAGGATTCTAAACTTCTGGCATCTATCAGGTGTTAGGCTAATATACCGTATATGCTCCTGCCTTGACGGCTTCCCAACCATGGCTGGGTATGGCAACTGACCCATAGCATGAGCATGCCTGCTGCTTGCTGCCTTGGACGGAGGTGTATGGACGCACACATACCACCATCCATCCCCTTGTGCCATGTATATACTGCCACCTTTCCGCTGCTGCTGCTGCTACTGCCTACATAGATGTCCTATGCAGCTTCTTAGCTCGAGAAACGAAATTCTTTTCACTTCTCAGGGTGTTCCGCTCATTCCTGAAACCCTGTGAACCCCTCCAGGGGCCTCCAATCCACCAGTTTCATCACCTCCAGCTCAGCAGCCTGCAGGCGCTTTGCTGGCACGCGGGCAACTGCTGCCACGTCAGACGCCCTAGGCAGCGTCTTCTGGTTGTCGTCTAGCTTAGCGGCCGTCCACATGCACGCCGCTAGCGTCACCCTCAGCGAGTCGGCTGCCACCCGGCCAGGCTGGAGCTTTCGCAGAACCTTCTGGAAGATGTGAAACGCCAGATCGGACACGTGGGGCCCACGGAGCGCCAGCCTGGCATACCAGGAGGAGAGAACACGCTTCAGTCGGGCAGCTGCAAGCTGCCCAAGAACATTCCGACCCTGCCCTTTCGCACAGCTTCCCCCCAAGACGTTCTGCGTCTCACCCGCTACTTGCTCCTCCTGCCGCTGTCGCTTTCCGGTGGAGGCGTCAGGTACGGTTTGATTCTCGTTGCAGAGGGATTCGTTTAGATCTGGAACGACACCCGCTGCGTCGGCAACCGCGCAAGCCTGGGCGAGTGCGGGCTGCTGTTGCGAAAGAGTTCCGTTAGTCAACGAAGGCGTTACAACAGCACTTTCTGTCGCTCCTTCGCTCGGAGTTGCCGTTGGGAATAGCTGGAGGGTCTCCGGAGGCGACGAGGAGGAGGAAGAGGAGGATAAGGGGCAATGGTGCTGTCCCTGATTGGCTATACCCAGGCTGTTCTGCGACAGGGTTGCTCCTGCCAGTAGCAGCGAAGGGAGCTGCTGCTGCTGAGATTGCATCTGCGAAAGTTTTGCGTGGGGAGGGTACTGGGAAAACGCCAAAAGATCTTCTATGTTGGCCTTGTGACGCTTGGCGAGAGACTGCGATTTAGGTGCGACGTTCAACGGGGGCGACGGGACGAACGCAGAGCTAGAAAGGGCGGCTGCGTATGTGTGGAGGGGGAGAAGCGACGCAGCCATGCTCGCGCTCATCGCGCACGGGGTGTGGAAAACCGCGTTTCCGGTAATGCCGCTAACCGCGCCGACGGCTAGACACGAGTCGCACAGAACCTGCGTCTGCGCCGCAGCGGCGGGTTGATGGAACGGCAAGGGCGCCTCCCAGCTGGTGGGGCTGCTGCAGAGCGCGCAGAGCAGGTGGCGCGAGTGGCGGAGCACGATGAAGTTCGCCGAGTGCACCGCCGCGTCGCACGTCGCACAGAGGAACGCGGAATCCGCGTCGCAGCGGAGAGCGGCCGGCTGGGTGCAGAGCTCGCAGGAGCGCTGAGAGGGAGAGGAGCGGAGCGAGGCAGTGCAGTGCTGGTGGTGGAGCTGGGGAAAGGGGAGGGAGCTGAGCGTAGGAGGCATTGCTAGGAAGGGTTGAGACAAGCCGTGGCAAAAGGGATGCGTTGCGAGAGAAGCCATGTCTGAAGCTGGGAGACTAGGAATCGAGACTGGTATGTGAAAGGCCATAACGAGAGCGTTGGTGGAAAAATGTGTCGAGGATTGAAGCGGGACGAGATTGTGCAGGAAAATGGGGCACAGAAGCTTATCAAAACAAATCACTGGCCGCTTGCCACTAGAATGTGGTGCAAAGAACAGGGAATGTGAGGTGGCGTGCGACCGTCGGACGGCGTGCGGAAGAAGCGATGCAAACTGCTCGCTGGTTCCGACCAAGTTGCGGTTGTGAGCTTTGGGAGAAAGGCTGCTGTGCGTATGAAGTCGCGAGCGCGAGAGAAGGATGGTCTGTTTGGTTCAGTTGGGAACGCAAGGCGCTAAGCGAGCACGCTGAGGGAAAGAAAGGAGGGCGAGGAAGGTAAGAGAAGGAAAGGCATGGGATGGGTCGTTGAAGCATGTGGCTGCTCTTCGCTGCTCTGCCCATGATTTCAGCATGTTAGGTCTGGCTGGCAATGTGGTGTAGACTGTAGATGCGTCATTCCTGCCACCGCCATTTTCCATGTGCAACTATCATCACCAATTTCCTCAAGTTCCTTTCTTCCTCTCTCGGTCTCCCTGGATTTTGTTTGTTGTGTGACTCTGCTTGCGTGTGTCTTGTGGTGATACGAACCGAAGCGTGATGCACGTGTCGGTTGGAGATTAGACCTCTTTTCATGGAACGGCCCTTCAAGCCACACAGCGTTTCGGCTCTCCACCGAACCTCATCTCCTTCTCCCAGTCTCATTCGTCCACGGCAGGTCCACCTCGGCTCGTTGGGCTCATGTTTCGTGTGCTGCCTGCTGATGTGGCTCCTGCTTCATGTGACCACTCTTCCCCAGATGGCTGCATCCTCCCCCTTCTACGCGGACTTTGTGGAAAAATACAGCTGGGTCACTGTAAAGATGCTTGGCTGATGTCATACGTCGCCTTCACAACCAGTCTCCTGCCTCGCTGACTCGGTGGTGCTGAGCATTTCTGCCACATCACCATAGCTGCTGAGGACTTTGTGTTACGTGGCCGCGCCGCTACTTTGCCTGTTAGACCTATGTGGCTTAGGGAATGTGGAAACCCGAGAATACTACGCGAAAGTCGATCATGAGAAATTGAGGGCCATTCGAAACGCGTCTCGGAGCTTGGTGGGAGGCGAGCTCGACCTAGATACTGGCCACACAAGCAAGACCAATCGGGTCCGTCCACCCTCGTGTGGATGGCTCGATGCACTTTTGTGACCTTCCAGAGAACCGAAGCTTACGCCTGTTCCTCTGGGACCGCAGACGCGGAGGATTCTGCTTTGCCGTGTCGCTTTCCGAAAACTTGGGGGTCGGACGAATGGTTTCGCAGCATATCACGTGGAGCGCTACCGTATTTCTCGACTGGCTTCTCTTGTGAGTGGTTGGCGCTGAGGTGGCCCTTGTTTAGTTTGACAGGAATGGATGGAGCCTGTGAGCCTGGCTAGAGGACTCAACAACCAAGGTTCTTTCCCGAAGGGCGGGGATATTCACGTGGGCTTGACGACAGAATATCAGATGCCAGATCATGCCGTATAATTTCAAATCGTGGGCAGAACAGTTAACGAGTTTACATAGACAGAACAGATGTTTTTTCGTGCGAACTCCTTATTTAAATTTACTTAGAAATACTATTCTTCGCATATTTGTTAAGAACCAACAAGTTCATATTACACTTGATTTCCGTTTGCATCTCCCCTACTTGGGCTGTTTTCTAGGCTTATAAACGTTTTAAGCATTTCGCCAAGTTTGTTCTCTTTCGCCAGAGTGTTGAGGTGCTTCTAAAAAACACAGGTTGTAACTCGTTTGTTTTTTCCAAAACAGTACTGGTGGGCCTGTGTTGTTGTCAGTTCAGGGTTTCGGGTTTATGCTTGTTTCTGACCAAGAAACAAAAACCTACCCGGTCAGCATGGTTTGTTTTGCGCCTAAGATTCATACTTTGGCGTTTTCTCGCCCAAATGCAAGTTGATCTACGTGCCTATAATCTGGATGCGAGTGATAGGGAAAAAAAACACGGGTGCAGAGTTTCTGAACTGTACAGAGAAAATTCACGCACAGTGGTTGGGCATCATGTGTACTAGGAAGTCACAACTGACGTCACGTAAGATTTTGCTCACGTGACACGTGGTTTTAACCAATTAAGCTTTGATATGAACAAGAATCACGTGAAATTGCAATCAACCCCACAAGATGGTCGAATCGAACAAGGTCGCCTAAATCTGTCGCAATCATTAGTACGAATGGCATTCAACTAAACTTGACAGTGCGTCAAACAGCTAGCTTTTCCTTTGATTGCGGGCAGCTCATTCCCATTGCAGAGAAACAGCATCACTTTTCCAAACCGAAACTACCGGCCACGAGCTGGACGCAACCCTGAAAGTTCTTGTAACAACGACTGCCCGAAATCGAATTCGCACAACTCGCGTGCGAACGAATGCATCGCCCCTCCACACCACACAAACCACTCCCAAACCAAGCCAGCTTCTTCGACATGGGAGCTTCTTTAATCACAACGCAGTAACCCAAACTTCCCATTACCATAAAACTAAAACAAAGATATACCCCATATTCTGTCATAATAATATCTCCAACCAAGGACGATGTTATAGGAGCACAGGGATGCAAAGACCATCATGAGCCAGTTGTACGTTTATTTCTTCCCTGCATGACCAGAAAGAGGCATACAAGTGAGGCAAGTTAGTCGCATGAATGCTAGAACCACTAATACCAGGTATCGTATGTAGATGTGGTATGGCGACTTAAAGGGGAGTAATGGCACGTACTTGGTGGACCAGTCGCGAAGCAGTAAATTGACTTTGTGGTGGTCAAACTCATGAGTCATGCCAACGATTAAGGCATTATTTGGTCTCAAACTTCGGATTGCATCCAGGGTCTTGTAGGAATGATGTGGAATGGTATAGGGAAAGGAGTGGCAAAACGAGAATGAAGAAAAAAAAACGGGGGGAGTGGTTACACATTAGGAAACTGTGGGACAAGCAAAAGCATATAAAAGGGCATGACATTAATAGCTTCTGTCGAAAAAGACAGATGTGATGGGAGTAATGCAAGGGAGAGAAGCACCTGAGGAAGATGAAAATGAGTTGCATGCGGGTGATCCTGCACATTCATCCCACAAGGCCGTGAGATTGTGGATTATGTTACAAAGAGAAAAAGGGACCTCGAGGGACAACAAAGCACAAAATTCAGTCCACAAATAGTGGAAAAGGTCATGGCAATAAACAGTAGGTTAATGCAAGAACAGAAGGATGTGGCACATGCGAGAACGATAACGGCCATGAGCACATACAAAATAGAGTGAGTCAATAACGAGAATGTGAATACGACCCAGAAGCTGCTGCCTGGCTTTCAAGTCTGAATAAGCAGACGGTGCAGGAAGGGAGGGAAAAACAGGCAGGAGAGAGGCAGCGGAGAGCATGCATGGGAGAGCATCCATGTGAGGTCATGCGAATGAGTGGTAATGCTAGAAAATACAGAGAGCATGGACGGCGAACGTGTGGCGTGCGGAGGGTAGGTGGGTCATGCATGAGAGTATGGTGTCGGGGATCCTTGAGACATCTGACATGTACACCACACACTGGCCTACTTGGCTGGCAGAAAACTCATGCCATATCTCGAAAACAATGTGCCACAAAAAGAGCCTCCTTGCGTACATACAGGCGAGTGTGGTGTCGGGGATCCTTGAGACATCTGACATGTACACCACACGCTCATGGCCGCCAAACTCAAACCCCAGTGCTATGTAGTCCTCCCCATGTTGCACCTGCAGAGCATGTTACATGGCAGTTATGGTGCCAAATGGATGGTGCATGGTGCAAATATAAGAATGGTGCAGAATGGATAGTGCATTGTACAAACCAAAATAAAGTGGTGCAGATTAGATAGTGCGCATGTTACATAGAAAGTATGGTGGAGAATGGACAATGATGAGCGGAAATAATGCATGTGAACCATACAGGAAGGGGAGTGACTGTCAGACCAGCCGCATTGAAGGGAGCAACAACACTCTGTTGAATGATCTGCCAGTCGATTCGAGACACCCGACGAGATACTTTCTTCACGCCCCCCTCTCCTCCCCCCGTCATCCCCCCTGCACCTGTTCTTTCCTCAAGTAATTTATCCTGAATCACCCCACATGGCTGATCACCAGTGGCAGCAGCAGTGGCAGCAGTGGCAGTGGCAGCGGCGGCAGCAGCAGGTGGGCCAGCGAAGGGAGGTGGGAGCGAGGGAGCAGGGCGAGGGGGCGTGAGAGTGAGGTAGGGGAATTTGTCTTGAACGCTGTTTGTGGATGGGGACGGGTGGGAGGGAACGGACGAGGGGGCGAGAGAGGTGAGTACAATTAGGCGGGGAGGGAGCGAGGGACCAGGAGAGAGACAGACGAATGGGCGTTGGTGACGTCGAGAAGGGAAACAAGCGCGGCACCGAAACTCATGAACGTCATGAGGCGGGAGAACACAGGTACGTAAATTCTCAGAATGGGTGAAAACTCAAGCATTGGAAGAGGTGGGGGAGAACACAGATACAGGCCCATGCACCTGGCAATGCAGCGGTGCTGCTCGCACCTGGCCATACAGCGGCGGGAGAGGAAGACGGAGAGGGGCTCCACGTGGTCTGCTGCATGGCGGGGGATGCACTGCAGCCCTCTGACGTCATCCAGGCCCAGTATGGCGTCAGCATGCTCATGCGTGAGAATCAGCTGTAGCGAGAAGAAGGGGGGAGAGGAGAAAGGGGGAGTGAGGGGGGGGGGGGGGGGAGAAAGGGGAGGGGGGACAAGGTGAGAGGGAAGAATTGAGAAGGGGAATGGGGAGGAAAGAGAGGTAATGGGGCGGGAGGGGAGGAACATTGTGCACATTCAGTGGGGTTGACTTCGGAAAGAGCGGGATTGAGAGAGGAAAAGGTAACTCAGGATGGGCAATAGAGGGTATCCTGCATCCATAACCCATTCAACGGTGGGTATCCTGCAGACATACCGCGTCAATGGTGGGTATCTTGCAGCGCACGAACCACCGCAGCACCTGCTCCCGGAAGCACTTGCCGGCGTCAATCTGAATGTGCCGCCACTCCTCGCCAGGAGACAAATCTAAGCTAACGGAATCCGTCAGGTTTAATGAATCCGTCAGCTTAACGGTATCCGTCAGGAGAGTGGAATCACCACCTGGGCCATCAGCAGTCTCTCTGGAACTCGGCTGGGCTACTCCGTTGGAATCACAGCCCTCGTCTGAACGATCACTGCGTACAGTCACAGCTCCATCCACTATATGAGGTCGGAACCGGTATCGGATCATAAGCGACGGGTTGCATCTGCAGGCGACGAAACCGCAAATGAATGTTACCAGCTGGTCGAATGTTACAAGTAAATAACAGCTGAAGTTACATTCTCGCAATCCTGGAATGCGAGAAGGGCCAGAAGCGATGCGATAAACGGTTACCAACACGGCGAACGGCGGTGACCAGCACGCCATGTTACAAGCAATCACCAGAAGCCCGAATTCGCTCATTACCGATAATTCGGGTTTCGTTCCGGCGGTTCCGCGAGTGCCTTGTGGCAGACGGCACACGGCGGGTCAGTCGGCTGTGTGACGCAAAGAGGAGTGGGGACTCCCGTCGACGACCCCGTTCCTAAGAATATGATCTCCGACAACCCGCTACTGGACCGCGAGGCCATGGAGGACGGCTAGATGAAGCCAAATCAAGCCTACAAATGACAGACAAGTGCCGAGTCCCGACTAACTTGAAAACCGCAACTAGAATGAATCATGCTATACAAAATGCCAGTCAATCATGCCACCGATACTCCTTTCCATGCAGAATATCCATGTCCATGACTCTACCGGGAAAATGCCTGTGGGTATAGTACCAGGCTCCCTACGGGAAAGATCCGAAACGAGCGATCATCCCCGTTTGTGAGTTGCATTCGCGTTAGGGCGTGCCATGCTCACATTCTTAAACCTCGGTTCTAGAAAAAAACATGTCAATATTGTCACCAGGGTAGATAAAGGTTACCATTAGTGATTCATATTAGTGGTTTGTTCTGGCAAACTCGAACCCTTCAGGGCATAATAAATGCCCTATTGAAATCACACACACACCCACTTCCTTGAAATTTTCAGCCGTTATTGGTCTTTGCCTCTTGCCTCCTCTTGATTGCTCTTTCACCTCACCCACTGCCGCCTCCTCCCTGCTGCCGCCCCGCCTCCCCCTCCTCCCTGTGCTCCATCCCTCCTCGCTCTCATTCGCTGCTGTAGTGTCATGCCCTGATTGGCTCCTGTGGCCGGGTGATGGGTGAGAGCGACGAGATATACACGTTGCAATGAGAAGAAAACAAGCACGAACACGGGCAATAGGAGCACCTCAATATTTCTAATGCCAAAGCATACCTGAATCAACGGCACTCCAACAATGCCAGGTATCCCCCTCGCCCTCACAGCTCTTGTCTCACCTGATTTCCATGCCATTGGCTGCGTACTTGCCGCATCCATCGCCCCATCCCCTCCTTCCTTTCCTTTGCCTACTCCCCCCCTTCTTTCCCTCCCTTCTGATCCTGCCGCTCCTCCGCCCCCACCTCCTGCTCCCACACCCCCATCATCTGGCCTTGCACCAGTCGCTTCTCCAAGTGACCCTCTGACCCTCCCAACACCTCCCGAGCCTCTGCTCCAGCCCCCTCTCACGGGTGACTCTGCTCGTACACTCAGGCCTGTTCCTTCCACTGCACCCTCCCCACCAATATGCTCTCTCCCTCCTTCTAATTTTCCTGCCTCTCCTCCATATCCCATTTCTGCTTCTTTCCTGTCCCCTGCTCTGTCTCTAGCTCCGTCTCCTCCGCTCCTCCCGGCGCCCTCGTCCAAACTCCACCCCGCAATCGGCGCCTCCTCATCCAGGCTCGGCAGGCCCTTCCGAGCCTTCTCATACCGAGCCACATCGGTTCGGGCGGGGGTAGGCCCAAGCAGCAGAGGATCAGGTTCGGAGCGCTGGCTCTGCGCGCTGCTGCTGGGGGTGCGGTCTAGAGAAAGGGGGGTGATGACCCCAGGGGAAGCGGCAGAGGAGGAATGAGAGTAGGCGGAGGAAGGGAGGGAGATGATGTGAGGGGAAGAGGCTGGGGAGTCAGAGCCTACACTCACACCAGTGGCTGCTCCTGCTGCCCCTGCTGCTCCCGCTGTTGCTCCTGCTGCTCCAACCGCCCCCTGTGCTGCTCTCCTTGCAGTACCTCTCGCTGCTGCTGCCATTGCTGTGGCTTCCTCAATAGCTTCTGCTGCTGTCCCCCTTCCCGGCGCCCCTATGCCTTCTCTCCCTGCTCCTGCTGCTGTTCCCACCTGAGCAGTTTCAGAACCACCCTCGGCTCTTCTCACATTTGGCTGAAGCTGCAGCGAGGGTGAATTCCCCGTGGTAGAACCTGAAGGTGAGGAGGAGTACGAGGCGGTGGAGTGCGGTGGCGGGTCTCTGAGGTAATTCTGCTGCAGCTGCATCAGCTGAGCCTTGGCTCGCCGCAGCTTCTCCAGAACACTGGGACTGCCCCCCCCTACACCAGAACTCCCACCCCCCACCCCTGAACCCCCACTCTCCATCCCTCCCCTACTCCTTCCCTCACCTGACACTCCATCCTCTCCCCCCACCCCGCCTCGTCCTGCACTCGCCCCCTCCCTCAACGCCAACCTATCCCTGCCGGTGCCACTCCCCTCTGCCACTGCTGCTTCCGCCGTTGCCCCTGCAGCCCTCTTGACGGTTTCAAAGAAGAGGGCCGTGCGGGCAGCACGGGCAGGCGAGGGCGAGGCAGAGGGAGACGGCCAGGACCCCACTCCACCTGACGCTGCTGCAGCCGACGCACCTGCCGCTGCGTTTATCGAGGACGGATTTATGGGGGACAGAGCAGATGAGGGGGGGCGGGCGGGGGAGCCTGAGCCGGCTCCTGCTGCTGCTGCTCCTGCTGCTGCTGCCTTGAATGGGCTGCCGAACGCTGCTGTGCTGGGGATGTTATCAGCACCTTCATATGAACCCTTGGTGACTTCTGAAGAGATCCCTGCAGTGATCCCCATCTCCCTCTCCCTCTCCCGCTCTCTTGCCCCTCGACTCCAAGCCCTCACAGGTGATGGAGTTCCCACAATCGCTGCTCCCTCTGCTGATGCATCCCTCACATTCGCTCCTCCCTCTCCTCCTGCATCCCTCACACTCGCCCCTCCTACTGCTCCTGATGCTCCCTCCACTCCTCCCACCAGCCCTTGCAGCCTCACCTCTCCTTCCACTCCTGCTGCCTCTGCCTCCCCCTCCCCGCTCCCACCCATCCCTGCTGCCCATCCATCAGCCCCCGCTTCCCATTCCGAACTCTTGTTTCGTCCCATGTCCCTCCCGCCCTCCCATCCTCCCACTCCACCCTCCTCCCCATCAATCCTCTCCGCTTCCCACCCACCTGCTTCTCTGCCTTCCTCCTCACCAACCCCCTCGCCCGACCCCCCTCCCACCTCACTGCACTCCTCCCCACTCACCCGCTCGCCCTGGAGATCATACACAGCCACAAGATGGTGCGCGGAGCGGCAGGGGCGCAGCACAGGAGCCAGGCGGGGGGGCAGGGGGAGGGGAGAGTGTGCGGGCAGGGGAGAGGATAGGGCGGAAGGTTCAGGTGGGGGTAGGAGGAGGGGCGAGGACGCGGGAGAGGGAGAGGAGAGACTGGCGGGGTCAGTAAGAGGGAAGGGGAGGGAGGAGGGATTGGATGGAGGCACAGGAAGGGTGGATTGCTGTTGAGTGCTGGTGATGGGGAGTAGGGGCGGAGAAACAGCAGCAGCTGCTGCTGCTGCAGGTGCTGTTGCTGCTGGGGCTGGTTCAGCTGTTGTTGCTGCAGTGCTTGCATTGTGCGCAGCGGTGGGCTGCTGTGCCTCACTTGCAGCAGCAGCACCACTCGGCTGTGACTCGGATGGAGGAGCAGCAGTAGCGAACGTATCACAGGCCGCATGCTCGTGCTCATGTCGATCTTGATATTGATGCTCATGCTCATTCCCCTGCTCGGGCTCTCGCTCCTGCTCGTGCTGATGTTGATGCTGAGTGGGCAGAAGGCCGTGACGTTGCATGAAGGCAGTGCGTGCAGCGATGAGAGCCGAGGCAGGCTGCAAGCAATGCGGGAGCAACAACATGAGGAGGGAGGGAGACAGACGCCCCTGAAACAGGTTCACGGAGGTTCACGGTGCAACAGGCAGACGTTCAAGAAGGCACATGGCACATGGCATGAGGCACATGGCACATGGCATGAGGCACATGGCACATGGCATGAGGCACATGGCACATGGCATGAGGCACATGGCACATGGCAGTCCTGCATGTCACGCATTACATTCTTATCTTACCCACCCACTCACCTGAGCATCACACGTGTCCGTCAGGTCGAACAGCTGCAGCGGCACAGGCACGTGGTGTTTTGGAGAAGGGGGGTTCTCAAGAGCACCCTGCAGACACTCACGTAACATGGCAACGAGCCAGTCACCCACCTGAGCGTCACACTTGTCTGCGAGGTCAAACAGCTGCAGCGCCACAGGCACATGCCCATCTGCCTCGGCCATCTCCACCTGCTGCAGCCAGTGCCACGCCGAGGACAACCCCCCTGGTTCCCCTCCTCCTCCCCCTACCGTCGACATCCCTGCAGCAAAGCCAGCAGTGGAGGCAGGGCGATGAGCAGGAGAGAGGCCTGCAGGCTCCTCACCCCAGGCTGGGCGAGCAGCAGGCAGGGCGCTGCTGCCATCACCAGGCTCCTCGCCCCCTGCTGCTGCTGCTGCCGGCACGGGCTGCACTGTGGCCGCCCCTCGCAGCAGCTCCAGAGCACGCACGTCCTCGTCACTCCACTCCTCATCCTCCTCCTCCCCTCCCTCACTCGCTCCCTCACTCATCCCCTCTCTCCCTCCCTCGCTTCCCCACCCTGCCGCCACCATCTTCCCCTCGCCCGCTCCACTCTGCACCTTCTCCTCACGAGCCTCAAGCGTCGCAAGTGCCAATGCCTCCTGCCGCCGCTCATTGCTCACACCTCCCTCCCCAGTGCCCTCCTTCCGGCCCTCACCTCTACCCTGTGCACCAGCCGCAGCACTGGCAGCAGCAGCAGCAGCAGCAGGAGCGGCAGCGACAGCGGCAGCGGCACCAGTGGTGGTATTTGCACTCCTGTCATCCCTCCACAACTCCCCTCCATACTCTTCCTCCTCCTCTCCAACCCCCTCACTCCCTACACCTCCTTCACTCTCCCCTTCCTCCCGTCCCCCCTCACTCGCCCCCTCTTCCCTCCCACCCTCCCACCGCTGCTCCATCCCCTCACCCCTCACCTCCCACCTGCCTCGCTCCCTCGCCCCAATGCCCCCAACCCTCTCTTCCCCCCGTACCCCCACCGTCACCCCCATCTCGCCATCCCCCATTCCGCCCCTGCCTCCCTCCATCTCCCCCCTGCTTCCTCCCATCTCCCTCTGGCCTTCCCCCATCTCCCCCCCGCCTCCCCCCAGCTTCCCCCGGCTACCTCCCGCCTCCCCCCTGTGCCCCGCGCCACCCCCCATGAGGAGCAGCAGCTCGTGGCGGAGGGCAGCAGCGTCCACGGGCATTCTCCCCGCTGCCAGCGCCTGCTCCAACTGCCGCAGGCTCTGCTGCACCGCGCTCTCTTCCCCCTCGCCCCCGTCCTCCTCCCCTGTACCTGCCCTCTCGCCCCCCTCCCCTGGCTCCGCCCCTGCCTCCCCTCTCTCGCCTCTCATTCCCCCCCTCCCCACTTCCCTCCTCTCCCCATCCCTCACCTCCACACTCCCCGCTCTTCCTCCCCCGCTCCTGCCGCCACCTCGCCCGGGCAGCTCCTGAATAGTTTCCCTCTGCCCGGAACCGTCTGCCTGCCCGTCGCCCTCCAGAAGCCCCCCAAAGTCGTTGAGAGTGTGGGGGAAGCCGAAGAGAGAGAGGGCCACGGCCCTCGCCTCCTCTTCGTAGTCACACGCGTCCTCCTCCTCCCCCTCCGCCTCCCTCCCTCCCTTCTCTCTCCTCCCTCCCTTCTCTCTCTTCCCTTCTGTCCTATCCATCCCTCCCATCTCTCCTTTCTCCCCTTTCCCGTCCGGTTCTACAACCCTCTGACTGTCGCTGGCTCTGCTTTCCTGCGCTCCAGTTACCTCTGCATCAGCAGCACCAGTAGGGGAACCAGTAGCAGTGGCAGCAGCAGTAGCAGCAGATGCATCAATGCTCCCTGCTCCACTATTTCCTCCACCTTGACCCACCTCCCTCTCTCCTTCCCCATGCCTCTCCTCCTCCCCATCCCGCTCCCCCGTCCGCTCCCCCTCCCTCTGCCTCTCCTCCCCATCCAGCTGTAGCGTGGCCAGGGTGCGAAACAGGAAGTCGCCCCCTCCCCTGTAGCGGTAGGCTGTGGCCGCGCGACCCAAGGCGCCAGGCTTGAACACAGCTTCGACCAGGCTCGGGGGGAGAAGACCAGCCTTGGCAGCAGCAGCATCAGCATCGGCATCAGCTTCAGCAGCAGCAGCAGCAGCAGCAGCGGATTCGCCAGCACCATCAGCACTGGCACGATCACTACCAGCAACACGAGCAGCGCCTTCAGCAGCACTTTCTCCCCTGCCCCCTTCCCGTCTGCCTCCTCCCTCTTCTGCCTTGAGCACCTTGGTCCGACACAGAATACCCTTAGCGGACCTGCTTATAAGGGAACCTCCACCTGCCCCATCCACAGCACAAGCACCGCTGGTAGACCCAGCAGCAGCAGCAGCAGCAGCAGGGGTGGCAGGGCCGGCAGTGGCAGCAGAAAGGCTGTCCTCCTTGAGTGCGGCAGCAGAGTCGGCCTCCTTGAGTCGCCTGAGCAGCCCAGCGCGCAGGGCAGCAGGCAGGGGCGCGAAGGGGTCGCTGGGCCCGGGGGGACTGGTGGTGGGGAGCAGGGCGTGTGACTGGGGGTGTGCGGGCGAGAGCAGCTGGGGGTGCGGATGCGTGTGTGCGTGAGAAGTATGGGCGTGAGAGGTGTGCGTGTGAGCAGTGAGAGAATGATTAGTGTGCAGAACAGTGGAGGGGCTTGATGGGTGCATTGGTGTGTGGTGATGAGTAACGCTGTGCGGGTGGTAACCCATGGCATGTTGCCCCTTGGCTTTCTGTGAAGGCGGCAGCAGGTCTGGTGGGGCGCCCATGGCATGTGGCTCAAGATCGGCTGGTTCTGACGCATACACATGCATGGGAGCCGCTGTAGCAGCAGCAGCAGCAGCAGCATCACCTTCGCCACCTGACGCATGCACATGCATGGGAACCGCAGCTGCAGCAGCAGCAGCAGCAGCACCTGATGCACCTGCGCCATTTGAGATGTCACTACTGCGTTCCTTTACGTCATTGGACGGACCGGCATGGCGTTCCACATCCATCCCACTGCTGTAACCACCAACACCACCATTAGCGCCACCACTGGCACCATCAGCATCAGCATCAGCGCCATAAGCGGTGCCACCAGCACGGGACCCAGCATCAGCACCCTCCATTCGCTGCTCTGCCTCCGCCCGCCTGAGCCCCTCCTCATACCGCCTCTGTCTCTCCTCCAGCCTCTCACTCCTCTCCCTGTACCCCCCCTCCTGTTCCTCCTCCTCAACCCCCCTCTCTGCTTCCCTGCGTTCATTTCTGCTGGCATGCATTTCTGCACGCTCTGTTAATTCCACCTGAGGTTTCACCTGAAGCAGCCCCAGCCGCTGCATCCAAAAGTCGTCTTCGCCTTCATGCACCTGCTGCCCCCCATCCCTCCCCTCCGCAGCCCACCTGTCCACCTTCGACAAGTCCCTCCCCTCCTCCCTCCTCGCCCACCGCATTCCTTCTCCCTCTCCTACCGACCCCTCTCCCCACCTCTCTCCTTCCCCTTCCGCCCTCTCCCCCTCCCCTTCCACCACCTCTTCAATCTCCGTCGTCCCTCTCCTCCCTTTCGACCAGCCGCCTAAGGCCCCTCCTGCTCGCCCCCCGCTCCTCCCTTCAGGCCCATTCGTCACCTCTCCCGCCCTCTCCTCCTCAGCGCCGTCCTTCCGCATCCTCTCCCCCTCCCACTCCCCCTCCCTCTCCCCCGCTTTCTCCTCTCCCCCCACCCCTCCTTTTCCCCCCTTCCCTCTCCCACCACCCCCCCCGCCTGTGCCCTCCTCTCCCCCCAACCCGCCCTCACTGTACGTGTTCAGGGGGAGAGGCACAAACGAGACGAGGGACGGAGCCACGCCAGCAGGAGAACCAGAATCGTACTGTGCATGTGACTCTGCTGCTACTGCTGCTGCTGCTGCTGCTGCTGCTGCTGCAGGCATCTGTTGCTCACCTGACGCATGCGAGGGAATAGAGAGGGACTGATGCGACAACATGGAGTGAGACTTTTGTGACAGGGAGAGGGAAGAGTCAGACCTCAGCCGTGCTCCTGCCACGATCTCGTGAAACGGCACCTCACTCACTCCATCCCCCTCCTCCACCCCACCCTTTCGCTCCCCTCCCGCCACCTCCCCTCCTCCCCTCTGCCCCGCCGACCCTGCCCACTGCTGCTCCTGCTCATACCCCTGCTGCCCTCTGCGGCTGCTGCCTCTGCTGCTCATCCGCGCAACGCCACTCTCTGCATGCCGTTTGGACCGCGTGCCCCGCGCGTGGTGCTGCTGCTGCTCCTCCTCGTCCTCCTCCCCGGGCTTGCGTGGCAGGGAGAAGCGGTTCAGCGCGGAGGGCGTCCTGCGCAGCAGATAGGCTGCTGGAGGCGCGCTCTGCTGCTGCTGTTGCTGTTGCTGTTGCTGTTGCTGGTGGGAGGGGGCTTGGTAGGCTTGCTGCTGCGTCCGCTGGTGCTGCTGCTGCTGCTGCTGCTGGGACGCGTGTGGGCGGTGGAAGAGCGGATAGTGCTGCTGATGGTCAGACACAGGGTGGGGCGAGTGGGGATGAGACGGGGATGACGGGCATGCGGGATCGTGGGGGTGCGAGGGGAGGTGAGGGGGGAACATGGTGGGGGAGGAGTCACTCCCGCAGCTGCCATACCCACCGTACCCGCCATACCCGGCAAAACCAGCATAGTCAGCGTTCGGAAGGTACGTTTGGGGGAGCGGCAGTGGGGAGGACGCGTCAATGTGGCTGTCGGAACTGGCACCATCAGGGGACAACAGCCCCTCTTGCCGCCTGTTCGGGGACAGCCCTTCCTGCTTCCCTTCCGGAACCACCACTCTCCGCTCACCATCTCGAAACGCCTCCCTCTGCTTCCCTTCCTTGGCAGCCGCCGGAGTGCTGTAGTAAGCCCCTTCATTCCTCAAATATTGCTTCTCCACTGGACTCACCCACCCCTCCTCCCACCCTGCTTCACCCATCTCCACCGCACCTGCACCCCCCTCTCTCCTGCTCGGCCCTACACCACCGCTGCTACAACCGCCGCCACTCGTAGCTACATCCGCATCGCCACCAGCCCGCGTTTTCCCGCGCTGCCGCTCCTTCACACGTTTCCTCTTCTCCACGCTGGCGGCTTGAAAGCTGTCGTAGTAAGCGGCACCAGGCACGTAGTACGGATCGCTGCTGGGTTCCCTGTCCGCGTTACCCCCGTTATAAGCTGAAAGTGGTGGAATAGATGGAGGATTCTTTGTTGCCCTATTCGAACGCTCTACAGGCTCTATCGAAGATCCGGTAAGGTTGTCCGCGTTTGTACCCGCTACAAGGTTCCGCGGATTCGATTCCACATGCTGGTGTCTGGCTGATTTGCCTGAAAACAAATCCGCGTTAGTAGCAATCTCCGCTTGTGTCTTAGCGTGCGTCCTCTCTCTCGCGCCAGCCACCAGCTCACGAAACGACACCAGATCTCTCATTGCAGGCGCGGGATAATACCATACCTTCGCCTCAGGCTCGGGCGCCCTGGGTCGGACCGGACCTGGAGAACTGCTTCGGAAGTGCGGCCTAGTGAAAAAGCCCGTCACCCGCGCAGCAGCCGCGGAAAAAGGACCTGCGGAGCCTGCGCCTGCGCCTGCGGTGGCAGCGGCGGCGGGGGCAGCGCCCCCTGGGTCGGGGGCAGGGCCGGGGGAACGGGGCTGGCGCGGGGATTCCTGCGCATCGGCGGAGAACCAGCGCCAGGGGCGGTGAGGGGAGCGCGACCGAGAGCGGGAGCGGGAGCGCGCGCCAGAGGGGGAGGCGGAGCGCGCGGGATTGGGGGAGCGTGAACGTGGGCGGAAATTGAGAAAGGGGATGGGAATGGCGAGGGGCGGAGGGACGTTCGGGGGAGGTGCCGGGGGAGGGGTGGTTCGGGCGAGACTAGGAGCGCGGGAGGAGGGAGGGTTGAACTCCTGATAGCTGCAGGATGGTGGGCGAGGAACGGGGAAAGACACGAGAGCAACGACGACAGACACAGGAGTAAGGCCACGTGGGACAGGCGAAACAGGAAGGAGAGGGGGGACAGGCGAAACAGGCGAAACAAGCGGGACAGGCGAAACAGGAAGGAGAGGGGGGACAGGCGAAACAGGCGAAACAAGCGGGACAGGCGAAACAGGAAGGAGAGGGGGGACAGGCGAAACAGGCGAAACAAGCGGGACAGGCGAAACAGGAAGGAGAGGGGGGACAGGCGAAACAGGCGAAACAAGCGGGACAGGCGAAACAGGAAGGAGAGGGGGGACAGGCGAAACAGGCGAAACAAGCGAGACAGGCGAAACAGGAAGGAGAGGGGGGACAGGCGAAACAGGCGAAACAAGCGGGACAGGCGAAACAGGAAGGAGAGGGGGGACAGGCGAAACAGGCGAAACAAGCGGGACAGGCGAAACAGGAAGGAGAGGGGGGACAGGCGAAACAGGCGAAACAAGCGGGACAGGCGAAACAGGAAGGAGAGGGGGGACAGGCGAAACAGGCGAAACAGGCGGGACAGGCGAAACAGGAAGGAGAGGGGGGACAGGCGAAACAGGCGGGACAGGCGAAACAGGAAGGAGAGGGGGGACAGGCGAAACAGGAAGGAGAGGGGGGACAGGCGAAACAAGCGGGACAGACGAAACAGGCACAGGGATAAACCAGTGAGGAAAGGGAAAGAAAGAGTGGGCGCGACTGGAAGGAGCAGGCGATATCGCAAGGTGCGCGGTGAACTGACAGGATAACCAGAGAATCACACAGGCGACACCCCACATCACGCATTCCATACCTGCATATCCGTCGCATACCCGTCACAAACCTGTCGCATACCCGTCGCATACCTGTCGCCCCACGCACCTGTGGCGCTTCCGCCTTCTCGACAAGTCTGAACCATCACCCTCGCGTTGCGAATCGCCACGTGGAGACTGCTTGCGCTGGCCGTCCAATCCTTGCGTGCCACGTGAAGCCACCCTTTCGCCAACCCCGCTCTCGCGAGGCCAATCAGACTCATCTCTAACCCTACTGCGTCTCCGCGCTGTGTCGATCGATAAGTTAGGACGACCCGGCACGTCACGAGCGAGCGGCCATCCGAGAGGCGACGGCTCCCCAGGGCCGATAGCTCCTTGGCTAATGGAATCCGCTACGATCCCTGCAGCCATTCCTTCCGCAGAATCTAGACGCGCTTCGGCCTATGATAGCAGCGCAATAACTTAGCTAACAGGGACGGACAGACTCATCTGAACAGGTTAACGACAGCTCCCGAGCAGCGCAACTAAAGCAGGATAATGAAGGGTCGCACCATATGCTCCCTCTCATTCGCGCAAAGCGCGACGGCCTATCGCTCACAAGTGTCGTCGTGGGGTCAACAGGGAGCCTCGAGAGTTCATCTGCCAGTATAGGAGAGAATAAAGTAATTTGGACACAGCGTAACTACAGACTCTAGGTATCCGAGTATATACCATTAGACAGCACACTACTAATAAAGCTACAATCGCTTTAGCCTGAACATCTGAAATACCTGAACAGCTGAATCGTGGAATCCTCATCCGACACACTCTACGTCTCCCTGACGGCGACACATGTCACGGACTTCGTCATTGGGGCAGCGACAGTGTCCTTGAGATCTGCGCTCTCCTCCTCGTTCCCGAGCCAAGCAGACGGGGCGAGCGGGATTTGGGCTTGACGAATCAGGTTTCTGGAGCGAGGGGCGTGGCGACCGACGTGCGACACGGTAGGTTTGGGAAAGGGCGGCGGCATCGCTTGGGTCATGTTACCGAACTGCAAAATCGAGCTTGAGTATTTAGTAGTATTCATAAATAACTAAGTATTTACGATTGGCACAGGTGTTTGGTCCAGCGGTACGATTCTCGCGTCAGGTGCGGGAGGTCCCGAGTTCAATTCTTAGTACACCCCTTTTCTTCCTGTCATGTCATTTTGCATGATGTTTTTATAACTGTCAATCTCACTTCCACAACTCCCTCCCACTTCAAAACGTCTATCATGCTTCTGGAAGACAGATGGAGCTTCTACTCATAACACATAACATCAACTGGATGGCAGCCAGCTAGAGCTCTTTATGTGAGACGTTGATCCTGTTCGGGATGCGCTGAATCTTCCGTCAGTAATCAAAACTCACCTTGAACTTGCTTTAGCAACATACATACAATAATGGAAAACTCAAGGCACATTGCCCAGTCAACCATTGGCCTGAAACACCATGTATCTCATCATCGCTACAGGGTTAGCCTTGAGGAATCGCTTACTATGCACACCCTCCTGCCCTGCCTTCTCCTTTCCTCCGTCTCCCACATCACCTCCAGAAGTCCCCACGCACAGCCTCTTAGCAGCAGGCTCCTCCCCACTAGCCCCAAGCTGCTGCTGTTGCTGCTGCTGCTCAGGAGGACTCCTCCTGAGATAATCGACCACCTGGTTACCACCAGTGCCTGGCGGCCTCTTGTGCTGCCCTGCCGCTGTACCAGCAGCTTGAGTGTCAACTGTGGTAGGGACAGTCGCAGCAGCTGTAGCAGCGGCTGTAGCTGCGGGGCCAGCAGCTGCAAGCGCTTGCTGCAGGAGAGGAGGGGAGGTGGAACCAGAGGCGGAGTGTAGCGGGAGAATGGGCAGAGAGGGGACAGCTCTACTGTGGTCTAACCCGCCTTGCCTGCCTGCTACAGATGGAACAGCAGCAGCTGTGGCAGCTGCAGCACGGAAGTTTTCCCATCCAGTGCTGTGCCCTACTGCCTGTCCTGATCCTGTGCCTGGCGCACCGGCCAGCCATGCCGCTTGCCGCTGCTTCTCCATCCGCTCTGCACCATCCACTCCTGCTGCCAGTGTTGCTGCTCCTCCTGTTGGTGCCGGTGGTGCAAGGGTCATTTCACATCCCGCTTGAGAGAACGAAGGGGCTGCACCGTGGGGGACGGTGGAAGGCAACGAGGGAAGAGAGGCAGCAGCGGCGCCAGCACCAGACGAACCGGGTGCTGGAAACGCTTGTGGTGTTGGCACCGCTTGCAGTGCTGCTGCTGCCATTGCTGGTGCAGGTGCTCCCACTGCCGGTGCAGACGCTGCTGCAGCTGCCGCAGCTGCTGCAGCGGCCATTGCCGCAGCCATTGTTGCCTGGTCAGGCCACCCGGGAAAACCCCCCGCCCCCACACCAGCGCCACCAACAGCACCAGCAGCAGCAGCACCTGCACTGCTTGCCGATGCAGCTGCAGCAGCAGCGGCAGCGGCAGCAGCAGAGAACGCGGCTGCGTCGGGGAAACCCGAAGCGGAGGCGGATCCGGGCCAGTGTACTTGTGGCGAAGAGTAGGGCCACTGGCCGAGGTGACTATACGGGGAGGCGGAGAAGGGAGAGTGCAAGGACGCAGCAGCAAGGGAAGACCCGAGGTGTGCTTGTTGCTGCAGCTGCTGCAGCTGCTGCAATTGCTGCTGCTGCTGCAGTTGCTGAAGCTGTTGCAGCTGCTGCCGTTGATAGTGCTGCTGTTGCTGCTGCTGCTGCTGCTGTTGCTGCAGGTGCAGAAACTGCTGCATCTGGAATTGAGAAAACGGCTGCAGAGCCGAACCCCCGGAAGCAGCTTGAGCAGCCATGGCAGCGGCGGCTGCTGCAACCGCAGACGCCATTTCCTGGCCCGCAGCGGCGGAGGACATTCCTTGGCCGGCCGCCGCCGCCGCAGCAGCAGCCGCAGCCGCGGCCGCGTACTCGGAAGCAGCGCCCCCCATGCCCGCGCCCATGCCCATACCCATTCCGCCCATCCCCGGAAAGATCCCCGCAGGGACGTGCCCCGCGCCCGCCGCCAGCGCCATGGTCCGCGCAGCCGCCGCCGCTGCCACATTGGCGGGAGAGAGACCCGCGGAGAGGCCCGGGGAGTATGGGGGGACGCCTTGGCGCAAGAGCTCCGCCTGAGGGAAAGCTCCATGCGGGGAAAGAGCGGCTGGGGGGAGACCGTAGGCTGCAGGTAACGCCACGGAGGGCGCGGAGAGAGCGTGGGACGCGCCGGAAAGAGCGGAGAGAAAGGGACTGGCGACACCTGGCACCAACGGATTGGTTGCCGCTACGGCAGGTGAATGGACTGCCGTCGCTGCCGCCGCCGCCGCCGCCGCTGCGGCGAGCAGCGCTGCTGGCGAGACGCCCGCGGCTGGATCGCCAGCGGCGAGAGCTTGAGCATGGGCTTCCTGATGCGACGCCTGGTGCTGCTGGTTACCCTGTTGCTGTTGCGGGTGTGACAAAACCTTGCTTTTTCGCCGGCCCGAGCCCACGGGCACGTTTCGCAGATTGCCACCGGCTGTCCAATAGCGCTGGCAGGCTCGGCAGAAGTGGCGCGGCTGGTTCGGATTGTAGTTGTTGAAGTAACAGAACTTGGTAGCGAGACTCTTGCAACGGGGACAAGGTAGCGGGGTGGTTGGACGCTTCAACTCGCAACCTCCTTCCCCCTGCTTCTGCCCCTCCCCCTCCTGCTGCTGCAGCTCCCGCTCCTGCTCTTCCTGTTTCGCCCGCTCCGCCGACGCATCTTGAGACTCGGAACTCTCCTCCCGGTCGTCGTTCCCCTCTGCTTCTTCGCGCTCCTCTCCTCTATTCTCTGCAGCAGTTGCGGCCGCGGCGGTTCTGCGAAAGTCGTTCGAGGTCTGACGAATCGCGGAATCGGGAATAGCATTTAGTTCGGCACGGGGTCGAGGCCCTTGACGAAGAGACGACGGTGGAGATTGATTTGCGTCGCACGCCAACGGCTGGGATGAGACGGGCGAGTTTGGCGCGCTACCGTTATCGATTAATCTACCGAAGAGACGGAATCCCGGATCCGCCGCGTCTAAAACGGGACCGGCTATTGTTGCCATCACGCTGTTCGATATCCAAATCTACTCGACTAGGAACATTCCACTTTTGCCTTTCTTGGCTTGGTCCTGTAAATGTGAAAAGAAGCTTGTGTGTGTCCGTGTGACTTGCAATTGGCAAGCTGAGTGACGAGGCGTAATCTCTGCTATGGCTAAACGAGGAGCTGAGATATAGGCTCGAGTGAACGATTCGCTGAACCGCACACAGACTAGCAACACTGGATGACGCTGGAACTTGGTGTTTTGGCTACCCCGTGCTTGCTCTGCCCGGCCCTGTCTGAACCACGCACCAAATACACCACTCGCGCGGGCAGGTGGGAGATATTGCTGCTGTATGAGCTCGTCTGACAGAATTCTGACCGGCAGGGCAAAGACGAGGGGAGAAAACATGATGAGCGAGGTTCTCTCGCACAGCCAAGGGTTGGAGGGAGGAGAGAGGGGGAGTGGGGGAGAGAAGTGGTGGATCACTCTCTGACCAGCGGAGATAGCGCGTGCGGTCTCGAGGTTGGGGGAGAGTGTGTATGCTCTTTCAGGCAAGCGCGGGGGCGATTCTCCGCCGTGCAATGGGACGGTTGTTGGGGATTCTGCCTTGGTCCCCCGGCGCTGCTTCGCTGGCTTGCGTGGCCGCGGTTGTCCGGTGGCTGTGCTACTCTTGGTGCCAACGTTCTCCTGCCCGAAAGAAATCTCGTTTGCCTGGCTAGCCTGCCCTGGCAGCTCAAGAGCCACAGAGGTAAAAGCTCGATGTGGAGGTGTCGAAAAGTGCGGCTGAGTTACGTCGCCAATCCGCGGGAAATCCGTGGATTGTTCGTGACGCGTGTACGAACCAGACTCCTTTGGTGTGATTGGTAGAGGTGAAAAGAATCTCCCGTGTCCTCTGGGCAGGAGGTCAACCTCGCATTCTCAGGGACAGATAAATATTTTCGCAAGGGATCTGGAAACCACGCAAAGGTTGCGCTTTTCCCGAAAAGAGACAATGGTGCGGATGATTTTCGTGCAACACAGACCGCGTTTGGGTGAAACGACGATCAACCAGGCACTTTTCCTTGCCAAATCAGCAGATGAACTGCAACCACAAACAGGGAGCGGAGTCCTCACGTGGCAGCACCTAGAACATTCAGGAGTGTTGAATGTCCATCCTGGCTCAGCAGAAGATATCAAGTAATCATAACAATAGAAGCTTCGGAAGAGGTGGCCTTTCGTCGCATTAATGAAGCTTCTACTCGGGCAGGTGAACTGGGAACCGACAATAATAAATCACAGTATACACGAGGGCCCGATTTAGCAAAAATAAGGAGCTCGTTGACTAGTGTAAGAAATCCAAAATCTACATCTTGAAAATAGGCGTACCCTTCAAACTTTAGAGCAGCAAAAAGTAGATGGTGCATGAAACTGCCTGCTGGCGTGGAGAATGGATATCAAACCTGTGGACAGAAGCGCTCTTTTCCAGCAAAAAGCATATCGGACTTTGTGGCCATTTGGGGTTTCCACGTGTGATCGAAGAACTCTGACATGGCGCACATGCTCAAAGTGAAAGCAACAGTAGTAAGCCAATAAACCGAGGCCACATCTGTCCAGCAGAAGAATCATCCAAACGAAAAGCTGGCGAGAAACATCTGGGATGGGCCAAATGATGATCACCCCATCGATGGGCTATAAACATTGGCCCCAAACAATCTTCTGAACATCAACATCACTACAGTTACGTACTTTACATGCAATTAGTAGGCACATACAGGTAAGTTGAAGAGAATGTAAGTGGGAGAAGTTTACATGCTGGAGTGTGTGGGAGAGACAACCAACTGCTTGTCAAAGAAACCTGCCATCAAATCTCTGATCAAATAAAATATGAATCGCTTCGCCGTACTTGCGTGTTGGCGAATGAAACAGAGAATGTTGGCAGTAATTGGGCGCTAGGTGGCCAGGAGAAATGTGGATGGCTGGTGTGTTGGAAACAATCGATCTTAAGCGCCTCTGTCGTGTCGAAACACTAAGGCACAAACGAAACGAAGCATATCGAAGCACCAGCGAGTCAACCCTCGGAGGTTGAAAGTAACTGCTAGAGGTTACACGAAAGTCAAAGGTCAGCGACCTTTGACCTGACAAAGTACACCGCGACAGCAAGGACATACAACTGACTCGCTACAGAGCAGTTGCCCGAGTCGTCACTGTATCGAACCGCAACAGCAACAGTAAAACAGTTATAACTGTACCCCTTCATATTCCTTGTACTCCTATATAATCTTGTATCTCTTTGTTTTAATCAATCGACTTTGCCCTCACATACTACCGCAAGGTGGTTCAAATACTTCTCATTAAGCTTCCGCTGTTACATCAATCCTACCCAGAATTCACCCTTGTAAATATCCTAAGGGCTATTTTCTCAGCCCTACATGGTATGAGAGCTGTCAGGGGGAATTCAACTTCTATCAAAATACCAACAACATCAACAGGCATGGCTACACAAAAGGAAAGGAGCAACTCCAACGGCTCCCAGGGCACTACTCCTACTCCACCTCCTGCCTTTGACCTACAGACAGAGGAAGGCACGGCCGTTAGACCTAGAACAACGTCTACCGAGACTCCCGCGAATCAACCTGTAGACTTCGACCAGAGCATGATGGAGAAATTATTCTCCTTCATGTCCTTCTACGAGCAACACCATCGATCGGCACCTGCGCAGTCACACAATAGCAACAACAACGGAGCAACTCCCATGAGTATCGACGACTCATCATACGCACGAGGAAATCAACAGCAACAGCCTACCGTTGCTCCGTACGAGCGCAGGTCCATCAGCTTTATGCCACACCCGCAGCCTTCACCTGAACAAGAAAGGCCACCGGACGCATTACAAGTTCAATCGCAGTTCGCGCACGTTCCGAAGATGCAGACGTCAAGACCTTTCCATGGAAAGGATTTCTTCACCTGGTCGTTTGAATTCGAGTTGATGATGGAAGGCGCGCAAATACTTGGCTTCTTCGACAGGTCCCTGCCATACCCAACGAACGGCACACAGTATGAGAAGCAACAGTACACCTATCAGTCGATGATGGCGTACACGATTCTACTGAGGAACATCACCCCGACTCAACAGCAGAATAAACGGTCTTACCGGGGTTACGGCAACTCCGCGGAGCTCGCATACAACCACTTGAAGAGCCTGTATCAAGCAACAGACAGCATAAATCAAAGTCGGTTAATGACGCAACTGACAACGGTCGAAATGAAACCAGGCGAGAAAGGAATGGCGTATATCAGCCGATGTCGCGAGCTGCGCGACAAGCTTCTTCGATGCGGAGGGCCGATATCTGAAGACGCCTTCGTGACAGTTATCATTGGCGGCCTCGGTCCTCAATGGCGCGCCACAAAGGCCATTCTCTGAGCCCACGGAAGAATCTCCGAAGCAGCGCTCTGAGAAGAATTGAACGAGAATGTGTGAACTATGAACGAAGTGAGTACAAATAGGAAACCCTAGCTGGGTTGTACCCCCTATGGGATACCCCACTATAGCCTACACAAATATGTAAGCTATGATGTTCTGACACACCCCCATAGGCAAAGTGGGGGAGAACAAGGGGTCACAAGACCAGTCAAGCAAAGCAAAGCAAAGCTCAGGGTGGATCACAAAGTCACCACGCATTCCGAGCACAAGTTCAAAGGCCACAAGGCCAGTTCACATGCAAGATCATATATAGAGGTATACAAGAGTCAAGCAAGCAAGAGCAAGAGTATATATACGCGAAGGTACAAGCAAGGTCAAGAGGAGAGCAAGTGAGGCAAGACAGGCACAAGACCCAACTGCGTGCAGCAACGCTGATGATCACAAGGCGCAAGTGCCTTGGTGAAGAAATCAGCAGTGTTGGCCTCAGAGGCCACGTACGCAAGTCGCAGCTGTCCACGCTGCTGTAGCTCACGAGCAAGAAAGTAGCGAAGAGCAATGTGCTTCGTTCTGTGCTCCAGTCGCTGCTCTCGACACAAGGCCAGCATGGCCTTGTTGTCTACGTACAGGACTGGAGGAGAACGAGGCTGCTCTCCAAGGTCGGTCAGCAGGTAGGTGAGCCAGCGTAACTCCTGTGCAGCCATAGCCCCAGCGTAGATCTCAGCCTCACAACTGGAGCCGAGAACAGAAGACGAGCGGGTAGCCCGCCACGAGACAGAGCCGGAACCAAGGCTGAAGGTGTAACCCTGTGACGACCGCTGCGTAGCCTGGTCGTCAGCCCAAGAAGCGTCTGCGTGCCCAGTGAGGACCACTGGACTGCGCCCTCCAAGCACTAGCCCCATGCCCGACGTACTGCACAAGTAGCGCAACACCCTCTTCGCTGCAGCCATGTGCTCTGGTCGGTGTCTCCCAGGAGCAACAAAGCGTGCGAGAATGCTAAGAGGGTATGCGAGGTCAGGTCGTGTGCAGGTCATCAGGTACATGAGGCAGCCAACAAGCTCTGGGTACGGGCCACTCGACTCTACGGACTCATCCGAAGGCAGAGCTGAGAGCGAGTGGCGAGTAGGCAGAGGAGTGGCCTGAGGCGAGGAGTACGTGAAGCCGAAGCGCTGAAGGACCTGCTGCACCATGTGTGACTGAGTCAGGGTAATGGTGCGGCGTGCTCTGTCCCGGGTGATCTGCAAGCCAAGGTAGCTGCGCAGTTCACCCAGGTCAGTGCACGTGTGTCTCTTCTGCAGCTCGGACTTCACGTAGGCGAGTCCAGCAGTGTCAGCTGTGGCAAAGACCAAGTCGTCGACGTACACGAGGATGTAGAACGGCGGCAGAGAGGTGTCGGTGCGCAGAAACAGCGACGGGTCGGCAGTGGAAGGAGCAAACCCAAGTGCCGCGAGCGTAGTCCTCAGTGTGTCGTGCCACTCACGTGGCGCCTGGCGGAGACCGTAGACTGGACGCCGGAGACTCCACTGGGTACCAGGAGGGAAAGACCCAGTGAAGCCAGGTGGGCGACGCAGCCAGATCTCCTCGTGCAGGCTGCCCTGCAAGAAAGCTGTGCTGAAGTCGAGAG